TGCTGTTAGCTGTCTATATTGTTGTAAAATGTATAAATACCATGACTTTCTTTGTCGTTGTTGTTGTACTACAATACACAGTCACAGTCCAGTCTTTGTCTTTTGATATCTGCATGCTTCACTGAATCGGACGGTACGACAAGCAGATAGGCATATTAGTCAGGCGCAGACAGAACAAGGCGACAACGTCCTCATTTAATTCCCTACAGTTATAACATAACGTCTCTGACCCCAGGCGGCATTTGGTGACGACGGTTCGCATCAAAGAAGGGAAATGAGTTCCATCAAGGTTGCAGATATGCCTTGCTGACTGGTGAGTGCCAACTAGCACGAAACCTAGTTCATGAAGCAAGGCTTCCTGCCGATTGCCTTACACAATCCAATCTTTTGGAATTTGATTCGAAGACTCATTAGCCGAAAGTTAAATACTTAAACCATTCGGTTGAATCATAAACAACTTATCTTAGCTGTAGTAAAGATGCAACACGAGCTAAGAAAAAAACATCAACAGCATAAGTTTCATTCAACGGTGTCACTTCTCTCCATCTAGCTGGACATATAGTCAACAGTTCACAGAAACTCTGTTCATATGTAAGATTATAATTCATATAGGATTTTAATTTTATTCCTTAAGATTCCTAGTGGAATATAGGGTCTGAAGCTAGAGCTACGAAATTTCGGTAGCAATGGTGTTTAATTCTACATGGTGGGGTTGGTAGCTTCATGCCGCGCAGTCTTTACCAGTCTTATTATCGGCTCAGTGAGATAAAAAAGTGCTTTCGCCAGGTATCGAACCCGAGCCATGTGAGGCGTGGCTGGTGAGCATTCTATTGCTGTGCCACCGACGTTACATAAAGGATAAGACAATCTTAGTTTTAAATCAGTAGGAAAAACAGAAGTAGATTATGGTAAAGAAAAGATTAGTGTTCTACATCTCAAGACGCTTTTGGGCAAAATAAAGAAATACGTCTATTTTTACCATTCAAACTAATCGACAATTACACATTCATTGACTAATTAAAATAAGTAATATGAACCTTTTATCTTACAAAAAGGAACTATCACACCTGATATAAACAAAATAAGCTGTATCGCCTGCAATTGAAACGCGTTTTTATTAACAATCTAAGTTCGAGTCCTGAAGAAAGATGTAGATGTTAAAAATACAAAAAAAACATGGTCAAAATACAGCTTTAAGTTGATTATCTCTCAAGTAATCACACAATAAGTAAACTGTGTAACTTCATTTAACTTTGCAGTATAGTTGTTAACATGTTAAGAATTTTTTTTTTAGATTTACAGCTTGATTCCACACTGTATTTTTGGTACAAGTATGGAATTTTCAGCATGGATATCGGTAGCCCAAATTTCGCAGGCCGACCATAGATATCAGGTGTGCGCCGGTGTGGGCTCGAACCCCGGACCATGTGCATGGTCGGCGAGAGTCCTAACCACTGTGCCACCGACGCATATGTAGTACTGAGGATTTCAAGAGTGACTAGTTTTTTTCCTTCACGTTCCCCAGTGGAACATAGGGGGCTTCAAGCTAGTAGCAGTGTTTATTTTTACAGGATGGGGTTGCTAGCCTCATGCCCAACCTTTCCTCTTTACCAGCATTATTTCTGACTGGCGTCTGTGGCCGGGGATCGAACCCCGGACCATGTACATGGTTGGCGAGCGTCTTAACCGCTATGCCACCAATGCAAGTGACTAGTAAATTGAAAAAATTACAATTACCGACACATTCGAACAGATATATAGACTACTTACTATTCAGTACATCCCTTTACCATCGAAAGTAACTGTGGTCAAGAATCTGATTAGCGGAACCAAACGCCTAGTAGTTGCTGAGGAGAAAGAGATCAGCAGGGAAATAAAATTGGTTCAGCTCACTACTGAATCAAATAATTCCCTCAAAGCCTTTATAAAGAGATATATTTAAAATGTGAAGGAAAAAATGAATCGAAACCTGTTGCTAACATTTGGGTTAGTACAGTGGTGATTCCGTGCGCAAGGAAACATCGGATGAGATAAAGCGAATCCTTAACAATCATGACTTAAGAGAGTATATTTTCGTGCAACTAACACCTTACGCTCATCACTGGTGAAGGTTAAGAATAAAAGAGAAGACAATCAACAGAATTGTGTGTACCAGATTAATTATAGGAACTGTGATACCGTGTATTTAGGAGAAATTTGGAGATGGGTAAATATAAGAGTGAAGAAGTATAAACAAGCGTAAAGGCGGTTCCAAAGACCTGCAGATTCGAGGAAGCTAGAAGATAGGTCGGTGATTGCATTGCACTCGATCGAAACGGGAAACAAGATCGACTTTGATGGGACTAAAGTTCTACAGAAAGGTTTTGGTTCGTATGAAGAGAGACTGACTGCAAAAGCCCTACATATATGGATGAATCCGAAAAGTATGAACCGGCCTGACGGTATGATGTTAGCTGACGAATGGCAAGTCCTGACTATCACCAATCTATTGTCATACTTGATCTAAATTCCCGATTATCTATATCTTCTAATGGAGAGGCTAACAAATGATTTACAATTGTTACCGCAACACACATGCGCACAAACCACTGTATACCGCATATACACATATATTCTCTCATATTCAGTTATCTACGATCATGAAATTTGGTTATATGTAATCAATAAAAATCTGATGCAAAAGTACACACTGTTTAAAATTTGTTAGTATGAGTCCAAATTTTGATCACAACTCATGCAATTTTGCTTATTATATTTTAATGTCTGTTGCATGACTCCTATGATTGGACGAGACATGTCCTTTTTATATATAAACACCTTTTGTAATGCTAATTTCAATTAATTTCCCTGAATAAGTTCAGAAAAGTTTGCTGAGCTCAGGAAACAGCTGGAATTATGCATTTCAATTTCTCTGAGATTTTATAAATATATAATTTTTACAACTCTCAATTATTCTGAAACTATTTTGTCAAATATTGAACACAGTTCACATGAAATGTATATATATATAATTTATTATTGTTCCCTTTAGTTCCTAGAGAAACACAGGGTTCCAGTCGAACATCTCCATTGCATTCGGTTCTCTGCCCACGTTTTCACCTGGCTCCACGTCTATTCACATGCTTACATCTCCTCTTCACATCACATTCTCCGTGTCATCATCGCACCGACAACCAACTCGCCGCTACCCATTCGCCTTCCACTCGAGCGATGGCCTGGTGTGTGTGTGTGATGTCACTTGTTCGTTTGTTTTCTCAGAGTATGGTTAGCCAATCCACCTCCATTTCTTCCACAATTGGTTCCTGCTGGCTTGGTTCGTTGACAGAGAGAGATCCCACCTTGTTGCTGATCCTTTCTGGCCGGCCATCTGATCTTGAGCGAAGTATTGAGCGGAGACAGCTGTTAATGAAGGTTTGTGGTTTGTCCGAAGTGCCCTTCGTAGAGAGGCGCGGCACCAATTCTCTGATCCGTAAGGTGAGTAGCATTGACTGACTTCACATTCGAGTTGAAAATCCGGACGGATCTTATTTTTCATGCTGAGTGCTGTTGATCTCCACACAGAGTATTGAAAGCCTGTCTTGCTTTTCCGATTCTGGCTTTGATATCCTAGTCAGTTTCGCCTGTAGTTGAAACAATGCTTCCCAGGTAGGTAAAGGAGGCTGTTTCTTTCAGGTTCCTCCCATTTATTCTGGCTGACTGTTGTAGTAGCTGTTTCTGATGACCAGGAATCTTCATTACATCTGTTTTCTCTATGTTCATCTGAAGGAAGTTCTATCTTTGATGAATCTTCTGACAAAATGTTGCTTTTCACTTGCATATCTTCCAGTTTGTGGGAAATCAGACATACATAATCGGCGAAGTCCAGATCCTCCGAGTTTTTAGTGTGGGTCCATATATATATATATAGTTTTTCCTTTGGGTTCCTAGTGGAACATAGGGCTTCAACTGCACGTCTCCACTTGCTTCTGTCTTCCTTCTGCTGTACTTTTCACCTGCATCCATGTTAGTCCATACCCTTTCAACTTCATTTCACACCATCTCCTCCATGACACCCTTGCACCGATGTCCCACTCGCCGCTTCCTTTTCGGGCTCCACTCGAAAGATGGCCTGACGCGCGATGTCACCCAGCAGCCTACTCAGTGAGCGAGTGTCCAATCCATCTCCACTTTCTCCTGCATATTGGTTGGGCGATTGGTTCTTGTTTTGTTTGTTTCCATAATATATATATATATATATATATATATATATATATATATATATATATGTATCCACATATATATATTTATGTGTGTGTGCATGTTGGTCTCTCTTTCTGTTTGCTCGGTTAGTCTGTGACCACTTCACTTGTATGGACTTGTCTCCTTTAACAATGTATATTCCTTATATTATATTATATATAATATGAGTGTTTGTTGACAGTCCGTTGCTTGGTGACATATATCCATATATGTTGTTGGCATGTCTGCTATATTCGCTATGTATAATTGGATCGACACTCCATTATAATTAGCCATTCATGTTAAGACTGTCTAATGATTTTTCCCACGCTTGTCTGAATTATTTATATATATTCGCATTCACAATTTGTGTGAACTACTTTACTTTACAACTACTTGACTTGCTTACCACTTTGGTGTGAGACCATTTATTTTCGTCTCCTTGTGTTTGGACAATAGAAGTATCATCGCAATCCTAGTGGTCTTCTGATTTCCGCCTTCTCGCGTCAGGACTATTAGTTTCTCGACCAGTCCATAACAATAATTCAGCGACGAGTACATAACAATTTGGCGACGGGGAAACTAGTACATAATAATATATATATATATATATATATATATATATATATATATATATATATATGCATAAAGAGTCGAAGTAAATTGGACGTTAGAACCTAGTACAAATCTCGTTGAACGTTGTAATCGAAAATAACTTCATCATAAGGGGTCAAGGAAAACAACGGGTTAACACACAAATAAAAATGACTAACATATTTATTATGGATTAAACTTTTAAGATGCAAGGTGTACCTCACATTACAAGTGAAATAAGGAGACAACGCTGCTTTTCTTTTATTACAATAATTAACAATATATATATATAGATTAAGATGTTCTCTTTATTTCTCGCGTAGTTATTATTCACACTGACATATATATACACACTAAACTGCTGAAGGATTATATCTTTGTGGACGTTTAACGCGTCTAGTAGAACGTCTTGGAGTTTCTGATGAATCTGTAACAGAACTTGCTATAGATGAGGTATCATCAAAGTCATCTACATCAGTTGTATGACGACGACGAAATCGTTCTTCATTTAAACGATCCAGCTGATCAAATATAGCTTCTGTTGTTAATAATTCATCATCAGAAGACAGTTTTGGTGTTTTAATATCCCGTGTTCGATAGGATCGTGTAACTTTCCTAGTGATATCTTCATCTTTTGAATGAGTGCCTCCTTCTTTATCAGGCTGTTTTTCGTTAATTGGATTTATACTTGTACTTCGATGTTTCTTCGATGAAGTGATAATTGGAGGTCGGGTAAGAAGTGTATCCGGAGTTTCAATAAAACACCTGTTGATAAATAATTTCAAAAGATAATCACAGTATATATTAAAAAGACAACAACAGTAACAAAAACAACAACTCAGTTATTCTATACTGACTACAACTATTCATATTGTTATGAGTATAAAACTTGGGCACTGTGCTGGAAGAGTATAACTCCATTATAGATAAGATTTTATTTTGATAAAATGTCACAGTGTTTGTTATACTGTCTGTTTTCGACAGAGAACTTTGAACCGATGTGCGACAGTTCGAGTCACCACACTCCATGTAGCGCACAAAGCAAGAGAAGAAAGACAGTAAACAGAGGTGTGAGACAAAGGAGTAGTGATAACGAAGAACAATATAGTTTCATTGAAAATCATAAGTCACAAGGAGTGGATGCATCTGCGCTGTCATTGAGAACGATTTTGAGCCATATCACCAATTGTTTCCAGCCTTCATTGGTTTTCACCGTCCCGAGGACCCCAACCCGTCAGGGAGTCTAAATCTTCCTACGTCGCTTAAACTAACTGTTGTGTATTTCATTGACTGGTGAAGACATGTTTTGGCTTGACCGCCACTAGCTGGCTCTTTTCCAGCCTTATCGACTCCATGTCAGCTAACATTCCCCATTGTCGAGGAAGGCAATCGATGGCTAGACATGCATACGTAACACATGTCCTAACCATCTCAGTCGATGTAATTTCACAGCCTCGTCGATTGGTTTCCCATCCCACCTACCTAGCACTCAACTAACGCCTAACCTCAATATTCCTCATCTTATTATACCACCTCACACGAAAGATAGGACGCAGGCACGTATGATCAAAGACTATTAATCTTTTCATGTTTTCTACTCTCAATGACCAGGTCTCTCAGCCCTAAAGGAGGACGAAGCGGACTTCTGAACAGTACACCCGCCCTTTAGTCGATAGCTGGATATTACGTCTACGCCAGAGACGGCGTAAACTGGCATTTGCGAAACAAGCCTTCTGTAGCCATGTTGAGATTTCGTCAGAGATCAACCCGTTGGCATTGACTGATAGTACTTCCCAAATAAGTGAAGCGGTCAACGTGCTCTACCGCTTCACTCCCTATTTCTAATCTAGGAGTCAGTGTAATCCAATCCAGTCTTGTAACATCATCTAGCATTTGGTGGGAGCGAATCGCACGCCAAAAATTCGTATATTGTAGCTCAAGGTGTTCAGAAGACTCTGCATTTCGTCAGCGTGCTCGCCTACACGGACTACATATTCTAAGTCAACGAGATTATTCCCTGAGTCGCTGAAGTCATTTAGGGTTAAGTCCATTAGTACATCAATGATGAAGTTGAATAGGAATGGGGATAATGGGCACCCCTGACGCATACCACTAGTCGTCACCACTTCAGATGACAACTCGCCGTAAGCTCTCACCTGGCTGACTGTATGAGTTCGGGTAGAGTGAGTGGCTTGATCAGTGCAATGTGTTTTCTCGGAATTCCCTTTACAGCTAAGCATCTCCAGAGTACCTCTCGGTCGACAGAATCGAATTCCGCCTTTAGGTCAAGAAATATAATGATTGTTGAACGCCGGTAAGAATGCCTATGTTCTAGAATCTGTCGGAAGGTGAAGATATGATCAATACACCCTCTTCCTGGTCTAAATTCTGCCTGGCTCTCTCGTGTTTGTGCCTCCCAAACACCACTTAGTGTACACATGATTATTGAGCCTAGGACTTTAGATACTATATTAGTCAAGCTAATCCCTCTGTGATTATCACACGAAGACTTGTCTCCCTTCTTGTATATCGGGATGATCAGTGACTTACACCAACCCGATGGGACTTCTTCTGACTCCCAGACGCTGCCTAGTACCTCAGGTTAATCCAGACAGTAAGCTGTCTCCACCGTAGTTAAATACCCCTGGAGTCCTTTTTTTAAGATAAGATAAGCTTTATTCCAAAACAGTACTTGTGATACAGAATGGAATTCTCAGCATTTTACTACAATATTGCATCCAATTAGTACATTAACAATAAATACAGTTCTACATAGATTAAAGTTATCTCAGTCAGTTTTGACAACAACATATTAGCATGTCGGTAACAAAGCCAAAATTTAAACAGTGTTTGAAGGTGTTAGAAAAGTAGATAATACTAGCATATTTACTGGCGTCCCACTGCTTTGCCTTCTTTCAGATTAGTGACAGCTTTAGTAACCTCAGTTAGGAACGGAGGACCTGTGTCTATATCCAACTCAGGGAGGTGTTGGATGTTCGGCAGGTTAAGCGTGGTTGTAGGCCAATTAAACTGCTCCTCATAGTGCTCTTTCCAGCGTTCCAGTCGTCTGTCCAGTAATATTAACTGATAACCACGTTTCGAGCACAAACTATTGCCACTCATAATCATATCAACGCACTCATTCACAAAACGTTTTACTTCATTTATATCCATGAGTGAAATTGATGATGATTAGACATTTGAATAAAATCGGCAATATAAGATAATGTACATTCAGAAATAATAATACGGGTGTTATTGATCAATTACAATGAAATGGGAAATAAGACGAGTGTTTTTATAGTCAAAATAATAAGTAACTTGTTAGAATGTTATGATGTACGTGAATTGAAATGGAATACAATTTAAGATTATTTATCATCCTTTTCTGATTTGATTGACTAGTGGTAATATAATACCTTCCATATCTGTCTGGTATTTGAATTGAGTCATTTCTGTTGCATGTGTTGTGTTGGGTGTAGACTCAATGAACCAGGCAGGATTCAGTAATCAATCCCTCTCTATCTCCACCTACATAGATTACTTCTTAAAATCCTAACCCTCCCCCACCATATCCCAAGGAAAACACAGTAGAATGAGGAGTGATAAAACAGCTCACCGTTCAGAAAATAACTCTTATCTCATATGAGCGCAGCTGTGGCTGTTTGAGCGCGGCTTCAGTTGTTAATCAGCGGGTCACAGAGTTCAGATCCCAAGCCCTACTTACAGAAAATTAGACATCCAAACAAAACATGACAATTTGTTGGTTTTAATACCATTTATGTCTGTGATCCTGACACCCCATAAACAGTTTGATCCATATTCAAAACAAAAAAAATGTGATCCTTTATGCTTCGTTGCATTTTACATATATTATATGTATGATCATAATGTTCAAAAAATATGCTGGGCAAAATACATTACACAACATTTATAAAAAGCATCCATAACAATCAATGAATAGATCTCTTTTTCGCCCAGCAAACACATGAACACTATTCACAAGTACATAGTAGCAAATATACTACTGATGGATATGCGCCTAGTTGGAGCTGAGTTAAACACCATGTAAACTACGGATGAGATCAACTCCAATAGAGACAAACCTCCAGTCCCACCCCCGCCCCCGCCTTCTCTCATTGTTTAGATCACTAAGATCTAGGCTAACGAGGACTACTGGTTAATGTGAGCAGTTAGTTTCCAAATACTCAGATCAATCACTAGTATAAAGTATAATGAATGCATTTATGCTTGGATCGAACGATTGATTGATTGTCAGTTGTCGTATCAAGAAGATGTGAATCGACATGCTTTCGATTATCAAAAAAAATAGAGTGAATTCACACATACACACACATCTTCAACTAAATCATAGATTTGTGAATTGCGAAATTGATGAATATGAACACTATTCATATTTTCTTCATCTAATATCAAATAAGAAAGCAAAAAAGGTAGCACAGCGGTTAGGACGCTCGCCGACCATGCACATGGTCCAGGGTTCGATCCCCAGCCACAGACGCACTCCTTTACCTCGCTAAGCCAGAAATAATGCTGGTAAAAAGGAAACCTTGGGCATGAGGCTAGCAACTCCATCCTGTAAAAATAAACGCCACTGCTACAGAAACTTCAAGCCGGCTCTAGCTTGAAGTCCTATGTTCCACTGGGAACGTGAAGGAAAAACAAGCAAAAAAGGTAAAACAATAACAGAAATCTCCCCCCCACACACAAAAAAAGAGAAAAATAGAAGACGAACTTTTTAGAAGGTGTAATATGATCAGAAGAGAATAGATTCCCTTCAATCGACATATCAACACATTCATCCGTTGAAGTTGTTACACCTGGAGAGATAATATCAACTTGTTGAACATATGTAACTGTTCGCCTTATTATTGGAGAAGAAAAGATGAATTCTTTCTTATCTTTAAGTGTTGTACTATTGCTGTTGCTGTCATTCTTATTATCTGAAACAATCTGAAAGGAAACAATGACAAGGAAAGAAAATTATTTTTAGATATTGAAATAACTCAATGTATTTTGATTGGACACTAGTGACTAGTATGACGTGTCTAATCCTTTCTTTCGCACAGACTGAATTCTATCAGTCAGGTTTTGCAATGTGGTCAGCACTTTAGGTAGCTTGTCATCATGGTGCACATTGATTTGATGATATATTAGATAGTTGGAGGCAATCGACCACAGGAAGCCTTGCTCGACCTAGGTTTCGTGCTAGATGGCATTCACCAGTCAGCAAGGCGTATCTGCAATCATGTCCACTCTGAGAATCGAACCCTCAGAGTATCACCAATCCACCTCCACTCCTTCCTGCATACTTCTTCAACAATTGGCTCCTGCTAACTTGGTTCGTTGACAGAGAGAGATCCCACCTTGTTGCTGATCCTTTCTGGCCGGCCATCTGATCTTGAGCGAAGTATTGAGCGGAGACAGCTGTTAATGAAGGTTTGTGGTTTGTCCGAAGTGCCCTTCGTAGAGAGGCGCGGCACCAATTCTCTGATCCGTAAGGTGAGTAGCATTGACTGACTTCACATTCGAGTTGAAAATCCGGACGGATCTTATTTTTCATGCTGAGTGCTGTTGATCTCCACACAGAGTATTGAAAGCCTGTCTTGCTTTTCCGATTCTGGCTTTGATATCCTAGTCAGTTTCGCCTGTAGTTGAAACAATGCTTCCCAGGTAGGTAAAGGAGGCTGTTTCTTTCAGGTTCCTCCATTTATTCTGGCTGATTGTTGTAGTAGCTGTTGGTGTTGGCCAAGAATCTTCATTACATCTGTTTTCTCTGTATTCATCTGAAGGAAGTCCTATTTATGATGTACATACCTTAGTATTTTTCATTGAGACTTAGGCAAGAAGTCATTACATCGTTTCAAAGTCTACTGGAGTTATATGAGAGTCAACTCTTTTAATCAAGTATCCGTTGGTATTTACTGAGATCATTAGATGAAATGAAGTGTTTTAATTTAATAAAATAGCATATTAAATAAGCACCCTTTATTCCAATAAAAAATGAAATTCAATCATATACACATTCAAGTTTATATTACACTATCGATGAATATATTTGACAAGAAATTTAAAACTTACTGTACTAGACTTTAACGAAATTCGTCGAGGAGCAGAAAAAGTGAAGTCTGTAGGCTTATTGTCATTATTTACACTGAGGCTTGATTTACTCTCCAGAGAATCAAAATTCATACTGCCTATATTCATCAAACGCATTTTCAAAAGAAAGAAGGGTAATAGTAATAATTATCACTGAGGAGTGAATACAATCGTATCGTTGAATAATAATAATAATAATGTAATTTATCAGAAGGAAATGGATTATAGATACCTAAAGATACTTCTCATAGAAAAATGAAGTCGAATGAAAAGTGTAATAACTGTGTGTGTTTGATATTCAAGTGTTGGTAAGCATGGATTTGATTGATTGGTTATAGGATTTCATCATGTGCTGATATCGGTTAGAGAACCATTGGAAAACCAGCACCGGAGTATTGGACAGCTGTCTCGTACTAGTTTCAAAAACTTCATCAGTACACACCCACCACCAAGGTTCGAACCAATGATCTCCCAGTAGCTTACTAGGCCAGCGAGCTTGTAGACCATTCACCAACCAGCCAGCCGGCCCATGAATTTCAACTTATACCAATTCACGCACAACACATAGAGCGACTGGCACTTGCCAATGACATCAGTGGTGGCTATTATTCGTCCTCACACTCGACCACCTGCTGTACTTCATTGGTCAAGACTCCCACTAGAACCCAGGTAATTACCTACCTGAATAGGGCCAGTCGCTAGTGATATTCTAGTGTTAGTTTGAAGAGATTGGAATCAGGAGACGCGGCAAACGATGAAAACTGAATATATATCTATATAAGATGAGTTTATCTGATGCAATACATACACAATATTAATAACCGGATGATAGAATTCTACTCTTACAATTAATAAATAGACGTTGTCTAGAAAATAGATAGGTCAAACTAGTAGATCGGGGGTAGTGAGATTATCAGAAAATAAAAATTTAGCTAAGTGTGTAGGATGATTGACCCCACTTGCGAAGATGGGTAATTTATCAAAAAGCCCAGCAATCGCACTGTATGCATTAACAGTGCACAACTGCACAACAGGGTGTGTGGGACAGAGTCAAAGTTCTAAAAAGTAATATAGGTAGGTGGAGAGAGAGAGATAGGTTGATTACTGAATCCTGCCTAGTTCATCCAGTCTACACCAACCACAACACACGTGCATTAAGAGTGATTCATCACTCATACAGGAGATATAGAAAGTACTACTGCCAGTCAAATCAAGCGATGACAAATAATCATGGAATTATATAAACGAAGTTAGAAAGTTGTTTGAGTGAGTAGTGGCCTTGATATGATTATTTGATTACAGCTTGATTCTACATCATATTTTTGGTACAAGTATGGAATTTTCAGCATGGATATCGGTAACCCAAATTTCGTAGGCCGACCATAGACATCAGGTGTGGGTCGGCAGGGAATCGAACCTCGGACCACGTGCATGGTCGGTGAGAGTCCTAACCACTGTACCACCGATGCACAGGGGTAATAGATTGTGCTCGAAACGTTCGTCATCAGTAAATATTACTGTATAACACTGTGTGAATTAATCAAAAATTTCACCCACAATGGAATTAAACTCTACTACAGTTCCGAAGTTTTATCCTTATACGGAATAATAAAAAGACAGTTGCAGCGAAGAAAATTTTCTTTTCAACGTCGACGAACTCATCAACTAGGCTGTACATTCGTGTAATAATAATAAATAGGTGGGAAAATTGCCGAATAATTTCCGGTCAATGGTCAAACTGATGACTTTGTCAAAAAGAAAGTTTTCCTCGCTCCAACTGTCTTTTTATCCTTATATCAATGAAATAATTTCATTGTGATATGTATCCACATAATATGTGTGTTTGTTTTTGACAGTCTGTTATATTTTGCCATGTATATATGTATCGATATTCCATTATGATTGACAATATGTCTTGGTCTGTCCACTGACTAAACAAACATGTCTGACCTTGTTGTCACACGACATTAAAACCAATCATGGTGTAACAACAGAAGACAAGGGCGAAGCAACAGATCGTTTTATTATGAAAATCAACACGTATTTATACATATTTCAGACAACATTATTATAGACAAGCGCAGTCATCTGATTGGTTGTTTAGGTAGACAAACGCAGGCTTCTGATTGGTTGTTTCGGGATTCCTTGACAAACAGAGTTCTCTATCTGCGAATCATATTTTGCCACGTTAACTTTGCTGTGATTGGTTGTTGACTCAGCCTTGTTCACGGCCCATATTAGTGACCTAGACCTTAACGTAGATTAGTGCCAACCAATCGGCTAGCAGCCTGCTCTCACCACACTCGTCCCCCCGTCAAATACGTGCGACTGAAGTCGGCTTGATCTACTTGGTGCAGGCGTCATCGTTGGCTTGTCTCGCTGTATCCGTTTCTGGAGCTCGCTGACGTTCACGCGCCTCTTATTGTTCGCCATTGCGACTGTGTCTGCGTAACCCCATCTCGAAGTGACCATATATGGTCCTTCCCACTTTGGAAACTGTTTGCCTGACCCTGTCGAACATTCGTCCATACTTCTGCTCACACTTTCATATGCTGCTTTCACCCGACCTCCCAGCAGCGTCCCAAGTAGCAGCTCCATCGCTGACAGATCTTGAACGCCACTCAACTGCGCAGAAGCCTTGAAGTCCTGCCCGAAGATCCATATGTCTCCCTCAAAAACAGCAGGGCATAGGCATTCCATTTGTCGGTAGGCAGCGACACCAAATGTAACAACAGAAGACAAGGGCGAAGCAACAGATCGTTTTATTATGAAAATCAACACGTATTTATACATATTTCAGACAACATTATTATAGACAAGCGCAGTCATCTGATTGGTTGTTTAGGTAGACAAACGCAGGCTTCTGATTGGTTGTTTCGGGATTCCTTGACAAACAGAGTTCTCTATCTGCGAATCATATTTTGCCACGTTAACTTTGCTGTGATTGGTTGTTGACTCAGCCTTGTTCACGGCCCATATTAGTGACCTAGACCTTAACGTAGATTAGTGCCAACCAATCGGCTAGCAGCCTGCTCTCACCACAATGGTAAGACTGTCTATTGATTCGTTCATTTTTGAACATTCGCTCATACACTTGGATGAGATTGATTTTTCTTGTTTTAAAAAGACAATTATCATCGTGAACCTGGTGGTTTTCTGATTTCCGCCTTCTTGCGTCAGGACCATTAATTACTCAACCAGTACATGACACATTGGCCAACTCTTCGCTTCCCATTGATTAATCTTTGGCCAATCAATCACCGATTGTCCACTGACTGACCTAGCCAACTTTTGATATATCTATCTATTTACGATATAGAACTTTCAACCGATGTGCACCACTTCAAGTCGCCACACTCCCTTCTTGCAGCACACAAAGCAACACAAGGAAGTAGAAGAAATGCATAATACAGACAGTAAACAGAGGTGTGAGACAAAAGAATAGTAATAACGAAAAACAATATAGTTTCATTGGAAATCATAAGTCACAAGGAGTTGATGCATCTGCGCTGTCATTGAGAACGATTTTGGGCCATATTACCAATCCTGACCGACAGCTGCTACCTTGACATGATGGTCGGGCTTGCACATCGCGATGAACCAGCAAGCTACACTGGCTGGAAGCAATGTTCCTGCAGGTCCTACCATGTCAGGAAGGTTGTTATGATAGCGATTAAACTAAAAGCAGTTACCGACATAGTGTAAAAATTTTTCTTACACTATACTGGGGATCTGTGGGCGAAGTCGTACTGCTGGGGAACAGGCGTGTAACAGCAGCAGTAAGGTGTTTCCCTCAGATCACCAGCATGCCAGCCAGTTATGCTGTCTCTCCACCCTGATGAGAGGGAGTTAGAAAAGGTCGACCCTGGAAATTGTACATCCCGACTTAACCCACCTACGGTGTAACCGGAGGTACGTTTACTAATACGGAACCAAACCAAGAAACCAGTTCATACAGGTCGTCTGTGACCGGCCAGTATCAAGAAGTTGTCCCCTGGGCTCTGCGGTCACGTAACACTAACCCTTTTTCTGTTCCAGGTACCCGAAGAATCACGGTGTGGGCAGTCGGAAAGTAACAATCGGCCACACACTTCCAAAAGCACACGAAGCCTTCCTGAGCATCATTCAACTTTTCATATGGTTAAAAATGTATAAATATGATGCGCTTTTCCTTATGGTAAATATAACCCCCCGCTGATTCCCTTCTCTTCTCTTCTGCCGTTACACAACTACTACACTATTAGTTAGCGTGATGAAGAAGACTTAACAGGGGAGATCTTGATTCCGATGAGTTATTTTTCTGAAGCTGTACAAAATTATAGGCAAAAATAATCAATGGATAATAACTAATTTGAGATTTAATTAAATTTTTGATTTTCCCGTCGATTGATTGGACCGAAGTCCTTGGTCTCAGGTTGACATGTCTATCGGCTTTTTGTGCAGATGCTTCGTTTAAATTAATATGAACCGTTGCACAAGAGGTGGCTGGTTCTCGTGGCCCAAGTGACCTTAGTGGATAACTCTTTGGCGTTTGAAACTATGGGCACTGGGTTCGAGCCTCCGTGGTGGGAACATCATCACTCACTCACTCACTGGGAAATGCAGTTACATCCAGCTGACCAGTCCCAAATAGGACGACAAAATGCGCATCATCCTGGATTCCACTGCTAGTCACCATCCACCAATTGAATACTAATTTGGGAAGAGTTTGCATTGACAGTAAGTAAATGCAAACACACACACACAGACAGAGAGAGCGGTACTTACAGATTACCAAATAAATAATGATGATATTTTACAACAACTGGAATTACTTACTTGGACAAACAGTAGATAAATTCAAAGTGATGTCACAGTCGTCATCTTCACTACTGACAACTTTATAATTATGACTTGATACAATATTATCTTTGGGTAAATAATTTTCTTTTGTCAATGAAATTGGTTTGTCAACAGTACCACTAGTTGTCGTTATTGTAGATGATGTTGACGATGTAACTGTACAAGTTGTGGACGATGAGATATTATAGCCTTGTGAAAATAATGATGACAGTGAAGAAGAAGAAGAAGCAGAAGAAGACGAAGGAGTAGAATACACAGTCATCGGTTGAGACGATATGCTCGATGTAATTGTTGTGAATGCTACTGTTGTTGTACTTATTGTCCTTCCTTTGTCAAGGACAGATGGTCTTGTCTACAAAATAAAATTATGACGACAATAGTGTTATGAACAACAGAGAAAAAAAAAGTTTTTGATGATCGTTTTACTAGATCAAATAAATAGAAATTACAATGTAATAAACAAAAAGCTGGAATCTGAAAACAACTAGGATTCCAATGAACGGTAAATATTTGAGCTTTAACTTTACTTATCATCAACGACTATAACACGACGTTGTGAAAACATCAGTTCTCGTCCGATCCACAGAAGTTAAACAATACTGGACCCGGTTAGTACTTGTATGGGTGACCAACTGGGAATATCGGGTGTAGCCAGCTTTTTTTCAAAAATTATTATTATTATTATTGCTCCCTTGGGTTCCTAGTGGAACATAGGGCTTCAACTACACGTCTCCATTTGCTTCTATCTTCTGCTGTACTTTTCACTTGCATCAATGTTAGTCCATACTCTTTCAACTCCTCTTCACACGATCTCCTCCATGTCACCCTTGGACGTCCCACATGCCACTTTCCTTTCCGGTTCCACTCGAGGGCTTGACGAGCGATGTCACCCAGCGGTCTCCTCAGCGATTGTCCGATCCATCTCCACTTTCTCCTGCATATTTGTTGGGCGATTGGTTCTTGCTTCGTTTGTTCCCATAGTTCCTTGTTGGTGATTCTTTCCGGCCATCTGATCTTGAGTATTGAGCGAAGACAGTTGTTAATAAAGGTCTGCAACCTTTTGGAAATATTCTTTGTGACCCTCCAAGTTTCTGATCCGTATAGAGGAACTGATTTTACGTTTGTATTGAAAATCCGACCGAATTTTGTTGTTGATGGTGGCTGAGTGACGACGATTTCCAGATTGATTCCAGGTTGATGAATGTGTTTCTCGCCTTCCCGATTCTCGCTCGATTTGACATCCTCGTCCGTTCCGATTGCCTGTAGTTGAGACAATGCTCCCTAGATAAGTGAATGAAGTAACCTCTTTCAAATCCCTCCCGTTGATGGTGATTGACACTGGATGTTGCTTCTGTTGTTGTTGTTGGCTGGTTTTTTTTAAAAATAAACTGCGTCAAACACGCCTCACGTGATCCGGAGTTCGATACCCGGCCAACAAGGCACTCCTTCATCTCGCTAAGCCAGTGGTAAAGCCGATAAAGAGAGAAGTTTGGACATGAGGCAGGCTAGCAAGCCCATCCTGTAAAAATAATCACCACTGCTGCAGAAACTTCAAGCCGACTCTAGCTTGAATGCACCCTATATTCCACTCATAATGTAAAGGAACAAAAATAAAAAATCATCGATTGTATTATTATTCTCATTAGGTTCCTAGTGGAACTCACATCCTCAACAGCAAGTTTACATTTCACTCTGTTGTCTGCACATGATGGCTAATAAGCTTTCATTTTGCAATTAATAGTGTTCTCTGAGCTGGTTGGTTTAGTTGCGGAGCTTTCGTCGTCCCCCTGCTGGACAACATCCCCTTTCAGGCAACATTTAGCATCAGTAATATTATTGTTTCTCCCGGTAACCTTCTTTACATATGTAATGACCATATTCTATTGACTCGGATTTTAAACTTTCTGGTCACATGATTTACTTTTTATTAGTTTGTATATTCGGTTTATATTATTGTGTTTGTTAATTGCATGTTCGTTTGAGTACCAGGCTTCTAGGAATTCCCTGACTGCACTTTTGGTGTTTCCCCTCTCTAAAATTTCGACATTATCCCAATCAAACTGATGTCCATAATTGTCTATATGCATTGATATGAAAGAATATATATCGTGTCTTTTCACGGCAGATTTGTGTTCCTGGATTCTGATTAGAAGGGGACGCCCACTCTGGCCGATGTAATGCCTGTTACAGTTCATACAATTTATTATGTAAATGGTATTAATTTTGTCTTCTTTTTCTGTTGGATCTTTCGGTTTGCACAATATCGAATGAAGTGTGACTGTGTTGGCTGGCTGGCTTGTGTGCTATATCTATTTCAAATGGTTTCAATATTCTAGCTGTTATTTCTGAGATATTTTTGCTTATATATGATGGGATGAATTTTCTTGTAGTCTTTGATAATGGTTCCTTGCTGGTGTTGTGATTCGACTTTGAACACTTTTTGATGAAGTTGTGCGGATATCCATTCCTCTTTTTGAAGACCATTTGTAGGTATTTTTCTTCCATTCTTTCCAACTCTGGAGTGCTGGAGTGTGTTTGAATTCTTTTAAACAATATATATATATATACATATATATATATATATGAGACATCTATATGGACTATCTTTCCTTATGACTCGGTCTTATTATTTCTGCTTTTTCCCTTGGGTTGCAAATGGAGCACAGGGCTTCAACAACACAGCTCCACTTTGTTCCACTTCCTACTATCCTCACTAGATGGCTTCATGATTGCCAATAATCTCTCATCTCTTACCCACACGATCTCCTCCATGTCATCCCCACATCCCCCGGGCCGAACAATGGCCTGGCGTATGAAGTCACTCGATGGTCTCCTCAGCGTGTCCCCAATCCATCTCTATTCCCTTAAACATATTTGTTGAGTAATCGATTTTTGTTGGTTTGCTACTCTCACAGTTTCCTATTGCTAATCGTTTTTCTGGCCAGCCAGCCAGCCATTTGATCCTCAATATGGAGTCGGTGAAGTCTGCAGCTGTTGATAAAAGTTTGTTGTAGCCTGTTGAAAATGCTTTCCATGATACGCTGGTCAAATTTCTAACCTATACAGAAGAACCGACTTCTACTACATCATTAACTTGAAAATCCCCGCCCCCCCATCATCCCAACTATTTGATTCACCAATATGAAATGAAGTACCTTCAACTACTAGACAATAATGCTGAAATTTATGCTGATGACACAGTCTACTTCATGATTTTAAAGAAAATTCAAAAAAAGCATTGGAATAGAGAGAGAGAGCAAACTAACCTTGAGTATAGAAATCGGCTTTTGATTGACTGGAGTCGATTTTAAATCGCCAAATAATGACTCCGAAGATATAATACGACTACTATTACTACTACTAGCAGGGTTCACATGAAGTTGTTTATGTCCACAAGATGGTGGTGTGTAAATACACCTATAATATAATGAATGATATATACATACACAGGGGATTAGCATACTACTCTATTAGTAGTGTAGTGTATTCACTGGTCATTAATTACTTCATCAATTTAATAGTTACTAAACGTCGGATTATTAATAGAAACAAAAAATATACAACTTTGTGAACAGGAAAGGCTCGAAAAAAGAAATACAGTTAGTTGAAGACTATTCATCATATGAAGATTTCTGCTTCTAATTTAACACTAAATATTATCATCATAACCTTGAAATAAATAGTGACAAACAATTACTGATAGTCAAGTATTGGTTTGTAGGGATTTGACTGATTGGTTACGGAAGGTTCTGGGTTCGAACCCCGAAGTGTGGATGCGTACTGATGAAAAATCCCGAACCAGGACGAAACAGCCGTCCAGTACTCTCAGGTTTTCCAATGGTTCTCTAACCAATGTCAGCTCACAATGAAATCCTGTAACCAATTACTGACGGCTTATTTAATTCAAATTGCGACTTTCCCGTCGATTGATTGGACCGAAGTTCTCGGTCTCTGGATGACGTGTCGGCTCCTTGTGAAAATGCTTCGACGATGTCTAGTCATGTAACTTAGTGTCAATTGGTTGATGGTGACTAGTAGTGGAATCCAGAATGCGCACTGGGTTCGAGTCTCGATGGGAATAGTATCATTCACTGAGGAATGCAGGTACATCCAACTGACGAGTCCCAAATAGGACGAAACGTATAACCTCGATTCCACTGCTAGTCATCACTAACCAATTGACTTCAAATTCCTGATAGCGACGAAAATCTATGATGAATAAAAAGAGTAATCAACTATCTTTGAGAACATATTAAACAGAGAAAGATAATCAAGGAAGTGTTTAAGAAGATTGATTTTTTCTTGGAGTACTTGAAACAGGAGGTGTAAGTGTTGCGTGATCATAGAACCAAGGGGGACATAACTGGTTGAATATGGAATAAAATCTTACCGCCGGCCAAAAACCATCGAATGGTATATCAGTGTGGAAAAGTTAAACTTCAAGCAATTAAGCACCAGTAACAGCCAATCAATCGGCGAATGACCTTGGATACACCAATCACATGAAAAAGGCTGCTATTCGGAGGGGGTATGGGATATATATATACTTATGCGGGAAATGCATGAAAACTGTATGAAAGTGTTACAAAGGATACCTTTCTCTGATGTTTCCCATAGGACAATCAATAGGAAAGTTACACAACATCCTATACATGTATTCACCTAAATGACTACCATCCTTTTGCAATCCATTAATGTCTCTACTCCAGTTTTCAATCTTCTCCAAGATCCTTCGATATAACTGGTGTGGGTCCCTGTGCAACAGGATCCACAAAATTACTAGTGTAGTTTATTCTATAGTGAATATATCCCAAGTATAATAAAGAGTTATATCCCTCCTACTCATCTAGGTGTATTCTAGATCCTCGTTTCACCAGTTGAGTGCTACTCGATATTAAAGTAGTTGACTTTCCTATCTGTTATTCTCTCGACAAATTCTTTCCGTAGAGAGATATTGTATAATCCATTCACGACGACGGTTCCTTCCCAGTAAGGAAATAAGTTCCTCCATTTCCCAGGATGCGATATCCCTGCAGTGCTGGTATCACTGAACTGTTAAAACGAGGCTGTTTTAAAATCCAGTTATTACAACTATAGAAAATCTGGGTCAATGACACATAGGATCTAACAAAAACATGTTCCTACGAAATAACATTATCATCAGTTTACCTTCCCTAACACTAACTCGTCTCAAACAAACTCCACGACAGTGCATATGTTCATCAACTGGTCTACGGAAGCTTTTTATACTCATGACATCTCCACGTGAACAAATCTTTTGTTTTCTAATCAATGTCGCATCTAAACAGTACTGAAAAACTTGCTCTTCACCAAATTTCAGATGTAACTTAATTGGAAAGGGGCATTTCACTCGAATCAAGCGAAATAGAAGCTTGAAACTCGTTGTTCCATTCAAGGTAAGTGATGTCAACGCACTCCACTGGCACCTTAAAGTTTAACTTGACCATTGGTATGTACAATTTTCAGTGTCGACTCTTTATAACCCTCCAGCCCTTTCCAAAGTGGAGAGGCATTATTACCTGGCTAGCTAGTCATCTGAGTGAAACAACTTACTGCTGTTACATAGCTATTCACTGGTCCCTAGGCTTCCCCCCCCCCGCCGACAAACATAGTATGAGTGATTTACACTATGGTGTTAAATGTTTTCAGTCTAGCCACTATCTGAACGACCCTTCTAACATGCTCAGACCTACAGGAACAGTAGTTCCTCCAGACATTGTAGTTTATTTGGTCACTGAGATATGCAAGCCCGAATACCAAGTCAAGGTAGCATAGCTATATAGGCTGGGAGGGGGGTGGGAGGGAAAAGATAAACTATGTAGGGAAGTGAATTAGAGAGTGTAGCATTCTGTCGAGCAGTTGATGTTGCTGAAACATTCAAAGAAAATTTGGATTTCAATAACATTTTTGTGTTTCCACTGTAACACTGATGATGGTAAGGTGTGTTGCTTATTATACGATAGGACAAAATACTAACAATATGTTTTATGTTCCATAGACTTGGAACCACCTTTACACACACACACACATACACACTTAGAAATTACAATGATAACGACAGGAATGATAATTTAAAGTAAACACTTAATCAATAACTGTCACCATACTAGCACCCCAGAAATTGTCGTATATTTACTTTTAGAGAAGACAAAATTTTGTGTAGAGTTTGTTTGTGTGAAAAGTTTGATGTTAACAGTAAACTAACATTTTATTGAGAAATCCTTTTCTGTTTCAGTAGAAATCAGTATTATTAAGCCTAGACCAACAAAGAAGTATTATTATTATTATATTATTATTAATCCCTTGGGTTCTGAGTGGAACATACGGCTTCAACAACACATCTCCACCTTCTTCTATTTTCTGGCGTCCTCTTCGACCAGGTCCACGATTGACCAAAACTATCTCATCGCCTCCTTCCCACCACACGATCTTCTCCATGTCACATCCCGTACCGACGACCTACTCGTCGCTTCCCATTTGGACTCCACTTATGCAATGCAATGACCTACACATTGTGTGCGATGTCATTCAACGGTCTATATGTATGTATGTATACCCGATCAATCCATCTCCATTTTCTCCTACATATTTGTTGAGAGAACGGCTGTTGGTGTTGGCTTGTTACCTCCCACCCAGCCAGAGTTTCTTGTTACTTATTCTTTCAGGCCATTTGAAGTAGATTAGACATTATTCCATGCAAATATGTATAAAAATATTCATTTTTGAGAACTTCTACATCAACATTCTAATGCAATTTTTTCATTAACTTGAAATTAACTTTGAAAGTCTAAGTGAATAAACATATTCTCAGTCTTTTTTTAAATTTTCGAACGATTACTCTTTAAGTGTTATTTTAATTAGGGTTTATCCCTATTCATCAAAGTATGTGTGTGTGGTGAGAGCTGGCTGCCAGTCAAAACTGGTAGATAGTAATTTACGTCAGTGTGTACACGTCCCCAATATTGGTCATGAGAAAAATAAGAACAAAGACTGACTCAACAACCAATCATAGAAAACTTTGCGTAGGTGGATACAGTTTGCAGATAGCGGATGATCTGAACTTCAAGAAACGGCCACAAAGAGATGAAAGATTAACGTTCAGCGAGAAACCACCAACTGTGTTTTTCTGCCCTTGTCTTCTGTTGTTACATGTGCACTGTATATGTAAAATCAAAAATATTGTATCTGTTAGCTTGTAGTAATCACAATTTAGTCCTTCAGTAAAGCCGTTGATAGTATAAAACCTAAGGATGTCAATTCCATGGTGTGTAAAAGTAGCATCACCATCATCGTCATCATACGAGGAACATAAAAACAATTGTTGTGAAAGTTTAAAGCACAATGTGCGTTAACACTGAAACATCAAACGAAAGCAAGAAGGAACTTATCATCACAACAAGAAATACAAAAACAACAACAAAAGCACAGTATTCAAGTTTTGGTCTACCACCAGCCAGCTGGCCTTGTAACAAGAAGTCCCTAGGTTCGAACCCTAGCAGTGAGTACGTAGTGTAGTACGTACAGTCCCAAACTAAGCTGATGACACAGATGTCCAATACACAGCTGTGCTGGTTGTTTTCCAATGGTTTTCTAACCGATGATAGTAGCTTATGATAATGAAATCCTCTAAGCAAAACTACTTTGATGTGGTTTTGTTCTCTGAGCTGGATGGTTAATTTGCAAAGCTTTCATCACCCTATTGGGTGATTTTGTTATTTTGTTAATTTATGTTATGTTGTTTATAGTTCTGTTGCATAATTATTCGACTCAGTCTTGATTTTGATTTTCACTTACTGAGTTGAGCAATTCACTATTAAGGTTCCAAATCTACAATAAATTTTACTTCACTATTCACCCCCATCCCCTATCCTACTGAACTCTCCATCATAATATGTATCAATTCACTGTGTTGTTATGCCTTGTATTTTGTCTCTAGTCCATGCTTGTTTCCAAGTCAAATTTGAACTCTACCCCTCTTCAATAATTATGATATGAATAGTTCAGAATAAAATAGTTCGAGCGAACAGTCTGAATTCTGTCTAACAACAACAACAACAACAACAACAACATATTTTACATTTTGATGTGGTTGTGTTCTCTGAGCTGGATGGTTAATTTGCGAAGCTTTCATCACCCTACTGAGGGACATCTTCAGCGCATACTTCAATTTGTTCAAGTGAGCTTTTAGATTTCTCCACGAGTTTATTAATCATTCCTCCTGGTGACCTTGGACGTGATTGGTTGTTTGTGTGTGTTTTCACACCTTCTAGGTTACTTGTATTGGAACTGACGGTTTCTTTGACTTGAACTTTAACCCTTTGTGTGTGAAGTTTCTTCCTTATTGGTTGATAAATTTTGTCTATCTCGATGTGTCTATTGATTGATGATTCACTGGAATGCCAAGCTTCTAAAAATTCCCTAGCATTCTTGTTGTTTACTCTGTCTAATATTTGAACATTGTCCCAGTCGAATTGATGTCCATGGTTGTCTGTATGTAGTGATATGAGGGAGTGGATATCATGTCTTTTGACGGCTAACTTATGTTCGTGGATACGAAGACGAAGGGGACGTCCACTTTGGCCAATGTAGTGTTTTTCGCAGTTGTTACAATTTATTATTCAAATTGAAGTATGCGCTGAAGATGTCCCTCAGTAGGGTGATGAAAGCTTCGCAAATTAACCACCCAGCTCAGAGAACAAAACCACATCAAAATCATCCACCTGAGCTACAAATCTTCTCTATCATATCTAAGCAAAACTATAATAGCTGCCTCTTAAAATCAGATAGTGGATAATAATTTAGCACTAGGTTTTATATGGACACATAAAAGATCGTAGGTAAACAAAAAATTAATAACTTACTTTAACAATTGCTTACTAATATCATCCTCTTTACAGGGGAATTCACGTTTTCTACTAAACTTTAAACGAGATTCATTCAGTGTAACTCCTGGTTGTCTAGGAGTTGTCGCTGTTATATTACTAATACCACTATTGTTATTATTATTATTAATATTATTGACAACAGAAGAATAAGAAGCAGCAGTGGAATCCATGAGACGACTTTCTTTATCATTACGAAAGAGATCTGGATTTAATCCACAACTTTGATTAAGACTTTTCAACCTATATTTATTCAAAAAGAAAAATGAAAAGGAAATGAGGTAAACAAGTGAGTCACACGACTATTTCATGCAAACAGTAATAATAATAAGACAATTCAAGGCGTAGGGGGACTTATTATTACATAATCATGAATTCTTAACGCTTAGTTGTATTGTGGTGAGAGCTGGCTGCTAACCAAAATGGACAGACAGTAATTTACGTCAATGTTTACATCCTCAATATTGGTCGTGAGAAAATAAGAACAAAGACTGATTCAACTACCAATCACAGAAGACTTTGCGTAGGCGGGTACAATTTGCAGATAGATAATCTGACGTTCACGAAACAGCCACAAAAAGATGAAAGATTAACTTTTAGTGAGAAACAGTTAATCAGAAGACTATGTTTGTTTGCTTACAATAATCTATAATAATGTACATGAAAATCTATAAATATGTGTTGATTTCCTTAATAAACGGATCTGTTCCCTGGCCCTTGTCTTCTCTTGTTACATTTGGTGTCGCTGCCTACCGACAAATGGAAAGCCTATGCCCTGCAGTTTTTGATGGAGACATATGGATCTTCACGCAGGACTTCGAGGCTTCTGCGCAGTTAAGTGGCGTTCAAGATATGTCAGCGACGAGGCTGCTATTTGGGACGCTGCTGGGAGGTCGGTAGAAAGCAGCATACGAAAGTGTGAGGCGAAATACCGACGAATGTGCGACAGGATCCGGCAAACAGTTTCCAAAGTGGGAAGGACCACATATGGTCACTTTGAGATGGCGTTACGCAGACACAATCGTAATGGCAACCAAAGAGAAACAGGTGAACATCAGCATCTAAAGCGTTTCTGCTGCAAATGTAAGCAAACTGCTTTGTGTCATGCAAAGATTTCAAAGAAGGTTTAAGAACACGAGAGAGAAGTTTCCCCATGGTTTTCAAAAGTGAAGATATGAGATGGCGATTGGCCTAAACTTTAGACCTGATCTCGAAGATAACTTTGGTACAGGCAGTAACTTTGTTTCTTTCCAGGCAATAGGGGTGCTGTGAAATGATGATAGATTACTTACTTAAAATGAACACAATTACTTATTGATGCAACTTGGTATTCGACGACCGGATTTGATGTTAGTTTTGTCTGGTAATCCTGTATATAGTTGAATAAAACTAGATCTTCTTCTCTTCCTGATTTTTTCCAAGCAGAACTTTCAGAGTACTTATTATTAATGCTATTTTATAATATGCTGTTTTAATTTGAGGGATCTAATATTAACCGTCAGCATTGAAGGAAAAAGTGAGTCGATGGGACAGCAGTAGAATGTTCGCCAACCACGCATGTAGTAGTCCGGGGTTCCATCCCCGACCACGGACTCACACTCCACAAATCTCGCTAAACAGCCAGTAATAAGGCTGGTAAAGAGGTAGGGTTGGGCATGAGGTTGGCTAGCAAAACTTCATTCCGTAGAAGTAATAAACACCACTGTTACAGAAACCTAAAGGTGGCGCTAGCTTGAAGCACCCTATGTTCCACTGGGAATGCGAAGGGGAATATTAGAAATACATGTAGTATTCTAAGTGATGTTACAAAATTGGAGAAAAAATTTTTTTATTCATTTTTTTCCATCATATATATATATATATATATATATATATATGAGATGTTGTTCATTATTATATTATTATTATATTCTTTAATTCCTAGAGGAACATAGGGCTTCAGCTGCGCACCTCCATTGCCTTCTGTTTTCTGCCAACTTTTTCACTCCGTTCGAAGTCTGCTCACATATATGTGGCAAAACTATCAAGCTTATCCTTCGTTTGCGTCCCAATCATTCATCGGCTAGAGAATGACAAACATAGGTGTGCTGCGTAAAATGTTTGTTGTTGAGTTGAGTTTTATTTGTAGTTATATATTAGAGTTAAGCCTGATGAGATCTAATTGAAAACGATATTGTTCGCTTAAATGTGTTGTTCTAAATTTTACTATGGGAATATTTAATACATTGACAACTTAACAAAAAATTGTCATGCTTTCATTTTGGATGCATCAATTTTATCTCTTCTTTACTACCACTCAAACATAAAAGTATGTTATTATCATTTATATCACCATTGTAATTTCAGGTAGTGGTGTGCAGCTGATGAGAACCTGTGAAATAGAATGACGATATCATTTTATACTGCAAATTTCGTCTTCTTTTCATTATCGAAATTTATCAAGGGAACCAGCTGTATGAATTTCTTGGAAATGGAATTATTTCAAGTTCTTCATTTATATAATACGGAGAAGAAGCCATTACAAAACAAATACCGCATATAGATGAGACACAACAAGTGGAAACAAAATAACCATTTGTCTATACTATTTTTAACTCCTTCACGTTCCCAGTGGAACATAGAGGGGCTTCAATCTAGAGCCAGCTTGAAGTTTCTGTAGCAGTGGTGTTTACTTTTACGGAATGGGGTCGCTAGCCTCATGCCCAACCTTCCCTCTTTACCAGCATTGTTTTATTACTGGCTGTGGCCGGGGATTGAACCCCGGACCATGCGCATGGTTGGCGACCGTCATAACCGCTGTGCCACCGACACACAAAAGTCTATAAATCCTCTAATAAAAAAAACATTTAAAGGAGAACATTTGATCAATGATTACTCCAAAGTATTTGTTGTTTTAAAAAAATAATAAATAAAAAGCGCACCAGTAGAAAGATGTCCGCAATACCCTACTACAGAGATGCCTTCGTTAACCCTACACGCCTTGCCTATCAGACTAGTTGTTAGCAAACCTCGAGAAGAGGAAACGTCAGGCATTAGACTAATAGTACTAGTAGTAACCCTAGAGGTCATAAAGATAATGCCTATCATACTACTGTTAATGTGATATGTACCCACATGATGTGAGTTTTGTTTTTGACAGTCTATTATATTTTGCTATGTGTATATGGATCGATATTCCATTATAACTGACAATATGCTTTTGTCTGTCCACTAACTAAATAAACAATGTATGACCTTGTTGTCACATGACATTACAACCAATCATGTTAAGACTGGCTATTTATTGGTTCATGTGTATTAGCCATTTTCATATATACTTTTCAATTAGGCACTTGTACATTATTCTGGTTCACATACACGTTTTCGTACACTACGTACCATTTCATTCACACTCTTGTGTAACATTTATTTTCCTTGTCTGGAAAATACAAGTATCATCGTAAACCTGGCGGTTTTCTGATTTCTCTCTTTGCGCGTCAGGACTATTAACTACTCGACGAGTACATAATATAATTGGCGACGGGGAAAACTCTAATAACTCACTCAGCAGCAGTACATAACATAATGAAACTACAAAAAAAGGTCAAAATCCAAACTAAACCCGAACAACTTACTCTTTAAATAAATTCCAAAATTCTCGTCGATGTTTTTGATTAGTAGCAAGGAGAAATGCATTCGACTTATTGTTAATCTCTTCATTATCACTATCATTATTAGCAGCAGCAGCAGCAGAAAAAGCATCAGTATCGATTATTGAAAGGGTTAACGAATTTGCTGTTGATGAAAATTGGCGTCGTTTTGTAGTAGAAGTAGTAGTAGCAGGAGTGGTATTATTCCTTGATTTTTTTAATTCACCTGTTAATGTTGGTCTTACATGTTTGTGAACCATGGAATTATTATTATTATGATTATTATCATCGTCATCAATGGCAGCTGCATTATAACAAGAATTTTTGTCGTCAACATCATCAGTGTTGTTTATCAATGAAGAGGATTCAGAATTTGTCAGAAAATCATCCATACTAATATATTCATTAGCTAAAGCCTTAAAATGTTCATCAGTCTTGTAGTGATTACCACAACGTGAATTATTCCATTTCTCCTTTTCATCATGAATAGTAGTAGTAGTAGTGGCAGTATTGACTACCGGTAGACATGAATTCAATAATTCTACCATCAGTTGAAGTTGTCTTCTTTGTTCATTATCTAGAACACCAGTGTTGGTGGAGAACAATCTAGGCTTATTTTTTTATTATTAGTGTTATACAACACAGGTGTATGCCGCCGGTGATCTTTAAATATTGCCATAGCAGTCTGAAATTATATTGGAAAGCGACAGAAAGAGATAAGAAGAGAAATGGCGATGAATAAGTTATGTGTAACAAAAATGCATAACATGTTACTCAAAAATGATTTTTCAGTTAAATGTGTTGTATGTAGATGACACATTCAGTGCACTTGGAACACAAGATATATATATAGATAGATTTTTCGAAAACATTAACTCAAAGGTGGAGGCAATTCAATTCACTTATGAATAATTGGAAAGTTAGAACGTCAAAGAGCTTCAAATGTTAGACTGCAGCGTAAAAAGGAAAGAAGATGGGATGTTTTAAACACATTAGTGTGTTTACAGAAAACCCACAGATTCAAAAAGATATTTAAACATCCTATCATTTCACCCAATGTCAGAGAAAATAGGATTGGTGAAATGTTTACATGACAGAGCACAAAAACTTAGTAGTACCGAGGAAAATCTAAGCCAGGAAGTGATACACATAAAAGAAGTCTTGAAACTTAATAATTACCCGGATAAATTAGTCAAGAAATATGTAAGGAAATGTAAAAATAAAATAAATAATGATAGTAGCGATAGTGATAATAACAATAATGATAACAATAATAATGATAATAATAATAATATTAATGACGACACCAATAATAAGGAATATAAATCATCAGTAGTAATTGCATACAAGGAAGGAAACTCGGAAACGTTACACTGAATTCCTACCAAGGTAGGAGTAAAAGTGGCCGATATTCAAACCACCCACAAAAATCAAGTAGAAACAAGCTTTGTCAGTTAAAGGATCAATCCTGTGGAGCCTTTAAAACAAAACAATTTAGTTTATTTAATACCCTGCCTGTAATGATTGTCAGGTCAAAGTAGTAGAACAGGGGCAGTCAATCAGACTAGCCGAGCATAAAAACCTAGCAGGAAAATCTAGACTGATTGACCCAAATAAGATAAGAAATCTAGAGAATAATTCAGCTATACCAATCATCACATGCAATCACACACAACCATACAATAGGATGGACGGGATAGGATGACAGTTTTTTGAGATCTAATGTCACAGCTAGGTGGAGGGAGAGATTGTTAACGGAAGCTTTGATGATGGAATCAACTGCAAACACGTGTGATGGGAATGATTCAACACCTGACCACTAGGATATCTCGAAAATTCTACTACCCCAACGACGACAAATAGGAGAAGACAGAGAAAACTATAAAACTCAAGTTTCGAAGTCGTGTGATTATAATTGATGATATGATTATAAACAATAATAGACTGTGTCCGAAACCTCGTCATCCAGTAAACAGTAATACTGTTTCTTCACTGTGTGATACGTCTAATAAACAAACTAATACGGAATTACTTAGTACCACGGTGCCCACGTTTTACACATATATATGTTGAACAGATGACATATTTGGTTGGAAATGATGACAATTAATCCCTATGCGGTGATACCTGAAGTAGTTTAAGCGGAATTTGAACTAAGATACGAATTAGATAAGAGAGAAAGAGAGAGCATTTACATCCATAATGTGTATAAAACAAGCCTATACTTCATATAACTACGTCTGACAAAGTAAATTAAAAATGTAGAATTAGTAGAGCGATTCAAGTGGCCATTAACATTAATTAAGGTAGGCCATAAAGGCAGGAAGAAATAAAGATGAAAATAAACGAAAAAAAATATGACATGAGAAATGATGAAGATTTAACGAATCTGAAAGATGATAAAAGGCAGACAACGATTTTGAACTGTACCACCAACAATTTAATTGGTGGATAGTGACTAGCAGTGGAATCCAGATAACGTGCATTTCGACCCTTTTGGGACTTGTCAACTGGATGTACCTGAATTTCCCAGTGAGTCCGTGATGATGTTCCCACCACGGAGGCTCGAACCCAGTGCCCATAGTTTCGAACGCCAAAGCGTTATCTACTAGATCACTTGGGCCACGAGAGCCACGAAATGCGCATCCCGGATTCCAATGATAGTTACCATCCACCAATTAAGTCCTAATTAAATGCCCAGACATCATCGAAGTATCTGCACAAGAAGCCGACAGACATGTCAACCTAAGACCAATCACTTCAGTTCAATCGATCGACGGGAAATCTAAAATTCAATTAAATGCACCACCAACAGTCTCAAGTCATTTGGTTTCAAGAATTTCGATAACCCGAGCCAACAAGACTGTTTATGCATCCAGATATTATCAGTGCCATATTGTGATGTGACCGTTTTTCTAGCTCTTTTTTAATCTAGTCTTATATCAGGTAAGATGGCGAGGCAAGGAAAGCAATGGTTCAACATGCAGAAAAAATTTACCTCCTATGCATTTCAAGTGATCTAGCCTCACAACCTTGACTTGCCCTTCATACCTAACACTCTAACGCTTAACATTTGATGATGGTTTCCTATTGGTGTTACGACTTGAGTTTAAACACTTTTTGATGAAATTGTGTGGATATTCATTCGTTTTGATTACGGTTAGCAGGTATTTTCCCTTCATCCTCTTCAACACCGGGGTAGTGCTACAGTGTGTTTCGACTCTTTTAAACAATATCTGCATACAGTTTCCGTTGTGACTTCATTGGGTTTTAGTTATGGATGTTGAGTATATAAAAGTGATCAATAGAAATGTTAACTAACAACCAATCACGACAGTGGTTGTTGTTGTTGTTGTCAGGAGATACGATTATATCATCAATCATGGAGGCAGAATTCAAATAAATTCATTTCATACTAAAACCTGATCTGATGCGATGTTGTGTGGAAGGTGGACAACGAGTAGTTTGCAATTATAAATTAACCAGCTCCTCAGAAAACCTAATTACATCAAAATCATCCCCACCTGAGCTACATCCCTCCGATGATATTGGTTAATGATCGCACTAAATCACGAGTTGGCAGAAGTAAGAATTCATGGGTCCCAGTGGCTGAATGATATATGAGCTTGCCTCATAACCGGAAGGTGCTAATTTCCAACCTCGGAGGTGGGTGCGTACAACCGATGAACTAGGATGAAACAGCTGTCCAGTACTCTCTCTCTCTCTGCTAGTTTTCAATGGTTCTCTAACTGATATCAATCCTTGGTCAAACTTGAAAAAAACCAAATCTAGACCATAGAAACCAACTCTTGAAAATAAATCTTTTCCATTATTTCACGACTGAATGAGTTTCAACAGAAAATTTCGCACAGAAGTGTGCCAGCTATTCACGTTTCACGTTACTCCATAAGAGAGTAAAGGGCGATGAAAGGATTCAAAAGGAGCATTAATGAACAGAAATGTGCACAAGAAATAACAGTAACACATGGAGAAATATGAGAGTTTAGTGCATATATCGCAGAGATCACAAACAGAGAGTGGATCTGCGCTATTCGATAATGCGATTGTGAGGCATATCAGCAACTATTTCAAGCCAAAGGTACTTAGCCCTCCGAGAACCCATGGCCGTGTAGTCTCTAAGTACGTCAAACCAACAGTCGAAGATTTTATGGACTGACCACCACCTCTAACTATTTTCCAGTCTAATCTCCTAAGTCAGAATTTAATTGGTAAATGGTGACTAGCAGTGGAATTCAGAATGCGCATTTCGTCCTATTTCGGACCCGTCAGCTGGATGTACTTGCATTTCCAAGTGATAATTTCACATACACATAGACATTTCAATCGATGTGGTTCCACAACTTCATCGATTAACTTACCCTTCTTACGTAACACTCTACACGCCTAACTAACTTCAATATTGCTCAGCATGTTTATCACTTAACAGTGGGGACAGAACGCCAACCGTCTGCGGCCAAAGACAGCTGCTGCTAGCCCTCTTCATTTTCTCAACAGAGGTGCTCATATAAATTCCAGGTAGGTTTCGTAGTGAGAATGATTAACACTAACAAGCACGAAACTCAACCCAATGAGTCCACCTGATCGCTGAATACAAATACGATTAATCAATCCAAGAAATATGCGCACACACACACAAACGCAAAAGCAAAAACGTGATGAAAATATTTAAATAACTTTGATTCTAAATAAATACTCACTTCATATTGTGAACGAGCAATTAAACAATGGAATAACAGGTTGTGCTGACCAGTTTTTTGATAATATTCAAAGAGAACTTTAGCCTCCCAAATATTTAAACCTAAACCGATCAGATCAGTTAATCGACCAGCTGTATATAGAAAACAAAAAAGTGTTTGTAACAACAAGAAAAACAAAAAATATGATGAATAATTATTAATAGGAAGAATAAACAATGTAGTGCTTTCATAACACTATGGAAAAACTAATGACAACAATGATAAATGAAGTCGACATAGACATCTATAGTTGACGAAAGAATTCCCCGCTAGCAGGTTTACACAGAAGCTATTAGCACATATTTATTCTCCGTCGAGATTATTTTTACATTAGTCAGTCAGTCAAAAAACTGAAGCTATATCTTGGTTCACTTTTAAGAATAAACCAGTTTGGTTATATAGCAGTCATGGTAGATATTGAAGTAATAGGTAGATATTCTTCTCTTAGAAGAAGTAATATAGGTAGGTAGGTGGAGAGAGAGAGGTTGATTAGTGAATCCTGCCTGATTCATCGAGTCCACACCTAACACGTGCATTAGGAATGACTCATCACACATACCGAAGATACGGAAAGTACTACTGTGGTGATAGCTGACTGCTAGCCAAATTGGTAGACAATAATTTACGTCAATGCTTACATCCCCAATATTGGTCATGTGAAAAATAAGAACAAAGACTGAGTCAACAGCCAATCACAGAAGACTTTGCGTAGGCGGGTACAATTTGCAGATAGATAATCTGACGTTCACGAAACAGCCACAAAGAGATGAAAGATTAACCTTCAGTGAGAAACAACCAATCAGAAATATGTTTGTTTGCTTACAATAATCTATAATAATGTACATGAAAATCTATAAATATGTGTTGATTTCCTTAATAAACGATATGTTGCCTGACATTTGTCTCCTGTTGTTACACTCCTACCAGTCAAATCAAGCGATGACAAATAATCATGGATTTATATAAACGAAGTTAGAAAGTTGTTTCAGTGAGTAGTCGCCTTGATATGATAAGATAATGAGTGGCTGGCTGGATTCAACATAGAACTTGGCACCGAAGTGCAGAAGTTCGAGTTGCCACGTTCCAAATAGCACACAGAGGTAGACAAGAAGATGAGTGGAGAGAATCAATAGAGTTTGACAAGTATAAGAGTGAAACAGAATAGGTAATGGTAGAAAGGAATATGAAAGATTACAGAGACTGAATACATCTGCGCTGCATTGACAACGATTTTGAGCCATGTCACCTATTGTCTCCAGCCATTGATTCCTAGAGTCCCGAGGGCCCCACCCCGGGAGTCTGCATCTCCCTACCTGACTCAGTTTAACTGTCAAGGATTTCATGGATTGATGCCATGTTTTTGTTTGGCCACCACTGGCTCTTTTCTGACCTGAAACTATGTCAGCTAACAATGCCCGTCGGGGGAGGCGGTGGTTAGGCATGCGCACCACGTCACCTAGCCATCTTAGTCTATGTAACTTTATAGCCTCGTCGATTGATTTTCCCTCTTTGCCCAACACTCTACGCCTAACGTCAACATTACTTATCTTGTGAAACCACCTAACGTGAGACAGGGATCGCAGACATCTATGATCGAAAGCAGTCAACCTTTTCATGTCTTCAACGCGTATTGGCCATGTTTCAGAGCTATAGAGAAGGACGGAGCGAACTGATGAGCAGTACACACGTCCCTTGGTTGATAACCGGATGTCACGCCTACGCCAGAGATGGTGTAAGTCAGCGAAAGCAGCTCGAGCTTTTCGGATCCGTGCTGAGATTTCATAGCCAATCAGTCCGTTGGTGCTAATACAACTTCCCAAGTAGGTGAAGTGGTCAACATGTTCTATCACTTCACTCCCTATCACTAAGCTAGGAGTTGACGTATTCCAGTCCTGTAGCAGCATCTTACATTTTGCAGGGGCGAATCGCATGCCAAACATACGAAGATTGCTGCTCAAGATGTTCAGAAGACTCTGCATTTTGTCAGCATCCTCCCCTAACAGGACTATGTCATCTGCATATTCTAAGTCCATAAGATTATTCCCTGGTAACAAGTCGATTCCTAAGTCATTACGTTCAGTTAAGGATACTTCCGTTAGCATATCTATGATGAAGTTAAACAGAAATGGAAAGAGTGGACATCCCTGTCGGACACCACTGGTTGTTACTAATTCAGATGACAATTCCCCATAAGCCCTTACACGACTACGTGAGTTTGAATAGAGTGCCTTGATTAGTGCAATGTACTTTCTTGGCACTCCCTTCACAGTCAGACATTGCCATAGTACCTTTCGATCCACGGAGTCGAAGGCCGCCTTCAAGTCAAGAAATATGACAATTGTTGGACGCCGAAAAGTGTGTCTATGTTCTAGAATCTGTCGAAGAGTGAAGATATGATCTATGCACCCTCTACCTGGTCTAAAGCCTGCTTGATTTTCCCTTGTCTGTTCCTCCCGAGTTCTGCTTAGTCTATGCATGATTACTGAGCCTAGGATTTTAGAGACTATGTTCGTTAGGCTGATCCCTCTATGATTATCACACGAGGACTTGTTTCCCTTCTTGAATATCGGTATAATAAGTGACTTACCCCAGTCTGATGGAACTTCCTCTGATTCCCACACTTTGCCTAGTACCTCAGTTAATCTACAAACTAGTATGTCACCCCCATATTTAAACACCTCCGGAATAATTCCGTCGGGTCCTGCCGCTTTGCCTCGTTTCAAATTACTGATAGCTTTTGTAACCTCACCTACAGACGGCGGACCAGTGTCTATATCCCATTCGGGTACGTGGTGGATGGCGGGGAGGTTCAGTGTGGCTGTAGGCAAGTTAAATTGTTCCTCAAAGTGTTCTTTCCAGCGTTCAAGGCGTCTATCCTGAGAGCTAATTAAGGAGCCATTTTTCTCAGAAATAGTCTCACTTATGAATTGCCTTCTCCCACCCGAATCTGTGATGAGTCTAAAGAGTTGCCTAGTGTTGCCTATCGCCGATGCTTTTTCCATCTCTTTGCCTTTGTCACCCACCACTGTTCACGGTCCTTGCGGAGACTTTTAGTAAGTTTCCTTTTGTGCAGCTTTCGCTCCTCATTGAATTCGGAGCTCGCCGGAATAAGTCTTCTAGCATCTATCAGTTCGGATGAGGCAGTCGAAATCCAGTGGTTTTTACTCACCTTTGGATTTGCCTTATTCACAGCTTTTATAGTTGTATCTATAGCTGACTGAATATTCTTCCAGGCTTCTCCAGGGTGAGCACAGCTGTCGAATTCAGATGTGCGTTTAGCTAGTTCTTCCTCAAATAGGGATTTAGTTTCCTGATCGAGCTGGGGACGTGATGGTTTTACCGCTAGCTGTTTCCTAATAATGAGTGACAATAGATTGTGGTTGAAACATCGTCATCAGTAAATATTACTGTACAACATTGTGAGACTTTATCAAGTAAATTCTACTCATAATGGAATTATACTCTACACAGTGCACAAGTTCTCTTTTTGTATTGATAGGATTTCAATAAATCACAGTTTAATATAATTCTATGGTGTGTTTGAACACAGTAGAGATCACCATTCATTGAGTGTCGTCATCTGGGAACACCGGCTCCTGTAGCTTGGACATGTGCTCCGAATGTCCTCCCAGGGGCTTCTGTACATGTCTCTGTTCGCTAGCCAGCCCTGGGACAGGATGGAAAAGGCGGAGGGGTGGTCAGTCCATGACGTGGCGTCGTGGAATGAAGGATTTTTGTGCTAGATTAGCATCGGTTGGTGCATCACGACTCCCTGGTTGTGGGCCGCGAGACAGCTCGAATCGATGGCTCGAAACGTTACGTTATCGGATATGGCCAAGAATAATAATCAATGGCGAACGTGTTGCAATTACCTTCTTTCTTTCCTTCCCGATGATAATTGACGAGTACTGTTTGAACTTGTTAAGTATGTCTCTTCTCCTTCCAGATGAAGTTATTTATCCGTTCTCTGCTTATATTTTTTTAACTTTTGATCTATGTTGTTTTATTATTATTATTGTGTGGCGCATCTTTCTTGGTGCCATATTGTACCAAGTTTTTTCTGTGCTTAAATAAATAAATACATAATAAATACTAGATTTGGTGTTGAACAGAGTTGTCCAATCTTAAGGCAGTTTACAGCCGAACTATTCCCCAGATTTCTTATCTTTTCGGGTCAACCTATAAAGAATTTGCTACGTTTTTATGTTCAACTAGTAATAATAATAATATTATAATTATTAATAATATAATAATATGATTATTATTATTATTAATATTATAATAATGATAATGACGACATGCATGTCAAATATGCGCAAGACAACACCAACAATAAGGAATCTAAATCAACAGTAGTAATTCCATACAAGGAGGGAAACTCGGAAACCTTACGCAGAATTCCTAACAAGAGAAGCAGGAATAAAAGTGGCTGGAATTCAAACCACCCACAAACTCAATTAGAAACTAGCTTTGTCGGTTAAAGGATCCTGTGTAACAGTGCATTAAACGAAACAATTAAGTTTATCTAATACCATGGTATTAGATTGGTTGACGTAAGTAAGATAAGAAATCTAGAGAATAGTTCAGCTATACCACTCACTACGTGCAATTACACATAATCATACAATAGAATGGGTAAGATAAGATGACAGTTTTTTGAGATCTAATGTCACAGCTAGGTGGAGGGAGAGATTGTTAACGGAAGCTTTGTTGATGGAATCAACTGCAAACACATGTGATGGGAATGATTCAACACCTGTCCAGTCGGACATCTAGAAAATTCTACTACCCCAATGACGACAAATAGGAGAAGACAGAGAAAACTATAAAACTCAAGTTTCGAAGTCTTGTGATTATAATTGATGATATGATTGTAAACAATAATCGATTGTGTCAGAAACTTCGTCATCCACTGTGTGAATCGTCTAATAAACAAACTAATACGGAATTACTTAGTACTACAGTGCCCAAGTTTTACACATGATATATTAATAAGACTTGATGTCTTTGATAATATAATTCCAAGTGTTCATCGTCACAATACATCATGAAGTAATTATATCACAATCGAATAAAGAAAAGCATCTGTGACAAGCATATACACGAATATAAAATAAACGTTATTTTTAACCAACCAATTCAAAGTCATCAATACTGTACACTACTTACCTTGTCTACAGATTTCAGCCAGTTGAATTAACGAATCACGCGCCAATCTGTCGACAGCAGTCAACAAAACAGCTGGTAAAGGTGTATTATTATGCAACTGATTCATTTTTTGGACTAAACTACGCAATTTTGATAAAGCTAAGTAGGGTGCACCAATTGGTTTCATATTTAAGATATCAGTTTTACTACTAGTCGTAGTAATGGTGTTGGCAAAATTAAAGCCTCCTTTACATGATAATTGATGATGAAGCGAAGTAGGCGTGTTAATTGTTAAGTATTTTAATAAATCACCGATTAACTCAGATCTTCCATAATGTTTAAATAAATTAATCATAATATTAATTTGATTTGGGAAAAGATCTTTGTACACTGGACAATTTGACGACACTGGTACTACTTGTGTTACAGAAGAATTAATGATAAACGATAGTATATGCGGTGAGATAGACTCCTAGAAATCAAACAAAAAAAAATAGCAAGCAAATAAAGTAAATAAATAAACGAGGAAATATGTAGACGAAAATCGATTATGATAGTAATCATCAAGTGTAATCGAAACAGTAAGGAGGTGGGTTTACCTTTTTTTTTAAACCCAACAACTGATGTGAATGAAGTCATTGGAAATATGTGGATCACTCGAATGATCCACCGCCTCACAGACAAGCGAAGTTGAATGATCGAAGAATCTCGTAAGTGGTGATTGATTTCCAGAAAAGTCAATGCAAACAGAGCAGATTTTTTTATCTATTTTTTTCTTCACGTTCCCAGTGGCTTCAAGCTACAACCTTGAAGTTTCTGTAGCAGTAGCGTTTATTTTTACAGGATGGGGTTGCTTACCTCATGCCCAACCTTTCCTCTTTACGAGCTTTTTATTACTGGCTTAGCAAGGTAAAGGAGTGCGTCTGTGGCTGGGAATCGAACCCCAGACCATGTGCATGGTCGGCGAGTGTCGTAGCCGCTGCGCCACAGACGCGATTTTTTTATACCTCCGTTAAACAATAAGAAAACGGTTAAAACTGGTAGACAGCAATTTATGTCAATATTCACGTCCTAAATCTTGGTCATAAGAAAAAACACGAACAAAGCCTAACCTTAGGGAACTCAACAACCAATCATAGCAGACTTAGCGTGCGCAGATACGATTCGCGGATATATAGATAACTTTGTAAGCAACGGTCACAAACAGTACAGAATAACCTTCAGCAAGAAAACAACCAATTAGAAGACATTGCTTCTCTGCTAAAATATCGAATAATAATGTACGTAAATATATATAAATATCTTTTGATTTTCTCAATAAAAGATCTGTTGCCCAGCCCTTGTCTTCTGTCGTTACAAGATCATACGCATACAGTGTACAGAGGCCAATGCAGTCCTTTACAGTACTAAATAGATAACAATATATACCACCAATGAGTTTTCACAAAAACTGAGTATGTAAGTATACATCCTTTGATGGATTATCTTCTATTACGTCTATGTAATTGTAAATTTACCTAAACTGACACTGAAATATACTTCACGTCTCACGTAGTTATGTGTTCTCGCTCAAGTAGAGAGGACAAGGAGATCAGGTAATTGTTGTCTACGATGACGTAGTAGCCTATCCGGTTGCGAAATCTTCACGTTCCCGTATTTTCAACCCCTACGTTTTTGTAAGATGTTTTCAAAAAAAAACAATAAAAATTTTTACAAATATATTACACATACTTGAAAATAACCTCGATCCATAAGCCAAAGTGATATAATCGTCGGGATAAGAGGATAAGCAGAAGGGAATGCTTTGACAAACAAAGACATTACATAACGACACTGTAAAAGAATTAAAACAAGCCGACAAATGATGATGTATCTTTCAAAGAAATACAAAAGAGGCACTAGTAGATGACACAAAACCCAGTGGACAAGATGAGTACTGCCCAGTCACTACTACATGTTTTTACGAGTTGATCACGGATTGATATAAGTTAGAGAACCATTGAAAACCAGCCACAGGGAGTACTGGACAGCTGTTTCATCCTAGTTTGGGAATCATCGGCAGTAGGCACTCACCACCAGAGTTTGAACCCAGGACTTTTCGGTTACAAGGCAAGCCCGTATACCATTCAGCCACTGCGACCCGATTCAATGGCCCATTAATTCTAACTTCTACCAATTCGTACCAGTGGCTGAACGGTATACGAGCTTACCTTGTAACCGGAAGGTCCTGGGTTCGAACCCCAGTGGATGCGTACTGCCGATGATTCCAAAACTAGGGTGAAACAAATGTCCAGTACCCTTTGGTTTTCAGTGGTTCCTTAACTAGTATCAATCCGCGATCAACTCGTAAAAACAAAACTAACCTATACAAACCAACTACAGAAACTACTATGTATTTCCATCCTAATACTGTTGAGCTTTAAATCAACACACATATAGATATAGTAAAATAGACATTCAGTTATATTGGTGAAGTCTCACCTCTATTCATTCCATAATTAATGCTAAAAAAGCGGAAAATTGTGGTTACTATGGTCCATTGAATAATGATTGTTCCATTATTCAACAGTTAGTGAGAAATCGACTGACTTTACAATGATTATTCATCAACAAAAAATAATAAAATCTCCATATACTGTGCGTCAGTGGCACAGTGGTTAGAACTGTCGCCGATCATGAACATGGTCCGGGGTTCGATCCCCTGCCGACGCACACTTGACATCAATGGTCGGCCTGATGAATTTGGGCTATCGATATCACATGCTGAAAATTGCATACTTGTACCAAAAATACAGTGTGCAATCAAGCTATATCTACCCTCGGGATTTTATAAAACGTTTTAAACCCAAAAACTTTCATATTTGCAATAAACTCAAGAAAAAGCACCATGGAGGTTGGCAGCGTGCCTTAAAATCTACACCCATACATCACACCACTGTTCCAGTTATCATTAGTACCAACTGCCGGTCCCTGCCTAATAAAATTCTGGATTTTCAGTCTCTGTTGTCTTCTAGTACCTACCACAATACTGGTATTGTCACTCTGCAAGAAACCTGGCTCCATGACTCATACGATGACAATATTGTGTCTCTAAACAATTTCAATGTTTTTCGACAAGACCGTATTTGTTCCAAGAAAAAGTGTGGTGGAGGTGTTGCAACTTTTATTCACTCAAAATGGTCCATTTCAAACAAAGTTTGTTTCAAATTCTCGAATGACTTCATTGATTGCATCACTGTGAGATGTCGCCCGAAACACATTTCAAAATACAAATTCATTTATATTTCTAATGTTTATGTCTCTCCTGGCTGTACCATATTGGATTTATCTATGTTCGCCGATGAATTCACCGCTTTTGCTGCAGCTTGCTTCGAGAACTCTTTATCAATAGTAACTGGTGATTTTAATTCATGCGATCACTCCTTCCTTATATCACTTGGTCATGACAATATTGTCAACTTTGCCACCCGTCTTGGTAAAAAATTGGACCTGGTATTTATCAATGATGTTGGTATATATGAAGCTCGCAAACGTGCTCCTCTACTTAATTCTGACCACTGCATCATACGTGTGCTGCCTAAAATATATTCCAAATCACACAAAGGTGTCCTCTCTCACCTCTGCAGTAAAGTTCAACGGAGATGCTACTCAAAAGACAACCTAGACAAGCTCAGATGCATGTTGAAAGACACTAACTGGGACTTATTTACAGAACAAACATTAGATGAAACAATCACAAACACTACTGATTATCTTAAATTCTGTTTCGAAATATGTTGTCCTAAAGAAACATTATTCATCCGATTTGATCGCTTATCTTCGCCATATCTCAAAAAGCTACGTAGAAATAAAGAACTGTTGTTCAAAACTAATGATAAGCCTGGTGTAAAAAAGTTAAACATGCTGATAAAACTGGAAATAAAAAGACTAAGTGTTTTATATAATCAAAGATTTTTGTCATGTAAAACCCCTTCTAATTTATGGAAACTTTTCAAAGAAATTACTAACGGTAAGCGATGTATTTCTGTTCCATCTCTTAATGTTGACACTCTTAATAAATCTTTCATACGCTCTTCTGTTGATACCCTTCCAAATGATACAAATCATATTGACAATAACTTTAGTGGTTTTAATACCCTTGATGTGCTTAAATGTCTCCGGTCTCTTAAGCCTTCTCAAAGCCTTGGTCCTGACGGCATACCTGCCATTGTCCTCAGGAATTGTGCTGATATTTTGTGTTATCCTCTTACTAACATTTTTAATGCCTCTTTTTCCGGTAACGTTCTACCTTTTGCATGGAAAAACATTAAAATTATCCCTATACCAAAACCATCTTCTGGTTCTGATATTAAATTTCGGCCTATTGCAATTACTTCCCCCTTTTTAAAATTGATGGAAAAATTACTTTTACTTCGTCTTGAACCCGCTTTGAAACCTTTTAATGATCCTAAACAATTTGCATACAAACATGGTAGAAGTACCTTGGATGCTGCGGTTGTCTTATATCACAATGTTGTCTCTTGTTTAGACAAAGGTGCTAAATATGTTCGTAGTGCTTTCTTAGACTACACATCTGCTTTTGACTCTGTACCTAGGGGCCTTTTATTAAATAAGCTATCATTGACACAAACAGGATCCTGGGCTAAGAGTTGGTTGCATTCCTATTTTTCTGATAGAATGCAGTATACTGTATATAACGGCAAATCTTCTTCTACCTCGCTTACAAAATCCGGTGTTCCACAAGGTGCTGTCCTCTCTCCTTTTCTTTTTTCTTTCTTCCTACATGACCTACCTCATTCAAACGAAACTAACTTTGTCAAATATGCAGATGATCTGACTGTATCACTGCCTATCACTTCCGAGTCTGACAGCTCCAAACTTAATAGCTTTCTGTTGGACATCAACAACTGGTCCAAGTCAAATGGTCTTATATTAAATCCTTCCAAATGTCAGGTGCTTGACTTTACTTTCAAGCATCGACGTGACTTACTTGAACTAGTTAACTCTCATGATCCCTGTAGCATAGATGGCACGGAAATTGAAACCAAATCAAGTATTAAATACCTTGGACTAGTTTTTTCCTCTGACCTTTCATGGTCATCCCATATCTTATCTATCTCTAAGAAAATGTTTCGTCTTACCTTCTACATTAAAAAGTTAAGACAATCAGGTATCAACCAACCTTTAGTTTTGCAATTTTTAAACTCCTGTATTTTACCTATTGTACTCTACTGCTCTCCATTAATCTTTCCTGGGCTGCTCAAAAAAGATTATATCATATTACGAAGAGTATTAAATGCTGTGAGTAGAGCTTGTGGTCTGCCACTGCATGAGCTCGCTAATACTATAGTCGAGAGGCATATAAATTCCTGTACGAAATGGGCAAAGGCTATAATGTCAGACCCTCTGCACCCCCTTTATTCACACCTGTCCCCTTGTATCTCATCAGGTAGGACGAGAAGTCAATATAAAAAGATATATGCTCGTACTACTAAGTATAGAAATTCTACAATACCCTATTTAGCGCGTACTTTATGTGACGAAGACTCTGTTAGACGTGAAACTTACAAGTTACTATGTAATTAGCACAGTGAATCGACCCTTTTATCGTTCATCTTTCTGTATTTTATGGTGTTACACTTTCTATCGTTTAAATCGTTACTCTGCTATTTTATATTAGTTGGTATTACTATTATTACTACAATTTTGTACTTTATACATATTTTTCTCCGTATGGCACACAGTATTTTGCTACGTAGCTGCTACAACAATCGTTTTATTACTATTATGTATTGTGTATTTTTAATTTTTTTTGTCGTTTTTGGGTAAATTAGATGCAATATTGTACTGAATGCTGAAAATTCCTTGCTGTATCATGAGTACTGTTTTTGGAATAAAGCAATTATTATTATTATTATTATTATTATTATATCAAAATATGAAAGATTATTTAAAACCACTCTAATCAAGGAAGCGTAAAAAATATTTGCATCTTACTCAATAACCTCTTGGAAACTACTTGACCACTATGGAGTTCAATGACTTAAATCTTCTATCAACATCATTCAACAGTCATATAATAATGCTACGTGTCAGGTGATCCATAACGGGAAATTCAAGAAAGCCTTTGAAGTGCACACAGGAGTAAGACAGCGCTGACTGCCTATTGTCACCGATGATATTCTTAATTGTTATGAAATGAATTATACGTCAGGCTTGTGGGATGTCAGAAGATAGGAATACACTGCACCAGTGACAAGGGGACTCTAGAAAGTCTGGACTTCGTATATATATATATATATATATATATATATATATGGTAAATGTCTAGTGTCACACAAACTCGAAGAATTACAGGAGTACAGCAACAAACTGGCTGAAGAAGCTGGCAAGCAGCGGAGACAGTCACTCCCTTCACTTATCTAAGAAGTATTATTTCAACCACAAGAGACAACAGGGAAGAGAATATCATCACTGAACAGGATCCGAAAGGCAAGGTAGACATTCATCACTTTGAAATCAATTCGGAAGTTGTCCGCACTAACTCAACATAAAGAACAAGATTCGGATTTTCAACACCAGTCAGTCAACATCAGTCAGTGCTTCTGTATATGTCAGAAACTTGACCAGCACATCACGAAAACCATCTCCACCAGGCTATGACAGACTTTTATCAACAGCTGCCTTCCCTGGCTCCATCTTGAAGATCGGAAGGATGGTAACAAGAAACTGTAGGAACGAACCAACCAAGAACCTGCCGTTTAACAAATAAAAATAATTTTTAATAATAATTTTTCCTTCACGTTCCCAGTGGAACATAAGGCTTCAAGCTAGAGCCAGCTCTCAAGTTTCTGTAGCAGTGGCGTTTATTTTTACAGGATGGGGTTGCTAACCTCATGCCCAACCTTTCCTCTTTACAAGCATTATTACTGGCTTAGCAAGGTAAAGGAGTGCGTCTGTGGCTGTGAATCGAACCCCGGACCATATGCATGGTCGGCGAGCGTCCTAACCACTGTGCCACCGACGCTCCGTTTAACAAATACGCTGGAGAAAATGTAAATGGATTGAGAAGACCATCGAATGGCATTGTGTTCAATGCAGACCATCGTTCGAGTGGGACTCGAATGAAAAACAACGACGGGGAAGTCGCTTCGAGAGTGAAGTTGAGATCACGTGAGGAGATGAGAGATTATGGGCAACCATGAGCCCAGCTGAAGAGGATAGCAGAAAATTTAGTGAAGTGGAGCTGAGTTGTTGAAGCTGTACGTTCTATTTGGAACCCAAGGGAACAATAACAGTGACAATAACCACTTACATTCCTATGAAAATGGCAGTGAGTCCCAAGTAGTCTGCAACAACAGAAGGGAAAACACGGGAGCCAAAGTATGAGTAAATAAATTAGGTATCTAGTGTTGTGCTAAATTCAGTTCACCGCTCGTGAGATTAAAATGATGAACAAGTTCAAATCAAAGAGTCAAGTCAACGAACAATGTGTTCAATTAATATCTCCTTACAGGATGGATAACTGGCTGACATCGGTTAGACAATCATTGGAAAACCAACACAGGAGTACTAGACAGCCAGCTATTTCATACCAGTGCTTGGGTCTTTTCAATAGTATTCACCCACACCAACGGGGTTCGAACTCAGGATCTTTCGAGGCGGGGCGAGCTCATAGACGACCATTTTTTCAGCCACTGAGACCCAACCCAATGGGTTCATGAATTCCAACCTCTCAGCCAATTCGTGATATCATTTTCATCAAGTGTATTTATAAGTTTCAACAGATAGTAGTGTCTGCTCATCATCAAGCAATAAAAAATAAGTAAGTCCACAAATCATAAAATTGCACAAACAAGTCTAACTTACCATTTTTAAAGCCTTTAATGCTTCAGAACTTTTACAATCAACATTATCCTCCATTTGAACAGTGTTACATTTATTCACCTTAGTATTCACATTAGTACTACAAGTATTATTATTATAATCATCATAATCAGTATCAATTATCATTTCACTGTTCCCAAGATTATTATTATTATTATTATGTTGATGTTTGTAATGGATTAAAAATGTTTCAGCCGCTGTATCACATAATAAAAAGCCTAAAATACATAAACGTGATCGTCTAATCTTTTCATTACACGGTATTTGCCATAATGCACATAAAGATTGTATATTTCTTGGAGGATAAATTAACCAATCTGGTATAATCGATTGAGATGTAGGCATCTTTTCATCATCATCATCATCATCAATTGGAGAATTGTTCAAATTTAGTGTTTTACGCTGATCTGACATAACTTGTTCTTGTTCTTTCCAAATATTATAAACTTCATTTTGAGTAAAACTGATGCTTTCATCACGATTTGAATTCACCTTTAATGAAGAAGATTGAAGTGCAGAGTGTAAGAGATATTCACTAATACTAGTCAATTGTTTGCTTGCATTCTCTGTGATGAAATCTGTTTCATTATTAGGTTGATTAGACATTAATCGTGTATTACGTAAATCATTGATAGATTTTGATAAAATAGATGAATTATACGGTTGAAGAACTGTTGAATTCATTCGACTAAAAAAAGAGTAGAAATAGAGAAAAGTTATCTTGCTTCAAATTAATCGAATAATTTAGAATATATTGAATTGAATTTTTGATTTTCCCGTACTGGGTTCGAGCCTTAGTGGGAACGTCATCACTCACTGAGAAATGCAGGTACATCCAGCTGACGAGTCCCAAATAGGACGAAATGCGCATCCTGGATTCCACTGCTAGTCACCATCCACCAATTAAATTTAGAATATACTTGTACAATTACACACGTATCAATCCATTATGGGTAAAAATTTATTTTGATAAAGTCTTTATATACACAGTGGTGTTATACAGTAAGTAATATTTACTGATGACGATGTTTCAACCACAATCTATTGTCACTCATTATCTTATCATATCAAGGCGACTACTCACTCAAACAACTTTCTAACTTTGTTTATATAAATCTATGATTATTTGTCATCGCTTGGTTTGACTGGTAGTAGTACTTTTCATATTTCCGGTATGAGTGATGAATCATTCCTAATGCACGTGTTGGCAGGTGTAGACTCCATAAACCAGACAGGATTCACTAATCAACCTATCTCTCTCTCTCCACCTACCTATATTACTTTTTAGAATTTTGACTCTGTCCCACACACCCTATTGTGTGGTTGTGCGCTGTTAATTCATACAGTGCGATTGCTGGGCTTTCTTCTGAATTACCCATTTTCGCGAGTGGGGTCAATTATCCTACACACTTAGTTAAATTCTTATTTTCTGATAATCTCACTACCCTTGATCTACTAGTTTGACTTATGTAGTTGACCTGACTTACAGTCACTGCAAAGTATTTAGTAAATTACATTGTTTTGTTTAATTGAGTCCATCGGGTCCTTTAGTCTACAGAGCTTGTTTCTGAGTAAGTTTGTAGGTTTGAATGCCACCCGAATTCCTGCTTTATTGAGAATCCTAAGTAGGTTCTCAGATATCCTCTCCGTATATGGTAAAACTGTAGATGTCTTATATTCTCTCTTATTTACATTATCAGTATTAGTTTCCCCATTATTTTAATTTTGCTTTTGGCCTTTCCTGATCTTAATGAATTTTATAGGACAGTTATTCAACACTAACGCTTTCTCTATCTGTTTTATTTTATCACTTAGGTCTTTGCTTGTACTACTTAGCGCTACTGCACGGTTTTTAGACAACGGATGACATGAATGAAAGTCTGAATATCTACTAGAATGCGTTGGCTTTTTATGAACGCTAGTGTGTAGTGTACCTTATTCTGTTCGTTTTACTTTACAATCCAACATCATGGCTAATTCTCCTTGTTCATTTTCCAATTCAAAGGTCAATTTTATTCCCTATACTAGTGAGTTTATATGTATCAAGAAGCTAGAGAGAGATAGAGATGTTCTGTTTTTAACACTGTGAAAGCGTCATCCACATATCTCCACCATATTTTTAGAGTGGAATTAAATGTATTGACAGCAATATTTTGCCAGCTGTCCATAAAGATATCCTGCTACGATAGGAGATATTGGTGATCCATCCCATCACTATACCTTTTGTTTGTATATATATTTTGCCCTGAAACTTAAAAATAGCAGATGTGAGGCATAACTGAATTCCTAACATAATTTCCTCAATGGACAGCTTTGTCCTATGAGTAATTTCGGGATCTGCAGTTAGTTCTCTTTAAACTGCTTCTAAGGCCATATTGACTAGTACATTAGCATATAATGACTAGTTATATCAAAACTAACCATTGTTTCATCATTCTCTAGTTGAATGTCATTTAGTTTATTTTTCATCTCATATGAATTAGTTAGTTAGTCTAGAGTTTGGACGATTTCTAATGCGACATAATATTAGAGCTAAGTCATATGATAATTCATATGCAGGAGTATTCCTGAAATCTACTTTTGGTAATATGGGGTAACCCGACACATATGCATTTTAATAGTACCATATGTTCTACTGTAGTGAGAGCTGGCTGCAAGCCAAGATTGTAGACAACAATTCACGTCAATGTTCTTGTCCTGCATCAGTGTCATGAGCAAGACAATAACAAAGCTTAACCTTGAGAAAATCACCAGCCAATTACAGTGGAGTTAACGCGTGGAAATATAATTCGCAGAGAAACGGCCACAAAGACATAACAGAATAACCTTCGGCAAGAAAACAACCAATAAGAAGAGGTTGCTTCTCAGCTAACAATAAGGTACAAAAAAATCTATACATTTTCTGTTGATTTTCTCAATAAAGGATCTGTTGCCTGACCCTTGTCTTCTGTCGTTACATTACTAGCACTATTAGTTTTAGGCATTAAATTAAACCATTTAGAACTGTAGATACTTTATATTTTTCTCTTATTTATGTTATCCTTATTACATATATCTGGTTAGAAATAAGGTAGAAGGTTAAAAAAAATGCAGGTTGAGGCATGGTTCTTGTTAGGTCGGTTGCATTGTGAAGTTTCTTTCATTGGAATTTTACTCAAGCTAACACACTGTAAACTGATGTAGGGATATGCAACCATATTAGAGTGATCCAGTTGAATCTATCGTATGCTAAAAGTAAAACTTTTTAAAAATGTTATTCCTTTATATTCCGTGTGGAAAATAGGGTGGTTTCAAGCACGAGCTGAGAAGTTGCGGTAACAGTGGTGCAGTGTTTTTTTACGAGGTGTGGAGGAGTTGCTAGCCTCACGCCTAACCTTTTTCTTTACCGGTCTTTTTATTGACCTAGCGTTTGGCTGGGGATCGAACTCCGAACCACATGCATGGTTGGCTAGTGCGTTCCTAACGCTGAACCATACTCACGACAAGTTACAATTTATGAATTGCTGAATTCCCGTCGATTGTTCTCATTGGGAGGAAATATTCAGCTTCAGGTAAGAGCATTCTGTTATGTACTCGTCGCTAAGTTATTGTTATGGACTGGTCGAGAAAACTAATAGTCCTGACGCGAGAAGGCGGAAATCAGAAGACCACTAGGTTTGCGATGATACTTCTATTGTCCAAACACAAGGAGACGAAAATAAATGGTCTCACACCAAAGTGGTAAGTAAGTAAAGTAGTTGTAAAGTAAAGTAGTTCACACAAATTGTGAATGCGAATATATATAAATGTTCCAGACAAAGCGTGGGAAAAATCATTAGACAGTCTTAACATGAATGGCTAATTATAATGGAGTGTCGATCCAATTATACATAGCGAATATAGCAGACATGCCAACAAACATATATGGATATATGTCACCAAGCAACGGACTGTCAACAAACACTCATATTATATTTAATATAATATAAGGAGAATATACATTATTAAAGGAGACAAGTTCATACCAGTGAAATGGTCACAGACTAACCGAGCAAACAGAAAGAGAGACCAACATACACACACACATAAATATATATGTGGATACATATCACATTCGAACGATGTTCATGGGTTAGCAGGATTTCACTTGGCTAATGGTGACTTGTTCTTACTTCAGGCTCATCAACTAGATGTACCTGAGTCCTCAAAAAGTGACAGTGTTCCCACTGACACGTTGCCTGAAACTCCTTAGATTCCACTGGCTGTTCAACACACACCTTATTTGTCATGAACTCAATCAAGTCCCACCCGCCCCAAAAAAATAACTTTAAAATTAAGCGAAGAAACAAATGAAAACAAGAATTTCACAAACCTGTCAGAGAATTCCTCATTTGATGTTTGCGGTAAAATTCCTAAACGGAAAAGGAATACTACAAGTTTAGCATAGGATAGATATGTCTCTATGCTCAGCTGTACAGGATTCTCATTAATGAATGATTTAATTGACACATCTGAATGCGTTGTTGAATTAAACCAATGTTTAGCCAGTGTTGATAATAGTTGTATCTGAAAATGTAGACAAATGGAAACTTTATATGGTTATATATACATATATACACTAAAGCAATGAGCGGCTTTATTGTATACCCCATCAGTTTTAGAGTCATAGTGTGGTGAGAGCTGGTTGCTAGCCAAAATGGTAGACAATAATTTATGTCAATGTGTATACGTCCGCAATATTGGTCATGAGAAAAATCAGAACAAAGACTGACTCAACTACCAATCACAACAAGCTTTGAGTAGGCGGATACAATCAGCGGATAGATGATCTAACATTCAAGAAACAGCCACAAAGAGATGAAAGATTAACGTTCAACGAGAAATCACCAATCAGAAGACTGTGCTTGTTTGCTTATAATAATATATTTTCAAATTGGACATCAGTCTCTACATGATCAACCTGATTACGTCTGTCACAGAATTTTAAACCGAGAGATAAGGCTTCAAGCTGTGTCTTATCTAAGCATACAGAGGAAAAATTGAAAACGTACCGTTATAATAATATATAAAAATGTACATGAAAATCTACAAATATGTGTTGATTTCCTAAATAGACGATCTGTTCCCCAGCCATTGCCTTCTGTTGTTACAATAGTATGTTGCAATGATGGTTCAATGACAGGTTATACACTTGTACAATTCTTTAAATGAGATTTTGCATTAAAACTGTCTTTATTACGCACATATTATCGCTGACATTATATTCGTGAACTGCGTTAAATTTGCTGCACCTAAATCACAACACCCCTGGCTTCATACTGATATCGGGGCAGATCAATGGAGGCAGAAAGTTTTAAAAGTTAAACGCAGATTATTGGATTTTCATGAAATTACTGAAACACCCAAATATCCACCGGATAAAGCAGGTGGCACCACCTCCGAAAAGGGATATGCCGAATAATCGCCAACCTAGCAACAATCGCCGCCTCTCAATTCCTCCATCCCATTAAAAAATTTGTGCATACCTCAATTATCTCAAACAGGCAGCAATTTGATTATCTTTAGCCTGGCTATAAAACTGGTCTTATCGATCCCCATAGGAAAAGAAAGAAAACAAAAGCTTGCCACACTTACAGAAAATTGCACCAAAAATGGGCGCCGACCTAGCTGAAAGCTAATCAAAACCTGTCTATAGGCATTTTCGACAATATCGAACATTGTGACAATTTGAACTGATACACTAGTTTTTACATGATCTTCTCCTTTGTAGGAAAAGTTCTTTCTCTCAGTTGCGTAGTTACAACTTTGGAGGATATAATGACAGTGTGATTACAAAACTATGCGCAGATTCACTTAAGATAGCCAACGTCTAAGCTTATCAACCGAAGATTATGAATACAGACACACAAAAAACTACCTCGGTAAATGGAATGAAGCTTGAACCAGCAACCTACTAAATCTGTCTGAATGACTCAAAGCCTTATTACCTGTAAATTTGTTTTCTACTACTGAAGAGTTAATAGTAGTTTATTTAATCCTAGTAACTATTACAGACCCGACTTTGGAAAGTGAGTAAGTACCCACAATTAGTCTATCAATGATATAAGTATAAAACTTGGGCACTCTGATAGAGTAAAACTCCATTACACATAAAATTTTATTTTGATAAATCACACAGTATTTGTTATACAGTAATATTAACTGATGAGCACGTTTCGAACGCGAACTACTGCCGCTCATTATCATCATGTCAAGTCACTCACAAAAAATAATATAATTAACAAAATACCTTGCAATGACAAACAACCACACAATAGATTGGGTGGGATAGAGTCAAAATTCTAAAAAGTAAGATAGGTCGGTGGAGAGAGAGGGACAGAAAGACTGATTATTGAATCCTGTTTGATTCATCTAGTCTACATCCAACACATGCAACAGAAATGTCTCAATGTAAATACTAGAGATATGGAAGGTCGTGTTACCACCAGTCAGTCAAATCAGAGAAGGATAATAAATAATCTTGAAATTTTATTTCATTTCACATACATTATAACATTCTAACATGACAAGACTCCAGGTGAACATAAACAAGACGGAGGTTATGAAAATAACCAACCAACCAACTACAACAACAACAACAACAACAGAAGCAACATCCAGCCCCAATCACCACCAACGGGAGGGATTTGAAAGAGGTTAGTTACTTCATTCACTTACTTATCTAGGCAGGGAGCATTGTCTCAACTACAGGAAGTCGGAACGGATGAGGATGTCAAATCGAGCGAGAATCGGGAAGGCGAGAAACACATTATTCATCAACCTGAAATCAATCTGGAAATCTTCGTCTTCATTCAGCCAGCATCAACAACAAAATTCGGTCGGATTTTCTATACAAACAACGTCAAGTCACTTCTTCTATACGGATCGGATCAGAAACTTGGCGGGCGGGCGGGCGCGTCACAAAGAATATTTCCAACAGCCTGTTGTAGACGTTACCTTTATCAACAACTGTCTTCGCTCTATACTGAATGAAGATCAGATGGCCGGGTCGGAAAGAATCACCAACAAGAAACTATGGCTGGGAAGAAACAAAACAAGAACCAATCGCCAACTAACAAATATGCAGGAGAAAGCAGAGATGGATTGGACACTCGCTCACTGAGGAGGCCACTGGGTGACATCGTGTGCGCGTCAGGCCATTGCTCGAGTGGAACCAGGCCGAAAGGGAAGCACGTGGCGAGTGGGTCCTAGGTGCAGGGGTGATATGCATGAGATGGTGTGAAGAAGAGTTGAAAGAGTACGGACTAACATGGATGTAGGTGAAAAGTACAGCAGAAGGAAGACAGAAGTGGCAAGTGAAGACGTGCAGTTGAAGCCCTATGTTCCAGTAGGAACCCAAGGGAACAACAACAACAAGTTACTTATTTTTTACTGTAAAAAACATCTTATTACCCATCTGATTGTATTTGACCAATAAAATTCATATTTTATTCAGGACAAAATATTTAGAGTGAACAATCGTGGTTTCAATAAAATCTTCCTTCTCCCAGGCTCTACAATTATAAATCCATTAATTTAAGCATACAATAGCCAACCAGTAGAGGCAAATTAGAATCCTATCAGGAAGTGTATTGTGGAACAAGTAAAAATAAGTTGGGATGGAACAATAGTCAGTCAGTTAGTTTTTGAATATGCATGGTCAATGAGAATATATATATATATATATATATATATATATATATATATATATTTAACGGAAAATACAGGTTTCGAGAGTGAGTGTAATCAGGGTGTGTGAGGCAATATGGAAATAAACCAACGAACGGGGCGGTCTAGACATAAGTTCAAGGTTGAAAATAACAACAATAATTATGATTGTAAAATAATAACGATGATATGGTTTAAAATTAAAATTAAATGTACTATTGGTGAATGATTGTCAAATAATAATAATGAATATAATGAAGTGGAATGGACAGGATTTTGTAAACACGATAACAAGTTAGAAAAGAGCTACTTAAACCTAAGGTAATGAAATCATAAGAAAGGTCATGAAATCATAAAAGTCGAAAATGAACATTTGTCAATGAAACAGAGGAATAAAAGAAGAAAAGAAATTTGTGAAAGGAAATTATCGTGTTAATGTTTATGGGGGATTTGTTGACTTTATTGTAGGCCCAAGTAAACATAGAGGTTGAACAAACTTTTTCTGTATGCAAAGAGATGGTCTTCTGGTAATAATTGCAACCGCTTCAGCTGCTGATAGAAGACGTAGTCGAGCTCCTCTTGACAAATTACTAGGAACGCGGTAAATAACTGAGAACGCCTGGTCAAGTTTTATCGGGTGTCCACTATCTACTAAGAGGGCTAAGACTGCACTATCTACGCATTTGGTTACTCCTTTACTCAACTATACAGGTACATGTTCATGCACAATCATGGATTAAACCCCTGAGTACGGTCAATGTAACTAGCTCCACATGAGCAGTTGAATTCATACATATACACTGATGAGGCCATCTTTGGTGTTTTATCCTTGACTTTCTGTGTGAGTACTGGTTTAGTTGAGAATTAAAGTACCAGTTTAGCTGCAAGAAATGTTCTACCTACTGCTCTATTAAGTTGACATTTTAGAATATCAGCTGCAATTTCCCCTTCGTAATTTACGATACAATGGTTTCCTGTCTACGGTATCCACCTTTACCCTGTCTGTAGGTATTGACATATACTTATTTTAGGAAGCTCTGTGGATATCCACTTTCTTGAAGTGTGAGTTTCAGTTTATGCATTTTTTCCTTAATGCATTCCTCTGAGCATATGCGTTTTATTCTATAGCTACGACACTTAACTAAGTTTCTTTTGTATTGAATCGGTGTGAAGCTATGAAAATGGGTGTACTGGCCTGTCCAAGTTTTCTTTCTCAATAATTTCCTTTGTAAATATCCGTCTGTCTTCATGGTGGGGAGGGCGTCTAAGAAAGGTGTTATGTAATGCACGCTGAAAATTCCATACCTGTACCACAAATACTGTTTGGAATAAAGCTGTTATTATTATTATTATTATGTACTGCTGAGTGGTTAATAGTCCTGACGCGGAAAGAGGAAAATCAGAAGACCACCTCGTTCACGATGATACTTCTATTTTCCAAACAAGGAAAATAATGACTGTCACACAAGTGTGAGAGCGAAGGGTACTTAGTGTACGAAATGTGTGAACGAGTGTGTAACAGTGTACAGTGAAAAAGTATGTATGAAAATGACTAATACACATGATCCAATAAGATAGATAGGTAGTTTTTCCTTACCATCATTCGATTCTGATTGGTTATAACGTCATGTGATAACAGGGTCATACATTGTTTATTTAGTTCATGGGCAGACAAACATGATTGTGGATTATAATGAAATATCGACCAATGTACACATAGCAAAATATATTAGACTGTCGAAAACAAAACACACATCATGTGACTGACTATATATCAAAAGGTAAACTGTTATTGTCTTCTTCTTCTTCACATGTAAATTGAATAGCTGGGAGAACACTATTTTAACAGCATTCAGAAGCTCTTGTTTATCAGGATTCCTATCACAAACGATAAAGGTATCATCTACGTATTGACAATAATAGTCAAGCCCTTTAATCGTGTGGACCATTTTCAAGCTTTGCCAGGAAAATATCCGCTATATATATATATATATATATATATATATATATATATGGTCCACACGATTAAAGGGCTTGACTAATATTGTCAATACGTAGATGATACCTTTATATATATATATATATATATATATATATATATATATATATATATATATATATATATATATATATCATTAAATTACTTCATCTCATTTTGTCCCATGTTCTCATTGACCATGCATATTCAAAAACTAACTGACTGACTATTGTTCCATCCCAACTTATTTTTACTTGTTCCACAATACACTTCCTGATAGGATTCTAATTTGCCTCTACTGGTTGGCTATTGTATGCTTAAATTAATGGATTTATAATTGTAGAGCCTGGGAGAAGGAAGATTTTATTGAAACCACGATTGTTCACTCTAAATATTTTGTTCTGAACATTCATATTATTATATCTGTGAATTTACATAATCTTACATTACTGATTTTATTCAAATGTCTAATCATCATCAATTCCACTCATGTATATAAATGAAGGAAAAAAGTTGTGTGAATGAGTGCATTGATATGATTATGAGTTGTAATAGTTTGTGCTCGAACTGTGGTCATCAGTTCATATTACTGTATAACAAACACTGTGATTTATCAAAATAAAATCTTATCTATAATAGAATAGTCTATCAGTCTGATAAAAACAAATCACGTGGAAACTAACCAATCACAATCCAGCATGCAGACAACACCTACCATTCAACTTTGTGATTGGATCAATATGTGCCATATAGTCCTTGTACTCTTGGCCATTTCCTATCTCCCTTATTTTGGGAATATACGTTTGCAACCCTACTGTGTGAACCCCATGGATTTTACTAGTTAGGGTAATGGAATAAATAATCGATTAAGCGTTTTATATTGTCAATTATTGTCATTCGTACTTACACACACTTGACGACATCATTACAGACAGGAATCGGAAAGAAAAACTGCAAACCTTTATTACTAGGTTTTTGAAGATTCAATTATTCTTAAAGTCGACACTCGTTAGCGAATGCATATCAGCGAGACAAAAGTATGTTGAACTATCTCGTTCTGAATTGATATTCTATTCTCTAGTAGTAAAAACTGAGTGATGAGTAAAATGATTGGGCTAAGCAGCTGTCAAGTCTCAAGACACAGAGCACGTTACTATTCAAGCACCGGGTCGAAATATGATGACCTGTGTGTTACCCAATTCTACTAATCCACGATATAACAACTGAACTGCTAACAAATGCCATCAGTAAATAACTACTAACCGTTTAGAGGATTTCATCATCAGATAACACTAGTTAGAGAACCATTGGAAAACCTGGGAGTACTGGGCAGCTGTTTCGTCCTAGTTTGGGACTCTTCAGCAGTACGCACTCACCGGGATTTGAACCCAGATGCTCACTAGCGACTTGCCCTGTTCAGGTGGGTTACCTGGGGTTCTAGTGAGAAGTCGTGACCAGTAGGGTGCAGCAGGTCAGGTGTGAGGACAAACACTCGCCGAAGACATTGGCTAGCAGTTGTGCTATATCGTGAATTGGCAGAAATTGGAATTCATGGGCCATTGGATCGAGTTCCAGTGGCTTAATGGTCTGCGAGCTCGCTAGCCTTTTAACCAGAAGGTCCTGGGTTCGAACCCCGCAGTGTGGGTGCGTACTGCTGAAGAGTCCCAAACTAGGACGGTTGAAACAGCTGTCCAGTACTCCCAGGTGGTTTTCCAATGGTTCTTGAACTAATGCCAGCTCATGATGAAATCCTGTAACCAATCAAATCCCTACAAACCAACACTTCAGCTACTGTGTTTGGATACCTATTATGTTTGCTTTTTGATGTTAACTAGTTTTCAATAGCCAACACATTATAGACGTGCGCATACAAAGAATTATGTGGAAATGAATGATAATAATAATAATAATAATAGATTGTTTCTTATAAACACTAATTGTTCAAAATTTATATAGTTACAAAATAAAAGGGGAAAATAAAATATGCCTACCTGATTGAGTGTACAACCTAATTCTAATAGATCTGGAATAGCTGGATGACTAGTAATGCTACTTGTTAGAAAGGCTGATTCCTCACCAGTTGAGTTAGACATAAATAAAGGGGCAGTCAATTTATCAAAGCGTGACTTTAACCGACAAAATCTCAACCAGATCCAACTGTATTTGAAGTTCACATTGACGGGTGATTCTTGGCCTGGTGGTGTTAATTTTTCCAGATTCTAATAGTTGAGAAATAGAAACAAACAGAAAAGAAACAGAAATAGGATGGGATTAAAATAATAATAATCATAATAATACGACAAATAAAAATTATTGGCGATAGTCATGTGTATATTTGTGCATTAGTCAATCGACCACGCTTAATTATGTGACAAAGGTGACTGGTAGGGCAAATGTGAACATCAAATGCCGCTATAAGGGATTTGGTACGTCTGAGAGGGTGGGTAGACTTCAGCCTTTCCCCCTCCCCCGAAATGCTCTCCCATATGGCTACGCGTTCATAGTCTCTGTCAGCTAAGTCCTCTTCACTGGCTTTATGCAACGCACGAGTGTTCCTCACAAAAATCAAAGGTCAAATACAGACGAACTAGGAGACATCCTGATCTACACCTAGAGGAGTTAGAAAAATCTGATTCCAAGCCTATGGTGAGTATGTGTGTACATGGACTGCAGAATGGTGTATGCACCTGTTCTGATCACTAATAACCATGGGAACGCAGCTTACTCTAGCCTTCTTGTGGATAAAACTTCAAATCAAAGGCTTGGGGTGTAAGCCGTTAAGACAACCACCTGCTTATGGCCTGGGCTTCCGGACAGTATTCCAGTCGTCGCATAAATTGAGCTTCTGTGTGTCACATCTCTTGATACACCCATAATGTAATAAGTCGGTGGTACAGTGGTTAGGACTCTCGCTGACCATGCACATGGTCCGGCGTTCGATCCCTGGCCGACGCACACCTGATATCTATGGTCGGCCTGCAAAATTTGGGCTACCAATATCACATGCTGCAAATTCCATACCTGTACCAAAAAATACGGTGAGGGATCAATTTGTAATCAAAAATAAATACAAGATAATAATAATAACCAGTTAGGTAATGCAAAACTGATCAAAGAACTTAAATTTGATATCCAGAATAAATGCTACACACTGATCAATTTATCTACGATTTAAATGAAGCTTCAATTGACTTCTAGGTATTCCATATTATATGTGTAATTAGCTGCTCGAGTGTTGATAGAGTAGACACGTCTAATTATCCACTCAATAGCCGATAGCAGTTACACTACATTTTGTAGAGACGTGGATCATCCGTTTAAACTTTCACCTTTCTGATAAAGGGGTCTTACTTCATCTGTTTCAACCTAGCATAAAATGTGTGTCCGGTGGTTTAGCCCATGAAATATACATATTTCAGGTAACTGAACTCTGATTATACACACTACGTTTACGTGTCGAACCTTGACAGATGTGAAATACTTTGAACCTATGACCAATTGGATGAATGTCGAAGGTTAAGGTGTAATCAATACTCAGACAATTTATGAGATTTCTGAGAAGGCGGCCTTCGACTCCGTGGATCGAAAGGTACTATGGCAATGTCTGACTGTGAAGGGATTGCCAAGAAAGTACATTTCACTAATCAAGGCACTCTTTTCAAACTCACGTAGTCGTGTAAGGGCTTATGGGGAATTGTCATCTGAATTGATAACAACCAGGTGTCCGACAGGGATGTCCACTTTCCTCATTTCTGTTTAACTTCATCATAGATATGCTAATGGAAGTATCCTTAACTGAACGTAATGACTTGAGAATCGACTTATTAGCAGGAAATAGTCTTATGGACTTACAATATGCAGATGACATAGTCCTGTTAGGGGAGGATGATGACAAAATAGAGCAGAGTCTTCTGAACACCTTGAGCAGCAATCTTCGTATGTTTGGAATGCGATTCGCCCCCTGCAAAATGTAAGATGCTGCTACAGGACTGGACTACGTCAACTCCTAGCTTAGTGATAGGGAGTGAAGTGATAGAACATGTTGACCACTTCACCTATTTGGGAAGTTGTATCAGCACCAACGGACTGATTGGCGACGAAATCTCACCACGGATCCGAAAAGCTCGAGCTGCTTTCGCTGACTTACACCATCTCTGGCGTAGGCGTGACATCCGGTTATCAACTAAGGGACGTGTGTACTGCTCATCAGTTCGCTCCGTCCGTCCTTCTCTGTGGCTCTGAAACATGGCCAATACGAGTTGAAGACATGAAAAGGTTGACTGCTTTCGATCATAGATGTCGGCGATCCCTGTCTCACGTTAGGTGGTTTAATAAGGTGAGTAATGTTGACGTTAGGCGTAGAATGTTGGGCAAAGAGGGAAAATCAATCGACGAGGCTATAAAGTTACATAGACTGAGATGGCTAGGTCACGTGGTGCGCATGCCTAACCACCGCCTCCCCCGACGGGCATCACTAGCTGATATAGGTGCAGGTTGGAAAAGAGTAAGTGGTGGCCAAACAAAAACATGGCGTCATCAATCCATGAAATCCTTGACAGTTAAACTGAGTCAGGTAGGGAGGGAGATGCAGACTCCCGGGGTGGGGCCTCGGGACCCTAGGAATCAATCAATGGCTGGAGACAATACGTGACATGGCTCAAACTCATCGTTGTCAATGGCCAGCGCAGATGTATTCAGTCTCTGTAATCTCTCATACTCCTTTCTACCATTACCCATTCTGTTTCACTCTTATACTTGTCAAACTCTATTGATTCTCTTCACTCATCTTCTTTTCTACCCGTGTGCTATTTGGAACGTGGCAACTCGAACTGCTGGACTTCGGTGTCAAGTTCTATGTTGAATCCAGACAGACAGAGAGACAGATGAGATTTAAATATGTTCCCACTACTAATGCTAACCAAAAAATATAACTCAGATAATTAACCGAAGAAAAAAAAAGAAATACGGATCTACAACCTTCTTCATTTCCATGAAGTTGGCAGTGAGCCAGACACAGCTTACTTGAGGAGCTTTCATTGCCCCACTACTAAGCAACATCTTCGGAGTGTACTTCGATCTGTGGAAATAAGCCTTTAAATTAATCCACTAGTTTATTGATCTTCCCCCTCCTGGTGGTGGCATCCTTGAACATCGTGATTAGTTGCCTTTGTCTGTTTTCACATCCTGTAGTCTATTTGTATTCATAGTGATTGTTTCCTTGACTTGAACTTTGACCTTATATGTGTGACAGATTTCCTTCTTATCCATTGATAAATTTTATCTATATCAATGTACCTGTTAATTGGTGATTCACTGGAATATCAGGCTTCCCAAAATTCTCTAGAGTTCTTCATGTTTCCTCCGTCTAATATCTGAGCGTTGTCTCAGTCGACTTGATGTCCATACATAATTGCATACATACGTATGCAGAGATATCAGGGAGTGGATATCATCATCATCATGTCTCTTGACGACTTGTTTATGTTCATAGATGCCAAGACCAAGGGAACGTCCCCTTTGACTAATGTAGTGTTTTTCACAGTAATGGTAATTTAATTTGTAGATGATATTGGTTTTATCTTCTTTTGTTGTTGAGTCTTTTGATCGACATAGAGCCAGCTGAATGAAGTGATTTTGTTGGTTTGTGTCCGACATCAATTCCTCCTAAAGGTTTGAAGAGTGTTGCAGTGATTTCTGAGGCATCCTTAATATACGGTAAGATGATTTTCTTTCTGTTTTCTCTAAGGGCCTTCGGTTCGGTTTGTTGGCTTCGGGGGTGGGGAGGGAAGTCTTTTCATGAAGTTCCATGGATATCCATTCTTCTGAAAGACGTTCAAGAGACATTTTTCTTCAATTCTTAGAAATTCAAGTTTACAAAAAAATTAACAGGCACACTGACATAGGAGTATGCGCTAAAGGTGTTACCTAGCAAGTAAGACAATAAAAGCTTCACAAGTAAACCATTCAACTTAGAGAACACAACTACATGAAAATTATCCGCCTGAGCAACAAATCTTCTCCATTCAATATTATATGCTGAGAGCGGTTCGAACCCATGACTTTATTATTATTATTATATTATTGTTCCCTTGGGTTCCTACTGGAACATAGGGCTTCAACTGCACGTCTTCACTTGCCACTTCTGTCTTCCTTCTGCTGTACTTTTCACCTACATCCATGTTAGTCCGTACTCTTTCAACTCTTCTTCACACCATCTCATGCATATCACCCCTGCACCTAGGACCCACTCGCCACGTGCTTCCCTTTCGGCCTGGTTCCACTCGAGCAATGGCCTGACGCGCACACGATGTCACCCAGTGGCCTCCTCAGTGAGCGAGTGTCCAATCCATCTCTGCTTTCTCCTGCATATTTGTTAGTTGGCGATTGGTTCTTGTTTTGTTTCTTCCCAGCCATAGTTTCTTGTTGGTGATTCTTTCCGACCCGGCCATCTGATCTTCATTCAGTATAGAGCGAAGACAGTTGTTGATAAAGGTAACGTCTACAACAGGCTGTTGGAAATATTCTTTGTGACGCGCCCGCCCGCCCGCCAAGTTTCTGATCCGATCCGTATAGAAGAAGTGACTTGACGTTGTTTGTATAGAAAATCCGACCGAATTTTGTTGTTGATGCTGGCTGAATGAAGACGAAGATTTCCAGATTGATTTCAGGTTGATGAATAATGTGTTTCTCGCCTTCCCGATTCTCGCTCGATTTGACATCCTCATCCGTTCCGACTTCCTGTAGTTGAGACAATGCTCCCTGCCTAGATAAGCAAGTGAATGAAGTAACTAACCTCTTTCAAATCCCTCCCGTTGGTGGTGATCGGGACTGGATGTTGCTGTTGCTGTTGTTGGTTGGTTATTTTCATAACCTCCATCTTGTTTATGTTCACATGAAGTCCAGTCTCCGCCGGCTGCTTCTTTGACCAGTTTGTGGGTTTTCGCTCGCTTGCAAGTCTTCGATTTTGTGTGACATCAGACGTAAATCATCCACGCACAGAATCCAGGCCTTCTAGGTTCTTCACGTCGGTCGGTCGGTCCAGGATATCCTTGTCTTCTCGTTTCCCACTGTCTAACGCATAATCCAGTCAGTCCACTACAATTAGAAATATCATTGGTGATAATGAGCACCCTTGTCTGACCCATGGTTGGATATCATCGAGTGTCGGATAAAAGTAAGCCATAGCTGTACAAATAATAATAGTAGACTAATATCAGAGATCAGATATAACCTGAATGTTTTAATTTTACAAGGATACATACACTTTAACTGGTATATACATGAAGAAAAATCAGCGATTAATGAATTATATATATATATATATATAAAATTATAAAGATTATATTACCTTCAGTATATTGATACATCCATGCTCCAATAGACAGTTAGCCAATAATACCCAACAAGGATTCAAAGAATAATGATAACTTTTCTTTGTCGACAGTGTTACTGGTATAACCGATGATGTTGATTTTTGATTGTATAAGGATTGCCTTGTAGACTGTGTAGCAGCATAGCTGATTCGACGACGTTTTCCTGATATGAAATCATTGTCTTCTTCGCCAGTATACTGGCTAATATTATCACCATCATTAACAACAACTGCAGTAGTAGTATTAGTATAATTATCATCACTATGCATTATAATCATCTCTGATTTTGTCAGTACACTATCCATCAATTTTTCTATACTATTCATCACGCCTTCTTTAGCATAATCATCACCATAGGCTAAACTAACGCCAAGTTCATTGGAATTCTGCCATATATGACTACCAGAGAATGTTTTTTGAACATAATTTAATAAATTGACAAATTCATCATCATCAATTACATCTAAACCCGGTGAATCTAACAGACCAGATGACCAAGCTTCAGATAACCAATCGATAATATTGAATTTGCCACACTTGTCTACAATATTATTAATATTATTATTATTATCTGTTGATATACCAATAGATTGTTTCTTTTGATATTTACTTAATTGTAATAAACATTCTTCTTGACGTGATGTAAAAGTGATTCGACTTAGATGATATAAGCAGTCGTATTGTTGATGTTGTTGCTGTTGTTGAGACGAAGGATTACGGGTAACAGTAAAAGAAAAATTTAAAGTATTATTATTATTATTAGCAGCAGCAGCCATTACATCATCTGTCCATAATACAAGACAATGAAATGATAATGATGATGGTCGTAGAAATACTTCTGGTATTGGTCTTGGACGTTTACTGCCGCCACTGCCACTGCCACTACCACTACCACCCCCAGCACCACCATTGACTACAGCCAATCGGTTAACAACACTATCATTTGACGATAACTTTGAAGCGGGATATATTAATGACGGAGGATAAGCTTCACAACATTTAATCAGGCTGGATTCACGTTGAACTACACGACTCCAAAATGACATTAGACTTGATTCAATCAGATAGGTATGCTGAGAAAGTAAAGAAGAAAAGAAAAAACAAAAAGACGACAAATGATCGTTAAAACTAATAATATGACGCACGCACTGTGATGCATTTTAAATTTTAGGCTATGGCTAACCATCTGCAGAATTGGGTTACATACTTTAAATGATGGTCATCTTGTAACAACAGAAGACAAGGGCTAGGCAACAGATCCTTTATTTAGGAAATCAACACATATTTATAGATTTTCATGTACATTATTATAGATTATTGTAAGCAAACAAACATATTTCTGATTGGTGGTTTCTCGTTGAACGTTAATCTTTCATCTCTTTGTGGCTGTTTCATGAATGTCAGATTATCTATCCGCTGATTGTATCCGCCTACGCAAAGTCCTCTGTGATTGGTTGTTGAATCAGTCTTTGTTTTTATTTTTCTCACGACCAATATTGGCGATGTAAACATTGACGTAAATTACTATCCACCAATTTTGTCTAGCAGCCAGCTCTTACCACAATCTTATGCTAAATGGCGGGTTTATTAAACTTACTCTAAAAGCTGACTATGATTTAACTCATATTTATTCGGAATAATGAGTACCCTCAGTGTTAGCAAAATCTAAATATTGGGCGACAGTTCAACTTTAAAACAAGCAACGAAAGTTGAAGTCTTCAGGTGAATACTTTACTTAAAGGGATATATATTATTATCTCCTTTAGTTTCTGGAGGAATGTAGGGCTTCAAACGAACGTCTACATTGCCTTCAGTTCTCCGCCAACGTCTCCATCTGGCTCCACGGCTGCCCACATACTTCCATCTCCTCTTCACATCACCTCCTCCATGTCACCATCGAACTGACGACCAACTCGCTTTCCACTCGAGCGATGGCCTGGTGTGTGATGTTGCTTTTATCAGATTATGGCCAATCTACCTTCATTTCTTCCTGCTGGGTTGGTTCGTTGCCAGAGAGAGAGAGATCCCACCTTGTTGCTGATTTATTCTGGCTGGCCATCTGATCCTGAGCGAAGTATTGAGAGAAGACAGATGTTGACCTGCACACAGACTTGAGAGTAATGAAAGCTTGCATTGCTTTCTCGATTCTCAATTTTTACAACAGTTCACAATTTAACCTCTTTATTTTCGAGAACACTGATTTCCCGATACGAATTTAAAACAGGCAACAAAGGTGGTTTATACAGCAGAATTTAATAAATTCGTCAAAATTTGGGTAGAACGCCTCTTCAGCTGAACACTTTACCTACAGGGATATATGTACTATTGGAAATACATTGGAAGATACAATACTAATAAGCAAATAAACTACATTGAATTAATCATACAAAACGACAGGTATGAATGTTTGTCAGATCATCATTAATCAAAACCCAAAAAACCAATACTTGACTAATATTATTATATCCTTTAATTCTTAGAGGGACATAGGGCTTCAGCCGCGCGTCTCCATTGCCTTCTGTTTTCTGCCAACTTTTCTGGTCCACTCCAAGTCTGCCCACATTCTTTCATCTCCTCCCCACATGACCTCCTCCAAGTCACCCTTGCACTGACGACCAGCTCGCCGCTTCCCTTTCGGGTTCCACTCGAGCGATGGCTTCTCTAGTGATGTCACTTGATGGTTTCCTCAGAGTATGGCCAGCCAATCCATCTCCATTTCTTCCCACTTATTTGCTTCGCAATCGGTTCCTGCTGTGTTGGTTCGCTCATTGCCAGAGATCCCACCTTGTTGCTGATATTTTCTGGCTGGCCATCTGATCTTGAGTATTGAGCGAAGACAACTGTTAATGAAGGTCTGAAGTTTGTTGGAGATGCTCTTTATGACGCGCTGGCCAAGTCTCTGATCCGTATAGTGAGTAGCACTGACTGACTTCATATTGGAGTTGAAAATCCGGATCTTGTTTTTCATGATGCTGAGTGATGTTGACCTCCACACAGACTTAAGGGTAACGAAAGCCTGTCTTGCTTCTCCGATTCTGGCTTTGATATCCTCGTCAGTTCCGCCTATAGTTGAAACGATGCTTCCCAGGTAGGTGAAGGAATACTTGACTATTATTATAATTAAATGCATTACACGATTTAGACAAGTTACGCCCTCTTAATGCTTTGTCTAAATTCATAAAGGGGACTTCATTATTATTATCAATATTAATATTATTATTTAGATATTTTAATAGTGATTTAACTAACATACAGTTCTCAGAATAAAATAAAAACTTACTAATAATTGAGCTTTTTGAACTGGAATAGACGTATCGAAAATGGCAATGAATGCATTATCAGACCTATAAATTAAAATGATTAATAGTTTTGGAAGATTCATCCGAAGACTACTTAATTTATATGTATATATATACTACTTATATGCTACTTAGAATACATGTAAGAAATAATCCACTACAAGAGCAGGTACGTTATTTGGCAAAAAAAACTACTAAGGGATCAGAATGAACTGTCTACTCTGTACACACATATAGTTTGAGGTGAGACGACATTACTATACTCTGAAAAATATTCATTATCATAGTGTGACTTAGTCAGCACAATAAAACAGTGTTAATATTGTCAAGTGAAGTGAAACGGTCAACACATTCACTCATTTCGATGAGTAGTTTTAAACACGAAGTTGGTGCACACTAGTCCATCTATACATTTTACGGTGTGGAAGAATAGCAATTCAAACGTAGTTAGATCTTCCTTCAGACTTTATACTTTGTCACAGTGCTTTATTTCATCTGAAAGGATGATATCGTTTGCATTCCTACAGGATACCACTATCTGTCATTTAAAATGAAATGTTTTGAAATCTATTATAAAAAACTGTATTTTTATTATTATTATTATTATTCCCAAGTGGAACATACAGCTTCAACAGTACAGCTCCACTTTTCTCTACTTTCTGTTGTCGTTTTCAGCTGGTTCCATGATTGTACATAATTTCTCATCTCCTCCATGTCACTCTAGGACAACCCGATCTATCCATCCCTAATTTCTCCTACATATTTGTTGAGCAATAGGTTGGTTTGCTCCACTACAGAGTTTCTTATTGGTAATTCTTTCTGACCGGCTATTTGATCTTGTGTATGTGGAGCTAGAGAAGGGGGCAGCTGTTGATACAGGCTTGAAAAAGACTGTTGGAAATCATTTCTGTGATGCGTTGGCCAACTTCCTCGCCCATATAGAGAAGCACTAACTAACTAACTGACTGACTTAACATTGATGTTTAAAATCCGAATCTTGTTGTTTATGCTGAGGCGGAGTGCAGAAGATTTCCAAACTGGTTTCAGGTTGATGAAGTCGTATCTTGCCTTTCCGATTTTGACTGGCCAACTTTTTCATCTCAATCTGTTCCGACTGCTTGTAGTTGAAACAGCGCCTCCTAGATATGTGAAAGAAATAACCTCTGTTAAATTTCTCCGGTTGATAGTGATTGACGCTGGTTGTTGGTCTTGTTGTTGCTGTCGGTTGGTTATTATCATCACCTCCCTTTTTCTCTGTGTTCAGCTGAAGTCCTGTCTTCGCTGCCTGCCAGCTTCTTCAGCCAGTTTATTGCTTTACTCCTGTAATTCTTCCAGCTTGTGCGACAATAGACATTTACGATACACACACGAAATCCAGATCTTCTAGAGTCTTCTTTTGTCAGTGCTCCAGTGTATTTCTATCCTCTCACCTCCCACAAACCTGACGCATAAATCCAGTCAACCACAATTAAGAATATCATCGGTGATAATAGGCAGCCAGCGTTGTCTTACTCCTGTATACACTTCAAAGGCTTTTCTGAGTTTTACGTTATAGACCACCTGGTATTGTAGTAGTGTTGTATAGACTGTTGAATGAAGTTGATAAAGATTTGGATCACTGCACTCCGAAGTGTTGAACTAGTTTTCAAACTACTTCTCGATCAATGATTTCTGTCGAAGGACTTTTCCAAGTGGATGAAGTTGAGGTACTGTGATGACAACGCGTAGAGTTGCAATTTAATCAGCACATGATTCGCCTTTCCTGAATCCTACTGCTAAACAAGCATCACCAAACAAAGAGCAGCCAAAACTTCAGTTTTTTTTTTTATATCCAAAGTAAAATTGTTTTTGATTTAGTTGTGTTCTCTGAGGAGTTGGTTGATTTATAATTGCAAGCCTCTCATTGTCCACCTTCCACACAATATTGCATCAGTGCAATTTTAGTATGAAATGAACTTATCTGAATTCTCCCTTCCTGATTGTTGGTATAATTGTATCTCCTGACAACAACAACAACAACCACTGTCGTGATTGGTTGTTAATTTACACTTCTATTGATCACTTTCATATACTCAACATCCATAGCTAAAACGCGATGAACTCACAACAGAAACTGTGTGCAGATATTGTTTAAAAGAGTCGAAACACACTGTAGCACTACCCTGGTGTTGAAGAGAATGGAAGAGGAATATCTAATAACTGTCTTCAAAAAGAAGAATGAAAACACACACACATTTTCATCAAAAAGTGTTTAAACTGAAATCATAAATAACATCAACAAGAAATATTCACCGAAGACCACAAGAAAATTCATTCTACACACATAAAAAATATCTCTCAAATAACAACTAGTATACTTAGACCACTTGCAGTACAAATAGCACGCGAGCTAACCAACACAATCATTTGATTGCATGGAGGATTGAATTATGAGCTGACATCAGTAAGAGAACCATTGGAAAACCTAGGAGTACTGGACAGCTATTTCACCCGTCCTAGTTTGGGACTCTTCAGTAGTACGCACCCACACTGCGGGGTTCGAACCCAGGACCTTCTGGTTACAAGGCGAGCTCGCAGACCATTGAGCCACTGGGACCCGATCCAATGGTCCTTGAATTCTAACTTCTGCCAGTTCACGACATAGCGCGACCACTTTGCAATGTCTTCTTCGATGAGTTACTGCCTCATCTTCAACCTGCTGTACCCTACTGGTCATGGCTTCCCACTAGAACCCCAGGTTAACTGCCTGAATAGGGCCAGTCACTAATGGGCTCAATGGTCTACGAGCTCGCCTTGTAACCAGAAGGTCCTGGGTTCGAATCCCGGTGGGTGCGTACTGCTGAGGAGTCCCAAACTGGGACGAAACAGCTGTCCAGTACTCCCTGCAGGTTTTCCAATGGTTCTCTAACTGATGTCAGCTCATAATTCAATCCTCCATGCAATCAAACAAAACCCCTACGAAAACCAATACTTGAACAATTATTTGATTCGATATTGTGCAGATGAAAAGATCCAACACAAAGAGAAGACAAAAATTTATACCATTTACAGAATAAATGGCGTGCATCAACTGTAGTAGACATTACATCGGTGGTCAAAGTGGGAGTCATCTTCGGATCCGAATCGAAGAACACAAATTAACTGTAAATGGTATGATATATACATTTCTGTTTCATATCAATGCATGTAAATAATTACGGACATCCATTTGATGATTAAGATAATGTAGAGATTTTAAATAGAGGAAACACTAGAAATGCTAGGGATTTCCCATAAGTCTGGCACTCAAGTGAATCCGCTAGCAATTAAAAAAACACGTTACTATAGTCCATATGACAATAAAGTTCAAATCCCAAGTCAATAAAAAGGATCGATAGAGATGTAAGTCAACGACCAATCACGAGGGAGGGAAGGGAGTGCCAAGAAAGTACGTTGCACTAATCAAGGCACTCTATTCAAACTCACGTAGTCGTGTAAGGGCTTATGGGGAATTGTCGTCTGAATTGGTAACAACCAGTGGTGTCCGACAGGGATGTCCACTTTCCCCATTTCTGTTTAACTTCATCATAGATATGCTGATGGAAGTATCCTTAACTGAACGTAGTGACTTAGGAATCGACTTGTTACCAGGGAATAGTCTTATGGACTTAGAATATGCAGATGACATAGTCCTGTTAGGGGAGGATTCTGACAAAATGCAGAGTCTTCTGAACACCTTGAGCAGCAATCTTCGTATGTTTGGCATGCGATTCGCCCCTACAAAATGTAAGATGCTGCTACAGGACTGGACTACGTCAACTCCTAGCTTAGTGATAGGGAGTGAAGTGATAGAACATGTTGACCACTTCACCTACTTGGGAAGTTGTATTAGCACCAACGGACTGATTGGCGATGAAATCTCAGCACGGATCCGAAAAGCTCGAGCTGCTTTCGCTGACTTACACCATCTCTGGCGTAGGCGTGACATCCGGTTATCAACCAAGGGACGTGTGTACTGCTCATCAGTTCGCTCCGTCCTTCTCTATGGCTCTGAAACATGGCCAATACGCGTTGAAGACATGAAAAGGTTGACTGCTTTCGATCATAGATGTCTGCGATCTCTGTCTCACGTTAGGTGGTTTCACAAGATAAGTAATGTTGACGTTAGGCGTAGAGTGTTGGGCAAACAGGGAAAATCAATCGACGAGGTTATAAAGTTACATAGACTAAGATGGCTAGGTCACGTGGCGCGCATGCCTAACCATCTCCTCCCCCGACGGGCATTACTAGCTGATATAGGTTCAGGTTGGAAAAGAGCCAGTGGTGGCCAAACAAAAACATGGCCTCAATCCATGAAATCCTTGACAGTTAAACTGAGTCAGGTAGGGAGATGCAGACTCCCGGGTTGGGGCCCTCGGGACTCTAGGAATCAATGGCTGGAGACAATAGGTGACATGGCTCAAAATCGTTGTCAATGGCGCAGATGTATTCAATCTCTGTAATCTTTCATATTCCTTTCTACCATTACCCATTCTGTTTCACTCTTATATCTGTCAAACTCTATAAATTCTCTTCACTCATCTTCTTGTCTACCTCTGTGCTATTTGGAAGGTGGCAACTCGAACTGCTGCACTTCGGTGCCAAGTTCTATGTTGAATCCAGACAGACAGACCAATCACGACAGAGGTTGTTGTTGTTGTCAGGCGACACAATTATATCATCAATCAAGAAGGGAGAATCCAAATAAATTCATTTCATACTAAAACCTGCAGTGATGCGATGTTGTGTGTAAGGTGGACAACGAGAGATTTGAAATTATAAATCAACCAGCTCCTCAGAGGACACAAATAAATCAAAAATTATCCCCACCAGAGCTATAAATCTTCGCCAGTATTTTTAAAGCAACAAAGCAGCTTCAATTGACATAACCTTTTCACAATTTATTTAAAATCATCAATACTTAAAAATAGCCTTATAAAATGTAAATATGATATAAAATTTTTTTCAAAAAAATGCATTTCAAGCCTACCTTATATAAGTTGGCATTTGTGCATGATACCATCGATCTAAGTCGAATAGGCCAATACGAATAATGGATTCAGAAAATTTCCACATAAAAGCAATTAAGCGTATTGTTCCAATCGAATGAATCACTGAGCTATGATGATGGTGGTAATGATGAGAATGTGGATGGCTACTATTGTCGACAATAAAATCATCAAGTCCATGAAGTGATTGAACAGAAAGCAATGTTGAGGGATACTGAGGTTTATTGTCGTTTGTTCTATTACCAGATAATGTAGTAGACAAGCGTTCTGCGATACCAATCAACTCCTAGGAAAGAAAGAAATAGTAACTGCATTATGGATACGATTTTATTTTGATAAATCACACTGTGTTGTTATACAGTAATATGAACTGATGACCACCTCTCAAGCACAAACTATTGCCACTCATAATCATATCAAGGCCACTACTCACACAACTTTTTTCCTTCATTTATATACATGTGTGGAATCAAGTAGATATTGGAATAAAATCAATATAGGATAATGCACATTCAGAAATAATAATAATACGAGTGTTATCAGATGGGAAATAAGACGAGTGCTTTTATAGTCATAATAAATAGCTTGTTAGCATGTTGTGATGTGCTTGAATTGAAATAGAATTTTAATATTATTTATTATCCTCTTCTGATTTGACCTACGGTAATAATATCTTCTACATTTCTGGCATTTGCATTGAGTCATTTGTGTTGCATGTTTTCGGTGTAGACTCGAATGAACAAGGATTCCGTAATCAACCTCTCTCTCCACCTACCTATATTATTTTTTAGAATTTTAACCCTATCTGTCTGTCTGTTTTCGACATAGAACTTTGCACAAATGTGCGGAAGTTCAAGTCGCCACATTCCGTGTAGCACGCGAAGCAAGAGAAGAAAGTACAAGAAAAGCATAATAGAAACAGTGAGCAGAGGTGTGAGACAAAGGAGTAATAAAGAAATACAAAACAGTTTCATTGAAGATCATAAGTCACAGGGAGTGGATGCATCTGCGCCACTGAGAACGGTTTTGAGCCATGTCACCAATTGTTTCCAACCATAGATTTTTACCGTCCCACCCTATTGTGTGATTTTGTGTTAATGCGTGAAATGCAATTGCTGAGCTTTTTTCTAAATTACTTATCTTCTCGGGGTCAACCATTATTACCTTAGCTAAATTCTTATGTTCTGATAATCTGACTATCCCCGACCTACTAGTTTGAGCCATATAGTTGACCTCACAGTCGTTGCAGGGTATTTTGAAAATTATATCAATACTATTCTTTTTTAGTAACTTTGTCATGAGTATAGTTGTTCCCCTTTCTCTCTCTCTCTCTTAAATGTGCAATAGAAATAAATTATTGAAACAGTTTAGATCAACAAGTTTAATACAGAAAACTATACAGATCACTATATATATATATATATATATATATATATATATATATATATATATTCAAACGCATATAGCATTGTCGAACTGGTTTCAACGTAGAAAACTTTGCACAGATGTGCAGCAGTTCGAGTGGCAACTCTCCTCGCCCACCCCCCTCCCACCGCCATCTATGTAGCACAAAAAGCAAGAAAAGAGAGTAAAGAAAGACTCATCAAAAGAGAAAGATAATAGACAGAAGTGTGAGTGTGGGGAAAAAATGAGTAAAACGGGGAAACAATACAGTTCTTTTGGATGGATATGACAAATCAATCACAAAGAGTGATGAATGCATCTACGCCATTATCGAGAACGAGGATTTTCAGCCATAATAACCAATTGTCTCCAGCCTCCATTGGTTTATACCATCCAGAACACCCCAACCGGTCAGGATGTCTGCACTTTCCTACGTGAATGGCTGGCTTAAACTAACTGTTGTGGATTTCATTGACTGATGAAACGATGTTTTGGTTTGACCACACCACTAGCAACTCTTTCTCAACCTCATATATCTCATGTCAGTTAACATTGCCTGTCGAGGAAGGCTATGGCTAGACATGTATGCGTAACCCATGTCCTAACCATCTTGATCGAATCACGTGCTTCATTGGCTGGTGGCTGCAACATATTGTGAAAGCATACAAGTTTCAGCTCAAGAGTTATCGTATCTCAACCCACTAGCTGTATGAGCAGTGGTGGACTAGGCTTATAACCTGATGGACTTGGGCTCTGCTTTTGATTCAGTAGTGGATGAGAACTACTGACGAAATAGTTGCTCAATACTCCCACCTGTTTTCAATGATCCCCTGACTATTGTCAGTTCACGATCAAACCTACACATCAAAATTAGTCAAAATCCTAACAAAGTCAAGAATTTGAAGTTATCACAGGACCGCCAGATTGGCAATATGAAGACTAGGCATACGGGAGAATAAGTAAAACAGGCAACAACTAACATGGTTTATTCGCACTGACTGAAATGGCTACAATATACGTTGCGTATGTCGACTGAAAACCCGTTCTGTCTGTCTGTCTGTTTTCGACATAGAACTTTGCACAAATGTGCGGAAGTTCAAGTCGCCACATTCCCTGTAGCACGCGAAGCAATAGAAGAAATGCATAATAGAGACAGTAAACAGAAGTGTGAGACAAAGGAATAGTAATAACGAAGAACAACATAGTTTCATTGGAAATCATAAGTGACAAGTAGTGGATGCATCTGCGCTATTCATTGAGAACGATTTTGAGCCATATCACAAGTTGTTTCCAGCCTTCATTGGTTTTTACCGTCCCGAGGACCCCAACTAGTCAGGAAGGTCTACATCCTCCTACGTGGATTAAACTAACTGTTGTGTATTTCATTGACTGGTGAAGGCATGTTTTGGTTTGACCACCGCTAGCTGGCTCTTCTTCCAGCCTGACCCTATATCAGCTAACATTGCCCATCGTCGAGGAAGGCGATGACTAGGCATTCATGCGTAACACATGTCCTAACCATCTCAGTCGATGTAACTGCTTCACAGCCTCGTCGATTGATTTCCCCTCCTTACCTAGCATTCGACCGACGCCTAACCTCAATATTGCTCACCTTATTATACTTCACACAGGAGATAAACGCAGGCACTCAAACCCCATTAATAAACTTGACGTCAGTGCGGGTACAATTAATTTGAAATAAATAAATGATTATATATATATATATATATATATATATATATATATATATATATATATATATATATATATATATTTAACACGTAGCATTACCTGATAATAAAAATTATATCCCTTGTGTTTATGAGACACTAGTTCATAACGACGTCTGTAGGACAACTGGAACAGTTTGACTGTGGGACTAATATGAAATTAGAAAACAAAAAAACAAGTAAATTAGAAACTACATGGTTCTTATAGAAAAGAATAATACTTAATCTTGAAACATTATGAATAATAACAGTATTCCTCTATTTTAAATACGATAGTAGTGTGGTGGGAGCTGGCTGTTAGCCAAAATCGGTAGACAGTAATTTACGTCAATGTTTATGTCCCCAATATCGGCAGTGAGAAAAAAAATGAGAAGAAAGGCTTTGCATAGGCGGATACGGTTAATATATAGATGATCTGACATTCAAGAAACAGCCAAAAAGAGATGCAAGATTAACTTTCTGTGAGAAACAACCAATCAGAAGACTGTGTTTGCTTGCTTACAATAATCCATAATAATGGACATGAAAATCTATAAATATGTGTTGATTTCGTAAATAAAGGATCTGCTGTCTGGCCCTAGTCTTCTATTGTTACAGTAGTACAGTTCTTACCTTTTCACTAAGATGCACAGTGAAAACATGACAACATTCGAAGGATTTACTGTTGCCACTATACAGAAATAATCAATTTAGCATGAGCTTTAATAATATACAATATGCAAAACTTAAAGATAGGGAGAGAAGTCGTAGAGTATGTTGATCACTTCACTTATGTGGGAAGTTGCATTAGATCCAGTGGGTTGAAGGCTGACAAAATCTCAGCACGGATAAAATAGGTTAGTTAGGCATTTGGCAAATTACATCATCTCCGGCCCAGACTTGATATCCGGCTATTCATTAAAGGAGGTTGTTTACTGGTTAGGACTTCGCTCTCTCCCCACTTATAGCTGCGAGGCATGGCCACTGGATTGAAAGATATGAAAAGGCTAGTTGCCTTTAGTCAGAGGTGGTATAAACGGTGATAATGAGGTTAGGTGGTAGAGTGGTAGTTAAGGGAAGGGGGAAAGTAAATCGATAAGGTTGTAAAGCAACACAGATTGAAACGACTGAGACGTGTTATGTATGTCCAGGCCATCACCTTTCCTGACAAGCAGTGTAAGCAGCTGACATAGGATCAGCTTATTACAACCTTAGGGGGGGTTGTCAGAAGAAAATATAGAATCAGTTCATGAAATCTTTGACAGTTAGTTTCAGCCATGTAGCGAAGTGTAGGCTTCCTAATTGGCGCCTCCCCGGGATGCTAAGAACCAACTGATTAGAGACAATAAGTGATAAGACTTAAAATCCTAGTTAACTGCGTGGATACATTCAATCTCTGTAATTTCCCATACACATTAAACCCTAATGTTTCTACCAAACAACATTCCTTTTCTATCAATTTTCTATACATGATAGTCCTTGTGAATCCCCCTTTTTCTCCCTCTGCGGGCTACATAGAGTGTCACCGATTCAATTCTGTGTAGAGTTTTCTAGGTTGAAATTCGGTCTGACAAAATTTTTCGCTCATCGCAATATACAGGACGATTTTGATGTAGTTGGGATCTCTGGGTTGGATGGCTTACTTGAGAAGCTTTCCTTGACTCACCACTACGAAACATCTTCGACGCATACTTCAATTTCTTTGAATCAGCTTTTAAGTTTCTACACGAGTTTAGGAGTTACCTCTGCTGGTGACCTTGGGTGACCTTCAACGTCATGATTGGTAGCTTTTGTCTGTTTTCACATCCTCTAGTCTACTTGTATTCAATACTGATTGTCTCCTTGACTTGAACCTTGACCTTATGTGTGAGATTTCCTTCTTATCGATTGGTAAATTTTATCTATATCAATGTACCCGTTAATTGGCGATTAATTGGAATACTGTCTGTCTGTCTGGATTCAACATAGAACTTGGCACCGAAGTGCAGCAGTTCGAGTTGCCACCTTCCAAATAGCACACAGAGGTAGACAAGAAGATGAGTGAAGTGAATCAATAGAGTTTGACAAGTATAAGAGTGAAACAGAATGGCTAATGGTAGAAAGGAATATGAAAGATTACAGAGACTGAATACATCTGCGCTGGCCATTGACAACGATGAGTTTGAGCCATGTCACCTATTGTCTCCAGCCATTGATTCCTAGAGTCCCGAGGGCCCCGACCCGGAAGTCTGCATCTCCCTCCCTACCTGACCGACTCAGTTTAACTGTCAAGGACTTCATGGACTGAGGAGGCCATGTATTTGTTTGGCCACCACTTACCCTTTTCCAACCTGAACCTATATCAGCTAGTAATGCTCGTCGGCGGGGGGAGGAGATGGTTAGGCATGCGCACCACCTGACCCAGCCATCTTAGTCTATGTAACTTTATAGCCTCGTCGATTGATTTTCCCTCTTTGCCCAACACTCTACGCCTAACGTCAACATTACTTACCTTGTGAAACCACCTAACGTGAGACAGAGATCGCAGACATCTATGATCGAAAGCAGTCAACCTTTTCATGTCTTCAACGCGTATTGGCCATGTTTCAGAGCCATAGACAAGGACGGAGCGAACTGATGAGCAGTACACACGTCCCTTGGTTGATAACTGGATGTCACGCCTACGCCAGAGATGGTGTAAGTCAGCGAAAGCAGCAGTCATTAGGCATACAGGAACACGTGCTACATCATTGGTATCACGTGAAAAATATACTCTAAGTATATTCTATGCAAGAGTAGACACATACAGTGCACAAATTAGAAATATAATAAAACAATCATTAACAGACCTTCTGTCTTAGGTTTAAACTTGAACCGTAATGTTAATCCTTTGAATGTATGAGTATTTTAACCAATGGATTACACATATTTGAAAATTATGCCAGAAGTATCATCACCAGGTGCAAGACAACACACCTGTAGCCGACAGCTCAATTATATGAGTTTGACACTCCCCTACTTAGACCATATATATATATATATGTTCAACAGCTGTACGACAACGACACAGGTCAAGTGAACCACAACAGAAAACTCAGCGAGGCGTTTCGACTTAACACAGGAGTCAGACAAGGGTGCTTATTATCCATCACCAATGATATTCCTAATTGTGGTCGGCTGGATTATGCGTCAGACAGTGAGTGGGAAACGAGAAGACAGGGATATCCTGGACCAACCGGCGTGAAGAACCTAGAAGACCTGGATTTCGCGCGTGAATCATTTATGCTTGATATCACACAAAATCGAAGACTTACAAGCGAAAACCGACAAACTGGTCAAAGAAGCAGCCAGTGAAGACAGGACTCCAGGTAAACACAGACAAGACGGAGGTTATGAAAATAACCAACCAACAACAACAACAACATCCAGCGCCAATCACCATCAACGAGAGGGATTTGAAACAGGTCTGTCTCTGTCTGTCTGAAATACTAGGCTTCAGAAAATGTGTTTCCCCGTCTAATATTTCAACGTTGTCCCAGTCGAATTGATATCCGTGGTTGTCTGTATGCAACGATATGAGGGAGTGGATATCATCATGTCTTTTGACGGCTAGTTTATTTTCGCATGCGCTGAAGATATTGCGTAGTAGGGCAATGGAAGCTTCGCAAATAAACCATCCAGCTCATAGAACAAATCTACATTAAAATAATAATCATTTAGATGAATAACTAACAATCTATCTAATATACGTTGCACCTCTAATGTAATGTGAGTTTTATCTTTATGTCACACACTATAAGAATAACATCTTTAGTTTTGTAGCAATGTTCATGTGATAGTTGACCTCAAATTTGAGTAATGCTGAGATGAAAGAATGTAGAGCATTATAAATAACAAAGTTAGTAAATCATAAAAAGGCCACAACACTGCGTCGGTGGCACAACGGTTAGGACTCTCACCGACCATGCACATGGTCCGAGGTTCGACCCCCGACTGACGCACATCTAACCATCAATGACCAGCATGCTAAATTTGGGCTAATATCACACGCTGAAAATTCCATAGTTTTACTAAAATACTGTGTGGAATCAAGCTATAATAATAATTAAAATAATAACAAATGAGATAAATATGAAAGTACACCTGACAGGGGAAAAAAGTCAAAGTGCAAAATATAAAAAAACGGGTATAATTACTTTTGAAAATTAGAAGAATCCTGTTTCCCAGTGAATTTGAATACGCCAGCTTCATTTTCCAATCTCGAGGACTGCCAACCAACCCATATGAAACAACAATATCTTGGATCATCAGATGGTTCTAAAAAGCTAAAATTCACCACTGGTGTAGCTGGAGTAGCTTGACGTAAACAAAATCTAAGATATAAGAAGAGAGGGTTGAAAAAGAATGTACGAAACAAATTACATGTATAGTCCGTTTAATAACATCAAAACGAAACTAACTGGAACGATGGTTTCACTTGGTTTGATTCAATTCAGTGGAAAATCCTTTAAGAAACACAGGCGAATTCTAATTAAAGTCATGCATATGCGCATACGAATAACTAAACATTCCACTTACTGATATTCAGCTGCCAGTTTAGTATTATTAATATTATTTTCCCCTTTAGTTCCTAGAGGAACATAAGGATTCAGCCGAACTTCTCCACTGCGTTCGGTTCTCTGACAATATTTCCACCTGCCTCCACATCTACTCGCATGCTTTCATCTCCTCTTCACATCACCTCCTCCATGTCACCATCGCAATGACGACCAACTCGACGCTACACATTCGCATTCCACTCAACAGTCTGGCAAAGTGATGTCACTTGATGGTTTTCTCAGAGTATGGCCAATCCACCTCTATTTCTTCTACATATTTGTTGCGCAATTGGTTCCCACTGGGTTGGTTCGCTCCCAGAAATCCCTCACTGTTGCTGATCTTTTCTGGCTGGCCATCTGATCTTGAGTATTGAGCGAAGACAACTGTTAATGAAGGTCTGATGTTTGTTGGAGATGCTCTTTATGACGCGCTGGCCAAGTCTCTGATCCGTATAGTGAGTAGCACTGACTGACTTCACATTCGAGTTGAAAATCCGGACGGATGTTATTTTTGATTCTGAGCGCTGTTGATCTCCACACAGACTTTAGAGTAACGAAAGCTTGCATTGCTTTCCCGATGATCCTCGCTTTGATATTCTCATCAGTTCCATCGGCCTGTAGTTCAGACGACAATGATTCCCAGGTAGGTAAGTAAAGGAGGTTGCTTCTTTGAGATTCCTCTCATTTGTGATGACTGACTGTTGTTGTTGCTGTTGGCCAGGAATCTTCATCACCTCTGTTTCTCTATGTTCATCTGAAGGCCCGTCTTTGATAATTCTTCTGTCAAGTCAGTTTAGTAGTTATTATTGTTATTTAATATTCATAATATACAAAAATATATAACCGCGAGTTGACAGAAGTTAGAATACACAGGCCACTAGACTCCAGCGCAAGTCTCTGAATGGTCAACGAGCTTGGCCTCGTAACTTTGGCCAATGTAGTGTCTTTCGTGGTAATGGCAATTTATTTTGTAGATGATGTTGGTTTTATCTTTTTTCGCTATTGAGTCTTTTTGTTGTCTGTCTGTCTGTCTGTTTTCGACATAGAACCCTGCACAAATGTGCGGAAGTTCAAGTCGCCACACTCCGTGTAGCACGCGAAGCAAGAGAAGAAAGTACAAGAAAAGCATAATAGAAACAGTGAGCAGAGGGGTGAGACAAAGTAGGAGTAATAACGAAGAACAAAACAGTTTCATTGGAGATCATAAGTCACAAGGAGTGGATGCATCTGCGCTAGCCACTGAGAACGATTTTGAGCCATGTCACCAATTGTTTCCAACCATAGATTTTTACCGTCCCGAGGACCCCAAGTTTTGCCAAGTTTTTGTTTGACCGCCGCTAGCTTTTTTCCAGCCTGACCCTATATCCGCTAACATTGCTCGTCGAGGGAGGCGATGGCTTGGCATACGTAACACATGTCTTTTTGTTGACATAGAGACAGATGAATGAAGTGATTCTGTTGGTTTGTGTGCAACGTAAATTCCTCCTAAAGGTTTTGCGAGTGTTGCGGTGATTTTTGTGACGTACATGGTATGCAGTTAAATGATTTTCTTTGCGTTTTCCTTGAAGACCTTTGATTCGGTTTGTTGGCTTGGGGCAGAGAAGTCTTTCGATGAAGTTTTGTGAATATTCACGATTTTGGTAGACGACCATAAGATATTTTTCTACAATTTTCCTTAACATAGAAATACTGCAATGAGTCCTGGCCCTCTTGAATATTGTTTGCATACAACTCCTTTTGTGTGTTATTGGATTGTTGCTGTTGTAATTCAGTATTTGATTTGTGTGGGTTGATTTTCTATAAACTTGAGTTTCTAATGCTCATGCGGTTGTTTGATTGTTTGACTAAAACGTCCATAAATGGGATTTTGTTTTCGGATTTCTCTTCTGTCGTGAATTTGATGTCGTTAGAAACGCTGTTTATCAAGTTGTGAGTTTTGCCCAACTCGTTTCTTTTCATTATTACAAATGTTTCATCTATGTAACGTATCCAAATTTCGGGTTTGTTTTTTGGTAGGATTATGTTTTCAAGTCTTTACATCACTGCTTCTGCAAACAAACCTGATATTGGCGACCCCATGGGTGTTTCTTTAACTTGTTCATATATCTGGTCACTGAATTGGATGTACGTTGTTAGGCATAAGTTTATGCATTCCATCCAGCTTGTGTGTTGCATTTTTGATTGTTGTGGAAGGTGTTCATCGTTGCTGAGTAATTACTCCATGGTCACTTTTGCTAATTTCTGTCCAATTGAGGTATATAATGCTGTGACATCGAAGGATACCATTATTTCTTGGTCATCTATTTAATGAATGCCTTTGACTTTCTCTAGAAATCGGATAGCAGATTTGATGGAATGATCACAAGAATCCGTTAAGTGTTTCAATTTTCCGCATAGTTCTTTGGATAAATTGTATGTTGGGGTTCCTGGGAGTGACACAATTAGTCGTAACGGGATATTCGGTTTGTGTATTTTGGGTCTGCCATAGAATCGGGGTAGAACCGGTTCAAACTATAGGAAACAACAAGTGTGGACAGTGAATTTACGAATTAACGAAAGAACACTCATTAACGGTCAATGGTAGGGTTTAAAGAAACATGGTGATAACGAGTAGACAATGGGAAGAAGTACGCCCACTAGCATCACACTTACTCCATATTTAACCGATTCAGTGACCATAATTGCCAGCCACCAAAACTAAAGCCAACTGCCAATCCTTGCACTTGTGGAATGTAGCTTAACGCAGAAACATAAACGCCGGCTGTAATGAAACAAAAGCATAAAAGAATACATACTACACGTATTTACCATGAGAAAAGAAGTAAAGCAGTTATAAATTGACATATTTTTAAAATAATGAGCCCACCCAACTACATTGGAATCAGTTATTTGAACAGAATACACTAGGGTGAAGCTGTAAATCATTGCTTAAGATACTAAACTTTTAACTAGTAGGTCACGACTTTGAAACTCCACTTCATCTACTAAGATTTCGTCGTGAAGTAGTATGGTGTATGCTACTGACAAGACTTATCAGTAGTATATAAGGAATCCTTCATCGGAACATAAAAATATCAAATATTCAAGTATTGGTTTTGTAGGGATTTTGTTTGATTGTAAGGAGGATTTCATCATGAGCTGATATCAGTTAGAGAACCACTGGAAAACCTGGAAGATGTCCGATTATTTATAAGTTGAAGTAAATAAGTGGATGGTGACTAGCAATGGGAACACCATCATTCACTGGAGAATGCAGGTACACCCAGATGATGAATCTTAATTGGGACGAAATGTGCATCTCGGATTCCACTGCTAGTCACCATCTACCGATTTACTTCAATAAAATCACACAATAAAAACTTACCAGATGGAATTGAAGATAAGGTCTTTCCACTGACAGATTTATAGGTGAAATCATTCCAACGAAGAACTGACGCTAAAGGAAACAAATTATAAATATGATTAGTAATCTGAGAGTTAACACTGTTAAATAATAAACTAATACAGATGAAGTGATGACAATTACAAAAATAGAAATAGCTTCAAGATGAAGCATATTCATCGAACAAAGTATAGAATGACAGTCAAACCTCTCTCTCTCTCTCTACCTCAACTTCATCGACTTCGAAAAGGCCTTCGGCAGACAGCGTCAACCAAGAAGTAGTTTGGAAGCTACTTCAACACTATGGCGTGCAGTGCACAAGTCTTTATCAACCCCATTCAACAGTACCAGATGTCAGGTAAACCACAACGGAAAACTCAGCAAGGCGTTTGAAGTGCCTATGGGAGTAAGACAAGGCTGTCCTAATATTACTGATGATATTCTTAATTGTGGGGAACTGGATTATGCATCAGACTGTGGGGAACGAGGAGACAGGAATATACTGAACGACCGATAAGAAGACTCCAGGAGATCTGGATTTCACGCTTGGATGATTTATGTTTAACGTCATACAAAGTCGAAGAACTACAGGAGAAAACCAACAAACTGTCTAAACAGATAGGCAGCGAAGACAGGACTCCAGAAGAACACCAACAACAACAACAGCAACAACCAACAACAACAATCGCCATCAACGGGAGAGATTTGATAGAGGTCACTTCTTTCCCTTATCTAGGAAGCATCGTTTCGACTACAGGCACGCTGAAAGCATGAAGATGTAAAAGCAGGCCAGAATTCGAAAGGCAAAATACGCCTTCATCAACCAGGAACCAGTTTGGAAATCTTATGCACTCCGCCTCAGCATTAAGAACAAGATTCGTATTTTCAACATAAATGTGAAGTCAGTTCTTCTATGAGGGTCAGAAGCTTGGCCGGTGTGCCACGAAACGATTTTCAACACGTCAGAAACTTTTATTAACAGCTGCCTTCGCCGGCTCCATACTGCAGATCAAATGGCCAGAAAGAATTAGCAACAAGAAACTCTGGCAACGAACCAACACCAAGAGGCGATCGCTCAACAAATATGTAGGAGGAAATGGAAATGGATAGGACACATACTGAGGAGACCGTCGAATAACATCGGGCGCAATGCACGTCGTCGCTCGAGTGGAATTCGAATGGAAAGCGACGAGTAGGTTGTGTGGCGAGGAAGGGGAGATGAGAGATCATAGGCAATTGCGGACCCAGATGAAGAGAACGGCAGTCCAACAGTGGTGTGAACACGGGCAGAAATTTTGCTCGAAATATTACCAATAACAAAACTTATCATTGTGTGTGAACTATTGAAATATAATTATACTTTATTGTCTGTCTGTCTGTCTCTGTCTGTTTTCGACATAGAACTTTGCACAAATGTGCGCCAGTTCAAGTCGCCACACTCCGTGTAGCACGCGAAGCAAGAGAAGAAATTACAAGAAAAGCATAATAGAGACAGTGAGCAGAGGTGTGAGACAAAGGAGTAATAAAGAAATACAAAACAGTTTCATTGGAGATCATAAGTCACAAGGAGTGGATGCATCTACGCTAGCCACTGAGAACGATTTTGAGCCATGTCACCAATTGTTTCCAATCATCGATTTTTACCGTCCCGAGGACTCCAGCCTGGAAGTCTACACCTTCCTATGTGGCTTAGACCAACTGTTGTGGATTTCATTGACTGATGCCAAGTTTTTGATTGACCGCCGCTAGCTTTTTTCCAGCCTGACCCTATATCCGCTAACATTGCTCGTCGAGGGAGGCGATGGCTTGGCATACGTAACACATGTCCTAACCATCTCAGTCTTTGTAACTTCACGACTTCGTCGATTGATTTCCCCTGTTTACCTAGAACTCGACGCCTAACCTCCATGTTGCTCACCTTATTATGCCACTTTACACGGGAGATAGAGCGCAGGCACCTATGATCAAAGACAGCCAGCTAGTCTTTTCATGTCTTCCACTCTCAGTGGCCAGGTCTCACAGCTGGCCATAAAGGAGGACGGAGCGGACTGATGAGCAGTACACCCGCCCTTTGGTCGACAGTCGAACATCTCGTCTACGCCAGAGTCGGCGTAAACTGGCAAATGCGAAACGAGCCCCCTGTATACTTTATTAGAACGGCAGAAGATAGAACGAAATGGAGATGTGTTGTTGAAGTCCTATGCCTCACTCGGAACCCAAGGAAATAATAATAAAATAGTAATGACGAAGGAATTCGCAGTCATTTCAGTCTCTAGCTTCCAAACTTAAAGAAGATATACAAATGAACCTCTGATTGTCAAATGTTTAGAAACAAAGCTTATGATATTGCAAAATTTATCGGTCAAGTTATCCTAACAAATGATAAATCGCATGGAGGATTTCATCATGAGCTGACATCAGTTAGAGAACCATTGGAAAACCTAGGAGTACTGGACAGCTATTTCAACCGTCCTAGTTTGGGACTCTTCATCAGTACGCACCCACACTGCGGGGTTTGAACCCAGGACCTTCTGGTTACAAGGCGAGCTCGTAGACCATTGAGCCACTGGGACCCGATCCAATGGTCCTTGAATTCTAACTTCTGCCAATTTACGATATAGCGCGACCACTTCGCAATGTCTTCTTCGATGAGTTACTGTCTCATCTTCAACCTGCTGTACCCTACTGGTCATGGCTTCCCACTAGAACCCCAGGTTAACTACCTGAATAGGCCAGTCACTAGTGAGCATCAGATACTTGAAAATGATAAATCGTCAACTTTATATACCGAAAATATTCATTCAGACATCTATAAAACACAAAATAATTGAGCCAGCAAAGAATATCCTTTTCGATAATTTCCTTCTCTGGTTCTACAATTGTATATACATGTTTATATACATAGAATATTCTAGATTAGTAGTCAATAACAATATTGGTGTTTTTTAAATAATATCGACCTGTAAAGTAAGATCTCGATGGAATTACAGTTCATTAAAGATGTTTACATAATAATAACAATAATAATAATAATAAAGATAGTAAATAGAATATCAACTAAAATTAGGGAAATTCCGCAAAAATCGATGTTTATTCAAAACCTAGATGAACAAGGTAAGGATAATGTCTGAACTAGCTTCTTTTGGACGCACAAACTAAGCTTCTCAATATGGATCCCCACAGCCTCAGCAATATTTAGTAATCGAACTCTTAAGGCGAAGTTAGGATCTGTTGGTATGCGGTAAATGACCTTGAAAGCCTGGTTAACATCAATCTTGTGTTCTGTATCCACAAGATGAGATAGAATAGCGCTATGTGAATATATTTTGTTTGTCCTCTACTTAACCACGCAGGAGGATGTTCGGAAATCCGACGAGAAACACGCCTAGTTGTACAGCCTATGTAATTGGCTACTTCACAGGAGCAGTTAAATTGGTAGATACATATAGAAGTGGCGAAATTAGGTAGTTTTTCTTTACTCCCGAATGCAAAAGAGGAGTGGATGGTTTTGAAGACACAGCGTAATTTTAGCAGCAGAGAATGCTGCTTTATATACTTTATATACTCTGTTTTCGTTAGGTTAACTCACGTGTATAGACGAGAAATAAAGCTACACGAGGCATACACTGAAATATGTCGAGAAAATAGACTATTTTAAGAGACTAGAATGATTTGTGTTTTTGGTATAACACTCCTAAATTGAAGTTAAGTGAGTAAATCGTCAATGGCTAAATATATAACAAATTTAAGCCTAACAATTACATTAGTTAGTCAACTAAATACACATTCCTCATTGAATGTTGAAAATACTGTATGTCCATAAAGGTACACTTTGGTGACGAACGCCGCCAAGCATGGAATTGAGGTTTCGAGGATCCTGTTAATTTACGTCAAACGCATAACAGCATTTAAAGTGCACTTAAACCACAGATTGTGACCGCTACTCGGTGACCAATTCATACTGATCATCTAATTCTACAAAGAGATATTTGTAAGCTGCATAGTCAAGAAGATAAACTGTAACAGTAGAAGACAAGAGACTTCGTCACGGAATGTTTGTTTGGTATCTGTAAACGGAAGTCATGTACACCTTTATCTGCAAATCGTTATTTTGCACAGATCCTCCACGTTGTGCAACTTCTACCCTTCGTATTGTGTTTCTTTGTCTTCTTTTCGTGTCTCCCATGTTTCTCTGCAATGCTGAATCATTTCCTCTCTTTAAACGTCAAATCCAATCAACATCCCTTCATATACTAGTGATATATCTTGTCAATAGCACACACACACCACAAAAACAACTAACTTATTGTCTTTATTCTTCAACGACTGATATGAATCAGCAAATTATGCCTTTTGACCTATGTCCACACGAAATAGTAACACAGACAAATGAAGAAAGATACTGAAGAAACTGAGAGGATTACACAGCTTACCATCAAGATATACTAAAGCGTGTTCTACATTATCCTTGAATGACTGAGAGATTGGTTGTTTACACGAGACACAATTCAGGCATTGTGATCTTTCAACTGCAATTGACATTTCAGGCTTGTCGCTTAAAGTTTTATCACGATTATGTGATAGGCATAAGTCTGAAGAAAAAGAAGGCATATATAGTAATTAGTTAACAACTTGCAAGCTGACATAAATTAATAATAATAATTGATTGAAGATGCCTTTTGGAAGTTTCAAAAAGTTTGATTACTTCACAAAACACATATTTTTTCAATAACATCTTCTTCATCAGGTTCTATAGTCATAGATCTGTCCACAATAATGAAGAAGTGATTGTTATTAACAACACTAATTTGTTTTCTAAAGGTAACATGGAATCATTGACATCCGAATTTCAAAAGCTATTTGCAAACAAATAGTTGTTAATAGATTATATATAGCCCCAAATACATGTACGCAGTAATATGCATAATTCTAACATTAAATTGACCAAAAGTTTTACAAAACATATTATTATGAATACCAAGGATGATATGTGTCTGATTTCCCACAAAACTGGAAGATATGCAAGTAAAAAGCAACAAGTTGACAGAAGAAGCATAAAAGATAGAACCTTCTTCAGATGAACATAGAGAAAACAGAGGTGATGAAGATTCCTGGCCAACAGAAACAGCGACAACAACAGACAACAATCAGCCTGCATAAGTGGAAGGAACCTGAAAGAAACAACCTCTTTTACCTACCTACCTACCTGGGAAGCATCGTTTCAACTACGGACGGAACTGACGAGGATATCAAAGCAAGAATCGAAAAAGCAAGACAAGCTTTCGTTACTCTCAAGTCTGTGTGGAGGTTAACAGCACTCAGCATCAAAAATAACATCCGGATTTTTAACTCCAATGTGAAGTCAGCGCTAATCACTCCACGGATGAGACTTGGCGCGTCATGAAGAGCACCTCAAAGAAACTACAGACCTTCATCAACAGCTGCCTTCGCTCAATACTCAAGATCAGATGGCCGGATCTCTGGGAGCGAACCAACCAAGAACCGATTGTGCAAAAATGAACAGGAAGAAATGGAGGTGGATTGGCTATACTCCGAGAAAACCATCTATTAACATCACGAGACATCCTCTAGTGGAACCCAAATGGGAGGCAGTGATTTACTAGTCCAAGGGTGACTTGGAGGTGGTCATGTGATGGGGAGATGAAATTATGTGGGCAGACTTGGAGCCAGGTGAAAACGTTAGCAGAGAACCGAAGGCAATGGAAACGTTCGGCTGAATCCCTATGTTCCTCTAGGAATTAAAGGAAACAATAAATAATATAATAATATAGTATAGTTAGAAGCTGAAGGTATTGACGTTCACGGATAGTGCGAAGTATACTAACGCAAGATCTAATATCCACAACTTCTATAGTATTCGTTCCGCGTAGACTAAATGCAAAGCAAAACACCAGAATTGACCATCCACCAAATTACGAGTTACATTTCGGGACCAAATCGGAGTGCGAGATGATTGCTCAACTAGCTAGGGATCGTGGACAAACGAACGAACGAACGAACGTGACACGACGGCGTACCAAATGGCGTGGATGTCTGACCGGAAGCCTTCAGCTAAGCAAGTTGACTTACAGGAACATATATATATATATACTAGATTTTATTCATATTGATTATAAACTTCATATGGATGAACGACAATGTGAATGAAGTTCGGAGAAAAAATTTGGCATAGAAGGTTATGTGTGTTGTATGTGCGTCAGCGTGTAAGCTAACAACTACGTTTAAATTAGTACAAGTGTAATAACGAGGGATAAAGAAATTTATATGCATAGGATGGAGGGCCATATCAAAAACGGTCGAAGTAATAAGGTATTTATGAATTTGCAAACTTGACAGCAGGCCAAAGCAGTAGTAGTAGTAGTTGGACATGTTTCTTCCATACACAGAGTCCTATACACGAAACGTGATGACAGGATGAGTACCTCAACCGGTGAATTGCTATATACATCTAATAATCAACATTGTTAGTGCATAGGGAGAACACACCAGTGACGATAAATCAGATATGGGGTTTCCCCAGTGGTTATGAGTAGTCTAATCCTTTGCTACGTCTATCATATACTCTGACGATGTGTCGTTACATCATTTTACAGATCTGCCAAGAGTGACGGGATAACATGTGACCTTACGGTTGTGTTACGTGCATGTTTTCCGCCCTTAAAATCTGCCTGATAGCTGCTACTATGACGTGTTAGTGGGACTTGCACATAGCAGTGAATCATGATGAGTAGAGCGACTCTTCATACACGTCATACTATACCGAAAAAGTTAAATGGATATCTGTCACACTAAAAGTAGGTACCATCATAAGTTCAACTGTTCACACCAAGATGATAGTCTAAGGGATAAATCATACTGCTGGTGAATAGGATGCTTCCCTTCAGGTGACCAACAAGCAGCTATGCCGGTAGAAAAGGTTTACACGAAAGTGTTGACGGTACTCCGTTGTCAGCAGTAAGGTCTTCTGGACTGATAAGACTCAGCAAACTCTACTTCCATATGACGGGCCTCAGGAAATTATTTCCCTGACTCTTCAGGCACATGACACTAACTCTTTTTCTGTTTAAAGGGTCCCAAGAAGTAATTAACCAACAAAATGTGGGGAGATGGGTAGTTTTAAGCATTTTCTCATCTGGAGGCCGCCAACAATCAAGGTGAATAGAACACCTAGCCAACAGTTGTAGGTAGTATCAGTGAAGGAATGCCACTCCATTTTGGACACCTGCATGAACTCCAACTATAGATTAGTCTATGTATGCATGTGACGATTGAAACAATATAGAGAGCAAGAGGATGAGAAATCTTAACGTGCCCAGCTTTCTTTTTGAAAACCTAAGGTCTGCATCTATGGAAGATATGACTAAACACAATCCAGTTTATGATAGCAATACTCATTGTGAGAAATTCTGGTATCAATCAGTCGTAAGTATAGTAGTAAAGACTGTAGATGGTCTGCACCCAAACGACAATAAATGTCAGTGTGTTTCTACAGTTTCAGACAAACCGAGCGATGCAAGGTGAGCTCCAAACATGACAGAGGGTGAAAGCTGCTCAGACGTAAAACAACTAAAATTCTCCGTAACGACTACAAATATTGATGGACGGTGAAAGTGAAGTGAATGAAAAAGATATCAGAGAAGGGAAATACCTGTTAGCTATTTAGGCACAAGAAATAAAGGTTCCGTAAAGCTGATACAAGTGAAACAATCTTTCAGAAGAGTGGGACTCCAGTAATTTTCCAGCAGATACGCATAAACGCTGGAAAAACTACTTCAAGGAGTAGTTCAACTGGCTTACAGTTGCACTGTAATCCCCCAGCATCTGATCTTTCTTTTAATAGGATGTTCATATACATATACATAGGGCAGTCTGCTTAAATCATTGGGCTACCGAAATTACTTTCCTCCAAAATGCTAAATTTCATCTGGATCTATTATTGTTTTAACCATACGGTTATATCAAATGACCTATACATAAACTTGCGCGATGATTTAACTTGCTCCCAAGTTCTTCAACGAAATGAAGATATACTTCAGATTATTACTTTATATGTGAATCCTTTGTGAAGAAAAAAGTACTTTGGAACTGAATACGCTGAAAACTTTTGTACCCTATATTCGCATACTGTCTTAAATAAAGCTTTACCATTATCATTATTATCAGTCCTCCAACTGTGACTCATATTGCTAACGCTTCCACTAACCCAGAATGAGGAAAAGCAGTAGAGCTCGGTGGCATGACTCTAGAGGCGTATCAGAGTAGTAGTAATGAAATATTGACTATATTGATTAAGATATTCCGTAGTGTACGGCATTAAGAGATAAGTCTAAAGGTCTGGTATAGCTGATTGATTGTCCCAGTTCAGAAGAAAATAAACGAATTTCCCTGCTATAATCACAAAAGGATCAGCTTGACTAACATATCTAAGATTCTAAGCTATAATTCTGCAAAAACTAAGCGGAGCTCGGGAAAAGAAACCAGCGAAATTGGTGTAGCTGTGCTCTCCGAACTAGATTGTTCAATTACGAAACTCTCATTTTCTCTCTAGACAATACCTTCGGTCCCGACTTAAACAGGCAATGAGGTCTTAGAATCTCCCATAGCTTCATTGCCTACCTCTCCTAATGATATTTACAGTGACTGATTGTTTTCAGAGTTTTCTCCACCCTGTTGTCCACTTGCATTGTTAATACCCTTTTTGCTGACCAGACAATTGACGTTTCTGTATGTGGGTTCCTTTTTATTGTTTGACAAATGACCTATGTAATATATCAATGGAAGATAATCAAAGCTTCCACACCACAGTGAACAAAACTGCAACAACATTATTCACTTGAGCTACAATTCTTTGCTAACATTTCTGAACAACAAAAACCCAGACGCTCTTCAAGCTTCAACAGGGTTGTTATGATTGTATCTTTATCCTTTGACAGAACACTATCTGGCGTCTAACATTTGCTATACATACTATATATATATATATATATATATATATATATATATATATATATATATATATGTACATATATATATATATGCTTACTGGACTGAGAAGTCGACTTGCAGGCAATGGATCCCGGTCCCAATCTCGCCCCACCACCCTGAGCCTAGGCAACTCTGTAATTCTTCCAGCCCTTACACAGTGTGACAAGCTGGTGTACGAGAAATGTTTCGGGTAGTTTAATTCTGACATGTGAAATAGCCTTAGCACAATCTCTTGTATTGGATGGAGTGATACAATCACCAATGATGAGGTTAAGTGTGAAGTGTTAGGCAATGATGAAAATTGAATCCACGAGAGAGAAAATGGTCCTAAAAATTCATGCTAAGCCACCACATTCCTCAGTGAGCAATGTTGGATGAAACAGGATTAGGTTAGAACAAAGCAAAACACAGATCCATAAAGCCAGTGACTGTTGGTTTGTGCAACATAGGTGGATACAAATGATCTAGCTGGGCTACTCAGGATGCCAAGAGTCAATAGTTGGAGAATGTTGGTGATATGGCTCGAAATCGTTTACAGTGTACTTATATAAAGCATAGGAGTTTCACATAAAAGCATAAGCTAACACCGCACTGACATAGTGAACAATAACCAGCAACAACAAAGACTTTTTATTGCCATCACTTATTACACAGTAGATTTCCATAAGTCGTCACCCGACCGCTTATGCAGAACTTGTAGTAATACAATGTAGTCATACACGATTTTCATATTCGAACACTGCAAACGAACCGTAAAAAGCACTTAGCACACAGTAGATAGAAAGTGTGTAGTTCACCAGGTACCACCATGTTATGCAGCAAACATGATGATTATAAGGACACATTTAAGGGATCTGGGGTTATTAAATGATCATATAACCAGAATGCTACAGATACGAGGACACGTCCGCATAATTTCATAATCAAAAGCAACAGAAGATAATCAGGAAACGGCAGCACTCATTTTTCCAGAATACATTAATTTCCTAAGTACTCTAATCTATGTTTTTAGAGCTGCATAATGTATGTAAGTATTAAATAATATTTCATATTTATTACCGAAGTTGAGAAAAACAGGATGAATTAAATACTTACCTAATAGAGCTACAAGACCCTGTTGGAATCCAAGAGCGAAGCAACCATCGAAAACTGACAAAACAGAACTAGAAATTTTACTAACAGAAGTATCTTCATCTAACATATCCATTGTCGTAGATGTTATTGACTGTGATTCTAGCGTTTTGTATGTCATATCGACTAATGGTAACCACTCCAATGTGGTTAAAACGCCATGTATCAAAATAGATATGATGCATTTCGTTGAGCTCAGTGAACGAAAAAAGCAAACGAGGGAACGGTTATGACTAATATTCACGAGTATAACAGCTAATGACTGTCTTGCGGTTGTTGAAGTATTTACAAACATAACCTTCACAATATGCCAATTACACAAATCACCAGGAGAATCTGTCAAATTTTCTAACAGTTTCCTTAGATGCAGAGCAGGTATCCATGTAAACTGACGCGTCCAACTCGGACTTTCACGGAAGCATTCAACTTTGTGTAAGTCATACATGCATACAGTTGCAGAAGATGAACTGAAAACTATTTGTGTGGTATTCTGTAGAGATATACCAGTTTTACTTTTTGAGAAGGTAACTGAGGCAACAGGTTGTATGTACATTGGTTGCATGTTTAAGCAAAGTTGATTAACTGTAATTTTAACATCCAAAAATAAAATGGGTAAAACATTAACGTTGCTTAAAAACAAATTTAAAGTTATATAAATGAGGATAGTGGTCACAGTTATTCTACTTTAATCACAACAAAGTGGTAAACTATGTAATTTTTCATACAGGATGCCTAATTGTATGACATCTCAGGAGTTTACCACCCGTGTTTATATGTACATAAAATACAATAAGGTGCACTAGGAACTTGCACCAGCAGGTCTAAAAAGGAAAATAAATGAAAACTAAAATAAGGTGTTGCTTACATCTTGCGGGAGTATGGAAACAGCTGTGATACTTCAGTTCATCTTGAAACAGCTACCACCTAACTGCACAGTTTCGCATGTTACTTAAAGCTAATTTGAAAATCTCAGCACTTATCACCAAGACCACAACTCTGGAAAATACCAGCACACCTAGTCCTTTGATTGAAACTCAAGTGCAGAATGAGAAACACAAGAAACCCCAGAGAACTACGATCTCTAATCATTTTTTAAAAACTTTATGATTCGTATTAATCCTTGATTCTCGTTCGTTCCTGAAGATCACTGATCATGTTAAAACTTAACTTCAACCAAATAAAATAAGGAATGAATTATAATTGATTCCTCATTGAGGAACATGGTAACTGATATGCATTATACCATAAAAATGACTACATATCCTCGATATTGATGGGTAGAACATATTTCTGCTAATTACTCTAATTATACTTCCTAATAAAAGAGAAATCTAGTGGAACTGTGTTTGGAGATAGTTGGTACATCAATACAAGAACCACCTTCTCCAACCGTAAAATCATTTATCTAGTCTCCTGACAAATGAAAACAAACTCACCGTTGAGGATAGATAGCAAACTACTCGGGGAACATCCAGTATTAGTAGCAGCAGTCAACAAACTAACAGCGCTAAGCGACGAATTTAAAAGCAGACCTCGACCTGACCTTTTAAAACATCGCCAAGGTCAAGGTAGATTCAGATTATAAGGATAGAAGCCCTTGTTGCCTATGTTAATCCTTGCGATATATATCTCTGCAGAGATCAAGTTTCTCCTTGAAAGTGTTCACCGATGGATCTGTTACTACTGTATCAGGTAGGGAGTTCCACTCGTTGACCACTCTGTGAAAGAATCTAAATTCCACACGTTTTTTACTCGACCTCGGTTTGAGCACCTTCTCGTGGTGACCCTATAAATCTGTCTGATAGGGAGAGAAGAGGTTTGAAATGTCAATCCCTAAATCACCCTTGAATATATGGTAAGCCAAAATTAAGTCACCTCTCCTCCTTCGGTGTGATAATGTGAACGGATTTAAATGCTACATCTTCTTATCATAAAGAAGGCTTGAGATACCACTAACTAATTTCGTTCCTACCCTCTGCACTCTTTTCAGGATATGTGCCTCCTTTTTGAAGCACAGACTCACGGCTTGTATGCAGTATTCTAGATGAGGTCTGACACGCTGCATTGAGTACTTGGAACATCCCTTCGTCTAATCGTTTGAAAGCCCTTCGAAGTGGTCACAGAATTCTAAAAGCCTTAGCTGCGGCTCGATTACAATTTACTAATTCTTTTAAGTCATGGCTTACAATAATTCCCTAGCCCTTTTGTCCCTTAACTTCTAGCAGTTCTGTGTCCCCCATGGAGTACGACGTGTAAGACTTCTGACCTGGGTGCATTACCGCGCTTTTCTTGGAATTAATTTCCAGATTCCAAAGGTTAGTTCATTTGGCTAGTTCATCTAGATCATTTTGTAGTACCAACCTATCATCGCTACTACTTACGGTTTTCCATATTTTAATATCGTCCGCAAATAGTAAGGAAGATGAGGTAATAATTTTCGGCACTTCATTTACGTATAATGGGAATAGCAGGGGGCCCAGTACAGTGCCCTGAATTACTCCACTTAGTACTGCTTCCCACCCTCACAGTACACCATTAACCTTTAAAGGTTGACGGTATAGACGTTCGCAAACAACACGGAGTATATTAACGCAAGATCTTACACCAACAACTTCTATCTTATTTGATTTTCGTGTACCAAAGGCAAAGAAAAACATCACAATTGATTGTCCAAATTACGAGATATATTTCGAAACCAAATAGCGGATTGAAGCGGAAGCTAAGCTAGCTAGTTATTGTGCACGAAAGTGACACGATGGAGTACCAAATGGCGGAGATGCTTGACCGGGAACCTTCAGTTAAACAAGTCGACTTAAACTCTAATGGTCAGCATCCAATGTTCACTGATGATTCCTATGGTGACGACGTAATTCTTCACTTAGAGATAATCTATTCCTATGGTCAATAATTTTAGGGAATTATTTACCGCTACAAACCCTTACCTTCTGCCTCCTATCCATCAGGTGGTCACTAAACTATTCAAATAAGCGTTGGTCTAATCCAAAACGTTTAACTTTACTAGGAAGACCTAAATGGGATACTTTATCGAATGCTTTACTAAGATCGATAAAGACAACATCCAGTAGGTGGTTCTTATCCCTCGCCTCGATCCAATCTTTCCTAGCTAACAGTAAGTTTGTCAAGCAGGACTGTCCTGGCCGTAGTCTCTGCTGTTCCACTGCCAGTAAGCCATGTTTTTCCATATGAGCTAAGAGCTGATCCCTTATGAGTTTTTCTAACGCCTTGGCTATAATACAAGTCAGACTTACAGACTGGTAGTTAGATACTAACTTCTCGTTCCTCTATTTGAAGATGGGTCTTATAAAAGCATCTTTTCATTCCATGGGTAGCCTAGCCTAGATCAAAGACATTTGAAGAATCTCCGTAATTGGAATATATATTATATCTGCCAAGGAGATTAGCACTGTAGGTTGAAGTCCGTCATGTCCAGATGATTTACCTGGCTTCCGCTTAGACAGTTGTCTGAGGATCACTGCATCCTCTTCCAAAATTGTGGTCATTTTAGTGGTTACATAGTGACCTTGCTACACCCCTGAGTGCGAGAAAACATCGCAAAATTATTCAGAGAGCCTTTCATCTCTAGTTTCGGCTGACTCGGCCGCCTCTTCAATATTGCAGTCTAATACAGTATTTAGGAGATAGAAGAGAGTTCGAGCAAAGGATATCCTTTGAGATAATTTACTCATCTAGCTTTACACGTAAATAATAATAATAATATATTCTCATTTTTGTACATGAGGGACGCCAGTTTACAGGCATCATCAATTACGCAAACTATTAGTAAGCCTAGTTAGTAAAGATATTATAATAAGGTACATATTTTTTCCCGGCTATGTAGGATACACCAGTTGTATAGGCATGCAGAAATATTGTTTAAATTACATGATTTACGGTTGCCATCATTCTGTCTTTAGTTCGTGAGAAAAAATCTGATAACTAGTGATTCAATAGACCACATCAGGAGATATAGGGATATTGATTTCGCATTAACAAGAAAACCCAAATATTCGTTGGATGGATTACAGATACTTGGGAAAATAAATAAAGCTTGAAGTCAATTTCCTAATATAACAATAAAATGAATCTTATAAAAATATACCGTTTTTTAATGCACATGACAATTGACAGGCATCATCAATATGATAATCATGTACACATGGAGTAAGCATGTTTAAAATATTTCACTGACACAAGATATATATATACAAGGAAGGGCAATGAAATAATGATAGTAAACACATTTTGCATAAGTCAAAACAATTTATATGATATAATCCTAGGCACCATTATTGTTTGAATTTGTCTAAAGTGCGCGTAACAACTGATTGTTGCGTTACATTTGGTCGACTTTGTGGGCTACCCACAAAAGTGTAAAAATGGCTTACGTAAACGATGTTTTAAGCAACATAATCTGCAGAAGGCTCACCACAGTAGTTAGAATACAGTTAAACATGCAGAGAAGTACTATTGATTCAGAAACCGGTGATTTTTTTATTCCTTTCGATCTGGAACCAGAATGACCGCGAACCATTCCATTCAAAATGTCGAATTAGGCATGAAGGAGCAGATTATTACTGTCGAATGAATCAGTGTGATCTGAGATGCAGCTGTCAGCATATTTCCGTTATTTCATAGATATCCAGGTTTATTGGCGCAGTATAGGCAGTGCTTTGCATTTTGACCTATTTCGCAGAGAGTCACCGTGATCACTGGCAGTAAACATATGCTTTAAATGCATTACTTTGTTGGCTTCTATCTCCACTAAGTGTTTACAACAGCAGCTGTGGATTCATGAATTTCCTCGCCACTGTGGATAAAACAACATTGGAAAGGCGACCAATTGGTGGGTTACAAATGATGTGCAAGTAACATATCTTTTCATGTGGTGTTGCGGTAGGTTTCGACCTTGTTTCCTCATATTTTATTCGTATGTTGGCTATGGTTCGCCCTTCGTATCAGGTAGACATAGTTCGGTCGACTCTTAATTGAATGGGTGTTATTGCCATGACTGCTACTTTTTTGCCTGGAATTATAAATAGAGGCAAAACAAACAACAGGTGCAGTCTCTAAGTTCATACATTAAATGGGCCTATGATTTCTGAAACTCTTACATGGGAATTAGCACTGGTATCAATTACAAACCAACTTAGTGCGTCATTAAGTGCCTTTTCAAAGGAGGCCAATGTGCTTGCTAGTCGCGTTTTCTCAGGTAGTTTGTTCCATATTTGGGCATACCTAATCAAGAAAAACTTTTGCCTGGTGGCTGTTTTACATGGTTCTATAGCCACTGTACCCTTAGTGTGTCTAAGGTTGTATCCTGTGTCTCCTGAGAACCGAGTATAGTTAGCAGGGGTATACACTATTTGGTTAAGAAGCTTATAGAAGAGTAACAGATTTAGTCGCAGTCGCCTTAACCATAATGTTTCTAGTCCCAGGATTTCACATCTGGTAGAGTAGTTTGTGCCGTTATCGGTTCCGAGTACTTTTCGCGTGAAGTACCTCTGTACTCCTTCTACTTTCAGTTTGTCTTCTATGCGTGTACTGCTGAATATGAATGAGCAGTAATCTAGGAGTGGGCGCACACATACCTTGTACAGTAGTATTCTGGACTCGTTTCTGTAGAAGTTCCTGAGTAGGAAACCAATAAGCCTGCGTGATTTCGATACTTGATTCGAGATATGCTCTGAAAATGATAGATTGTGTGAATATTTCAGTCCTAGGTCTAGTACAGATTTGAGTCTGGGGATTTTGTGGCCCTGAATTGATAGGTCGAGTTCAAGCTTGGAACAGCCTATGCAGAGCCATTCCACACTTTTCAACATTAAACTCGAGTCTCCAGGTGTCACACCATCTATCCATTTTTATTAATTCTTTATGTATGGAGTTCATAGTTGGGCCGATATTTGTATTTGTGCAGGTATATGTCACCTTCAAGTCATCTGCATACAGTATTGGCTTGCCTATACTAAAACATTCACATATACTGTTTATGTATATAATGAAAAGAAGGGGTCCCAATACACTCCCCTGGATGACACCACTGCTGATTGGTCTAGGTCTGGAGGTCATTGAGCCAACTTTAGTTGTCTGATTCCTGTCATACAGAAATGATTTTATCCAATTGTAGAGGGGGTTGCGTATCCCTAGTGAGCATAGCCTGCTGACTAGCAGACTATGTGGGACTCTGTCGAAGGCTTTCCTTATATCGAAATAGAGGATAATCACTAGCTCTCTCCTATCTCTTCTATAGGTGACTTCGTTGAAAAAGTCTATATGGCAAGTGACGCAAGATCTTTTCTTGAGGAATCCGTGTTGTGACAGGTTGATGAGTTTATGTTTTAGAAAGTAGTCTGACATTTGGTCTTTGACTACTTTCTCCATGACACCCTAGAATAATTGTTAGTAACAAGACTCATGTTTTTTCGAATAATATTCATTGATTAAGATCAATGAAATACAGTTCGACAAAAGTGCATAGGTTATAATAGTCATTAAAGTGTAATACTAAATTGAATACCAGATAAAATAAGGGAAAATTTTCATTAGTCAGAGAGTGTTGGAACACTTTTGGCCAGGATAAGGAAACCATCTGAACAAATTCTTTTGGACACATAAGTTAAGGCTCTTAATGAAGATTCCGACGTCTTCAGCAGTATGTAATAGAGGAACTCATAAAATTAAATCAAGACTGGTCAGAATATAACAGATAACTTCAAATGCCTTATTAACATCAGTTTTGTGTTCCGCGAAACAACTTCTGCATATTTCTGCTTTAGTCGTAGCCACCAATGGCAAAAAGTTATACTAGTTTTTGAGAATTCCACACTACATCGTGAAAAAGTGCTGTTTCGGAATAAAGCAAATTGCCATTATTTAGTTCACTGTAACTCCTACAAAAATCAAAGTTTGGATCCCATATTAGCTGTTGGGGAGAATATTCATTCCTAGATGACTGTTTCTTAAATTTATATATTTATATGAGAATACATATTATTATTATTAATAAGAAAGTCGAACATAAATGTAATTCTCTGCGTGCTACCAAGTGGCAGTTGTTTAAGTGGGCTGCGCTTTAACAGGTACCACTTAGCCGTGTAGCGATTCAGACCAGATGGCTTAACGTTTCGATTGGCAATGTGTGGCGTGCTTAATGATTTTACCAAAGCAACTGTGATAGGGTTCACGTGACCTACAGTAGGAAATCCCCCCATGTATTTTCGACAACAGGATTTAAGGAGAGTTCGTTGAATTCGCCTGCGAAGATGATCCCAAATACTTCAACTTTGGGAGATCTGAAGATTACTTCAAGTGGTTGCTGCTGTTTTCAGTGAACATCAAACTCTAATTTTCAGAAAGCTGGTATTCTTACT